TGCGTTAGACTTGGTAAAACTTTTATCCAAAATCTTCATTGAGATACATAGAAATGGAATTAAATATCTCTAAAGCCATGTACAGATATGTAACAATACCGCGAACCAAACCACGCGACGAACCGCGCCGCGGTAGTGTAGACGGTGAAAAGAACGCCGTCACGAACCTGATTAGCGTTACAGCTCGCCGTTCGGCCCGATCCAGGCTCTGTCGGTTTTTCTGCACAACATCAAAGGAATGGCGCGCGACGAAGTTGCACATGTTTGGACAGTTAAAAGTTAGGCACAGGGTAATGTCGCAGCGCAATGGCAGTCGGTCTTTCTGGACGCTGGCCAAGCAGATTGAAAAGAACTTCTCACCCACTTACGTGTCCGGATGGAACTATTGTATTCGACTCAAAGGCCAAGGCGGAAGTGCTAGCCAAGATCTTTGCTGTCAACTCCACCATGGACGTCCCCACCAACGCCCAAGTGCCGTCAATTCAAAGGGTTCCCGACACTATGCGGGAGGTAACATTCAGGCATAAGACCGTAAGACGAGTGCTCTTGTCGCTCGACATCAACAAAGCTTCTGGTCTGGACTTGATTCCTGCCATTGTACTGAAGAGATGTGCAGCGGAGCTTGCTCCAGTTCTTTCGCGTCTCTTCCAGATATCTTATGAATCCGGCACCTTTCCAGAAAACTGGAAATTTCCTCATGTGCAGCCCATCCCAAAAAAGGGATCTAAGACCGACCCTTACAACTACAGGCCTATAGCTCTGCTTTCTGTTATAAGTAAAGTGATGGAGAGGTGCATAAATCGCGAGCTTCTGGACTACCTCGAACGTCACAGCTTGATTAGCGACAGGCAGTACGGTTTCCGGCACCAACGATCCACAGGGGACCTCCTGCTTACGTCACGCAACTGTGGAGTAAACTCATCCAGTCTCATGGTGAGGTTGCTCTTGACATCACGAAAGCGTTCGATCAGCTGTGGCACGCTGCCCTCTTAAGCAAACTTCCATCCTATGGCCTCCCAGAAAAGCTTTGCAGATGGGTGGCAGACTTTATCTCTGGCTGCAAAATATCCGTCGTAATTGACGGATTCTCCTCTTCATCCCACAACGTCAACGCGGGTGTTCCCCAGGGATCGGTCTTGGCTTCGACACAGTTTCTCTTACATATCAACGATCTCCTTTGCTGCACGCCCAACCCAATCCGCAGCTTCGCTGATGACAGCTACATATAGGAATTAGTGATAAGCCGATCTCTGCCGCTGAGCTGGAAAAAAGAAGACTAGCGACGACCTCTTCTGTGACAAGAGACCTGGAGGCTATCACTGCTTGGAGACGCAACAATCTTGTACAGTTCAATGCTTCCAAAACGCAGTACTGTACTTTGACGAACAAAAAGCGTCCTAGCGCTCATACAGTTTCGATGGACGGCCGAGTTCTACCAAAGAGCCATTCATTTCGGCTGGTCGGAGTCTAGATCACCGAGGACCTGATCTGGCACGAACACATCTCGTCAATAGCAGCAGCTGCTGGGAAAAAGCTAGGCTATTTGTTTAGGGCTAAGAAGTACTTTTCACCGCGGTTCGACTGATCGATGACTCTTCTTTAACAGTCTCGGGACTCTTTCGCACCGGCGGACCGTCGGCGATCTAGCTCTTTTCTATCGCTACACCAACGGGCTTTGCTCCTCAGAGCTCTCTTCCAAGATGCCGCCGCGCGATGTACCTGCCAGACAGACCCGCCTGACTTTGGCGTCCCATCCTAACCGTGTCAAACTTCGTACATCCCGAACTGGCCGATACGACCGCTCCTTTGTCCCGAGGGTGTCTAGATTGTGGAACAATCTACAAGAGGAAGCTTTTCCCAGTTCTACTAACCTTAGGCAGTTCAAAAATCGTATTAACAAAATTTCTTTGGGATCATCATAGCAGCTGCGGTGTTCCGGCAGTTAGGCTTCTGCCTGCGCGGCTGTTTCAATATAAAAAAAGGCATACCGGTGGGCGAGCACCAATCTGTTATTTTGTAATGTACGAGTACTTATAAGTTAAATAATTATTTTCTTACTTGTATATTTTCCTTTAAAACTTCGAGCAATGCCTCGCAAACTTCTTGAATGATGTAGCTGATCGATTGCTTTGAAATTCGAAACATGTATTGCAAACTGCTATCTGAATCACCGGTCGCTAAAAATCGCACCGTGACTGCAAGTCTTTCTTGCACTGTGATAGCAGCTCTCCATTTTGTTTTCGTATTTTTGATCCAATCAACGTGAGAAGATATTCAAAATCCGTCGGAGACATCCTCGTAAAATTGTTGTACTGTTCACTTACTTGTTGAAATTTCAATTCCGCTATCAAATTGTTGCAACCGTGTGCTGATCTGTTGGTATACACCTATAACTGCGTTTGTTACCATCGTCTCAGACTTCGTCGTCGCTTGTTTTTGGATAATTATGAATATAAATATAGGCAGTAGCTGCTACTGCTATATCCATTTCCGGCTAGTATTTGTCTTTCACTAAACGACAAACAACAAAATTGGATCGTCATTTTGTAGCGCGATGTCTTTGCACGACGTCGTTCGGTGGTGATGTTCGTTGCAATCTTGTTTGTCAAAATGCGCGCGCTGCGATCCGTCGCGTGGTTCGGTTCACGGTGTTGTTACATACATGGCTTAAAGATTCAATCCATCGCATTTCGACCAGGAATGGCATGAGAAAGGTGAGATCACGGTTTGTTTCGCACAAAAATTGCTTCGAATTCAACATTCGATAGACATCATTAAAGAGGCCAGAAAAGACAAAAACTCTTTATACAATATTGTGACTGGTGACGAAACGTGGTGTTTTCAATACGATCCTGAAACCATGCGACAAAGTGCCGAATGGAAGCATCCAAGCGAGCCAAATTCGAAAAAAAAAGCCGTTTGGAAAAGTCCAAAGTGAAGACAATGTTGATTTGTTTCTACGATTCGAAGGGAATTATTCACAAAGAATTCGTTTCACCGGGCCAAACGGTTAATGTTGTGTTTTATCTTGGTGTTATGAGGTGTTTGCTGTCGCGTACTCGTGGTGTTCGGCAAGAATATCGCGAAGAAGGAAGCTGGCGCTTGTTGTACGATAATGCACCATCTAATCGGGCGACGCTTGTGTCCGTTTTTTTTACAAAAAATGCCATTTTAACCATCAGCCACTCCCCATATTCTCCTGATATGGCACCGTGTGACTGTTTTCTGTTCGGTAAACTACATTTGGCCATGAAGGGACAGCGGTATGACGACGTAGAGGCCATCCAAAAGGCGTCGACGACCATTTTGAAGGACATCCCGGTCAATGAGCTAAAATCATCATTCGAAAATCTTTTGGCCCATGCAACTCACTGCATTGACTGTGAAGGAGACTATTATGAATAAAATAAATTCGATTTTCCGAAACAAAAAAATGTTTGTTCATTTTTTTCTTTCTGTTTACTCTGTGACACACCTTGTATATACACTAATGGACAAAAGTATAAAGACAAATTAATATTGTGTTGTATTTCTTTTTTAACTTGTTTTATTAATACACCAACCTGTATACATAATTCGTTATAGCATAAATAAATTCATTAGACTCCCTTCAATAAAAAATTAATTGAAAAAACTGGAACTATGAAGGATAAAAATATATAGACAAAGCAAAATAATTATAGAAAAAAGAAGCAAAGTTCATTGAATTATATAAAACCACCCATTTTTGTGTTAATATTTTGTAGCATAACCATTATTATCAATCACCGCCTGGCATCGTCTCGGCATAGATTGTAGAAGTTTCTTGATATAAGATTCATCAATCTGTCTCCACTTTTACTCTAAAGCGGCAAAAAGTTCATCCTTGTTTGAATAATTTTTATCTCGTATTTGCTTATCTAAGTATTCCCATATATTTTCAATGGGGTTTATATCGGGAGACTGGGAAGATCATTTGAGAACTGGTATTTTTTCATCCAGAAAGAATTTCTTTGCGAGATTTGAAGTGTGCTTCGGGTAATTATCTTGCTGGAAGATTGATCTTAAGGGCATATTGTCTTCCATATAGGGTAACATAACATGCTTTAGTACGTCTGTATACAAACTTATCCAGAATGCCATCTATTCTATGTAAAGGACCCATCCCAAGCCCCGAAAAGCACCCCCAAATCATAACAGACCCGCCATGTTTGAAAGTGGGCAAAGTGTACTTGAGGTTCAATCTTTGTCCACTAGGACGTCTAACGTAATGAACACCATTTGATCCAAACATATTGAACTTTTTGAAACATACCCTCTTCCAGTCATAGATGCCCCAATCAAGATGCAACCGTGCAAATTGTAATCGGTCCTTACGGTTGTTCCTCGAGATTAGCGGCAAATCATTTTATCTTCTTATAATTTTCGTAGAAGCACTGACAATTCCTTTTATTTGTCTTTTAAACGGATCTTTGGACAAAATTACTTTTATTAATCTAACTGATCTAGCATTTAGTTTTCAAGGCCAGCCACTTTTCTTAGAAGCATCCAAGATACCTTTTTGTTTATATTTGTTCAATATTGGCCAAACTGCTTTTACGCTTCAGCTTCAAATTTTTGGCAACGTCGACTTGACGTTGGCCATCTTTGTATAACTCAACGATCTTAGTTTTCACATCGAAAGAAGTTTCTGGACCACGCGACATGGTCTTAAAATCACTCAACTTATTCCACAATATTTGATGAACACAAACTAATCCTCTTCTGACACGAAACTGTACTAAACTAATGTTGAAAAGAATTTGCCTAAATATTTTTGTCCCTCATAAAAAAGTGCTTATTTTCAGACTTGTATTGTGTTCATTCATTTCAGATAATGTAAAACAAGGAATTTTTTTTTCTACTAATAACGCATTTGTTTATGGAGCAATGGAGGATGAATTCGTTTTCTAAAGGTATTTAGGTTAATATTCATATTTGTCTACATACGTTTGTTCATTACTGTATACTGAAAATCTTACCTGTATGATCATTAGTCGAATACTTCTTTACTGAAGAACAGAGTGCCTTAGAAGACGAAACATCCATATCTATCCCACAGCATGATAAACTGTTCTGTAGGGCCAACAACATAGTATGCTTAGGGGATTCATGGCATCTAAGAAATGCCATATCCGGAAAAGAATCTTTTATCTTCTCAGCCACTGAGATGTTAGCTAACAGCATGTACTCTTCTATCAGTCTGTGGGCTTCTTTGTTTTCATATATACTGAACTCTGTTGGTTCTCCGGAGTTCGGGTCCAAGTTGAATATCAATTTCACCTACGAGTTACAAGTACATAATGAAGCATATTCTGCTAATATTCTGAAAGTTACTATTTAACCTAAAATTTGGCCCTATGGCGATTTTTTACCGTCGTGTACATTTCATTCGGTTGATAACGGAAACTAAAATTTTGCCCTACAAAGTTCTATGATCCAGATAAAGCCTCGCTTCCTACGTAAGTTGGGTGCGTAGATCTCGAATCGGACGTCAATATAATAATAATAATAAACGTCTTTATTAAAGTTTATAAATATGCTACTCTAACACCACTAAAGTCAAATATTACGTTGTTAACAGTTAACACAAACAAAATACAAAATATATATAACAAATCACTTATAACCCATATAAGAAGTGAAAAATGATATATATTTTGTGTGCACATACTGCTAGTGCTTTTTAGAGAAAAAGATCTATGAAATATTGAGGAAAAGTTAATCGTTCAAATAACTCAACTTAACATTGTAGCGGAAACGTGGTAAACTCATGGTCTTAAAGTTACTGTCCAAAGAATTATATATTGCTGCAACGTTATATGAGAAACTTCGTTGGAGCAGAGTTGTTGTATGCTTCGGAATTCTGATAATGTGCCTAATAGCCCTATCGTGAATGGTGTTATTGAAAATTATTATTCTGGCTTAAAATTAATTAAAATTTTATGGATAAATGTAACTTGACCAACTCGTCAAACTTTAGCCATCTCAACTCTGCATATTTGTGAGAGACATGGTCGAACTTTCTCATGCCGAATATAAAGCGAACACAGCTGTTTTGAATCAATAGGATTCTGTGTTTAGTGATCTGATTCAAACAGGGAAAATATAGAATACTGCAGTAATTCAAGACAGACACAACGAAAGTTTCGCAAAGTTTTATCCTCATTTTGAAGTTTAGCAGATATCTGTTTGAATAAAGACTGGGTAAACGTGCATAGGTTTTTTGTGTCAGATTTTTTACATGCTCGGTAAACCTTAGTTTTGTATCAATTTCTACACCCAATATTTTTGCGCTATCGGTGAGCTCAAGCTGCTTATCGTCTACGTCCACATTTAATAGCGAAACAACGTCGTTTCTTCTGCTCTCTGAACAAAACAATAAAATATTAGATTTTTCCGGGTTTATGCTGAGGTTGTGATCTGCTGAATATTTGCATAGACTATCAATATCTTTGTAATACTTGGACAGTGCTCTGTATATCTTCTATACCGAAACAATGGGAGAGCTGGGTGTCATCAGCGAACGACTGAATATCAGAGTAAACTGATCTAGATAAGTCAAATGTATATATTAAAAAGAAAAGAGGTCCCAAAATGGAACCCTGAGGCACTCCTGAAGGTATGCGAGTGACATCAGATGTAATACCCTTCACTGAAACTCATTGAGTCCTGATTTTAAGATAGCTTTAAAAAAATTTGATTACAACCTCATCTCAACCAATAGAACGTAGCTTAGCACATAAGAGTTTATGATCTATCTTTTCGAAGGCTTTCGAGAAGTCGACTGATATTAAAGCTAAACCCATTTTTTTTGTCAAGAACACGAAAGATGTTGTCGCGTATCTTTAATAAAGCCGATATGATGGAAGGACAGTCGGGGATCCCAAGCGATACATCTTGAACGCTAAATTGGGCCCTACGATATTTCATAATCTTTTGCCTTTCCGGTCATACTGGTATGCGAATACAGCGCCCCACAGGACCTAAGTTTTCAAGTTTCGTTACCGTGTAACAATAAGACACGAAAGTGGAAAACTTGTCCTAAAAAGTACTATAATATTTTGATGAGTCCGATGAAACTATTTTTAAAATCTCCATCGTAACTTTAATCTAACAAAAATTCATTTCTTAGAGAGAACGGGTACTCAGATTCCGAATCTTCCAGATATGTTCACTCTCACATTAAGATCCAGCACCCAAAATTAGCTAGGTGTACAAAATTCCTTTGGCTTGTAATAGAGAGACGAGAATGGAAACTTTGACGTACAAAGTCCTGTAATATTATCTTAGGTCCCAAAAGTAGGCTTACTCTGACTTACCTGATCGATTCTCAAAGCACCATTTTCTATCCTGTTCTCGCGTAACTTAGCAGCAAGCTTTTGCAACATTTTTATCCCATCAACAAGGTCCTTGGGTGTGAAACCATTATGAATTGTGGGGAAATCGTCTGTAGTAAATTCCACATCAGGGTTTTCTATAACTATTTGAGCATGTTCATATGCTAATTTTGTACAAGAGTTCATAATACTCCTAGAGAAGCGTTTACTGACAATCTCTGCATCTTCCGTCATTTCCCAGAACACGGAAAACGACAGTTTATCTTCACCAGGTAATAGTGAGCAATTCATACATAATTCCACTGGCAACATGTGAAACACCTTGTCTACCAAGTAAATTGTGGTCGCCTTTTTACTGACCATTTGGTCTAGTTCTGTTCCCTCTTCTAAGAAAAAGGATGCGTCCGCAATGTGTACTCCCACCTCTAAATTGCCTGTAAAATAGGTTTCATAAATAAAAAATTGACTTGATGAACAGGAACATTTTTAAAAAATGACGTCAACTAGGTTGACTCTGCTCTTCCCACAAAATTTCAAACTTAAAAGATTCAATTAAAATTCACCATTTCGATTTTATGAAATTTTGGTATACCCAGTGTCACTTGCTCTCAAAGACAAATCTAGATAAACCTCATATGTTATAGTCCATCAAGCAGCACTTGATGCTAGCCCCCCCCCCTCCTCCCGCGTGGTCCTCAATTTTCAAAACCGAGTGGATCTCAAGTAAGGTGCCTACAACTTTAATTTTCAGTCACCGGCACGCACGTTTTTGGATTTGCCGTCTACCAAAAAAGTCAGAGTCTATCGAAATTTTCGTACAAATCTACCGACAGATCGACTGTACCTGACAACGACGGATCTGTAAGTCGGCATGTCGCAGGCACACGTGTTCCCGCCCTAGGTCCATGTGACGTCCCCCCCTTCCCCTGTATCACCCTGTAGTCCACTGTTCGCATCCCGGTATTTTTTTATAACAATTTTAAGTTGTCCAAAATTATTCAATAGTGAGATCGAGTCCATTTTTATAATTTCTTTTTTAACTAATGCCATTCATTGCACTTGGTTAAAGTTTTACTCGATAGTTTTTAGGGTGTGACCAAGTAATATATACATTCAGCTTTCGTACAAATCTACCGACAGATCGACTGTACCTGATAACGACGGATCTGTAAGTCGGCATGTCGCTTGCACACCTGTTCCCGCCCTAAGTCCGTGTGACGTCCCCCCTTTCCCCTGTATCACCCTGTAGTCCACTGTTCGCATCCCGGTATTTTTTTTATAATAATTTTAAGTTGTCCAAAATGATTCAATAGTGAGATCGAGTCCATTTTTATAATTTCTTTTTTAACTAATGCCATCCATTGCACTTGGTTAAAGTTTTACTCGATAGTTTTTAAGGTGTGACCAAGTAATATATACATTCAGCTTTCGGAAAAAAAAGCCGAAGGCTTGAAAGAACAGTACTCACGAGACAATTCCCGTTTACTTATTTTTTGTGACATTAGAAATAACCGCCAAAAATGATAAAAATAACCGTTGTGATCAGTAGATCCATACATCTTTGCTGGTAACAATCGGGTACTTGGGGTTATATTTTAGCCTGTCAGTATCAGTGTACTTATTGTCAGAAATTTCTACTCGGAATGTGGGATGAAGAAGACGATGGATGGATATCTTGCGGCCAGAGATGTCAGCCACATTATCTGCAAATCTTTTCTGGAAGGCCATAGAATGGAAGTTTGCTTAAGAGGGCAACGTGCCACAGCTGATCGAACGCTTTCGTGATGTCAAGAGCAACGACATGAGCCTCACCATAACACTGGATGAGTTTACTCCACAATTGCGTAACGTAGGCTAGGAGGTCCCCTGTGGATCGTTGGTGACGGAAACCATACTGCCTGTCGCTAATCAAGCTGTGACTTTCGAGGTAGTCCAGAAGCTCGCGATTTATGCACCTCTCCATCACCTTACTTATAACAGAAAGCAGAGCTGTAGGCCTGTAGTTGTAAGGGTCGGTCTTAGATCCTTTTTTTGGGATGGGTTGGACCTGAGCAAATTTCCAGTTTTATGGGAAGGTGCCCCTGCACACCTCTCAGTACAATGGTAGAAATCAAGTCCGGACCAGAAGCTTTGTTGATGTCGAGAGACAAGATCACCCGTCTTACGGTCTTATGCCTGAATGTTACCTCCCGCATAGTGTAGGGAACCCTTTGAATTGACAGCACTTTGGCGTTGGGGGGGGACGTCCATGGTGGAGATGGCAACAAAGATCTTGGCTAGCACTTCCGCCTTGGCCTTTGAGTCGAATAATATAGTTCCATCCTGACATGTAAGTGGTGGAAGGCTACTGTGTGAGAAGGTACTTTTTAATCTGCTTGGCCAGCGTCCAGAAAGACCGACTGCCATTGCGCTGCGACTTTATATTTGTTTCTGGACTCGAAGTCGGCTTGTCTGTTCTCTACAGTGGGGTTTTGTAAGAAGGTTCCGTGTGCCTTGATCTTCTGCTGGCGAGCGGTGTCACACGATTTGTTAAACCAGCCGTTGGACCCTGGAGTTTCTGCTGCCACAGCGGGTTATGACCGAAACATAACCTCCACAACACCGTGGTCTGAGTTACCCAGGGGGAAAAGGACAGCAGTGCTGTAAGGGACAGGATGCGTGGTCAGAAAGAGATCCAGCAGGCTACTGGCGTGTGACGCGACGCTAGGGAAAAAGTAGGGCTCGTCACCAGCCGGGTCAGCCATTGAGTAAGAGCGAACGCTTCGACTGCACGACTTGCTGCATCGGTCTTGTTTGAGCCCAACCAAAGCTCATTATGGGCATTGAAATCACCGAGAAGAACTACCTCTGGAGCGGGGTGATTGATGTTCAGGAAGTCTATCTGGACGGCAAGGTATTCGAGTAGGTCATCCCAGTTATGGTCCGAGGGAGAGCGATAAAGACAGCAGGTAAGTTTGGGTGATGTTTTGGAGTTGAGGCGAAACCACAGAATGTCCTTCCGGTCTGATTCCAAAGAAACATCTCTGGACCAGAAAAGACTGCTGCGGACAAAAGCCACAACTCCCCCGTTCTTTCTCAGATTGGAGTGCACCTCGTAGTTTGGGAATTTAAGATGGTTAATCGGTGCAGACTCTGAGATTTTTGTCTCGGCCAAGAAAAGCACGGCGGGACGATTGGATTGCAGGTAGTGATGAACAGCATCCATGTTGCTGTTAATCCTGCAGATGTTCGAAAAACAAATTTTATCTTCGATGTTGCTCCCTCGAGCCCACCATCCACCCGGACATTCCGAGAGTGGAGTGAGTTTACGTCCGGAGTTCTTAGTGCTCGATAGATCCATCATCATTAATTTCTTTGTTTTTAAAGATAACCGACTGCATAGCTTAGGTGTGGAAACATGCGGACATTTATAAAATTTATAAAAGCTAGCGGGTGGTACCGCCTGGGTCGACTGGTCCTTGTCTACCACATACTTTTTACGTGTTAATGATATTAAATAGACCTAAAGTGGCCCGTTGGCGGACTTGTACCGCCACCCGGCAATCGGTACATGTACAATCACTTGAACGGGAAGAAGTTGTATACTGGATACAACAACTTCCGGAACAAGCATTTGACAGGACCCCGCTCAGTAAGGTATGTAGCCCGAGCTATATATCTCGGATATATCATTTATGCCTCAACTGTATCTTGGCAATGTGTAGACATATACCTGGTGAGAATTTCTCATCTAAAGGACTGCAAAATCAGGCAAGAATGACTGACGAAATTGTACGCATTGCGACAGCTTCCATTATGTTACATTAAGTAGGATCTCAATAATTTAACAACCTGACAGCACTACATGAGAACATTGCGCGATTGGAAGCGTCTTAAGAAGCGGACCCAAGATACGAACGTTCGGTCAAAAGTTGTATGAAAAGCAGAACATCGGCATTGGCTTCAGCCAAAAAACTGGCTGGACGTCGGACCCTAACGGTTTTACCTACCATTTTCAAGCTGCTTGACTGAAACTGCATCATCTAAGTCCCTAGCTGTCTCTGGATCAATAGTAAAAATACACTCTTTTCTCAAATCTTCTCTGTATTCTAGCTCCTTTTCAGGAATGTCTTTCAGCAAAGGCAAACTCTCTGTCATTTCTTTTGAAAAGGGTGTTATGTCCACCTGGAACTCTCTGAGTATTGACAGAGTTTCAACTTTCAAATCTCCAGATTGTCCCAGATTTTCAGTAATAACTCCTTGAGCATATGCAACGATATCCCATTTAAGTATTTTCCCCACGAAAATGATGTTCTCAAACTGCTCTGGTTTCTGTTTAAAGAAATTAGGGAGGTTAAATTCAGGTATTCTCAGAACTGGACATCTTTTGTCTCTTGGATATAACAGAGCATAATCGGCATTTTTCTTGCTCTCTGGTTTTAGGGAGCCTACCACTACCCTAGAATGGACCTACAAATAAAAAACACTTGAATTAGAATATTGCAAGGAATATCTCCCTAAAGAATATCGGGTCTAAAAATACTTTGATTTCTAAGTATTACCAAGCCAGGGGAGCTAAAATCAGGATCCACAGAACGCTAATGAGGCCATGTATGCATGTGAATCATGGATGATAACAAGGGCAGAGCAAGCAAAGCTGAAGATATGGAAACAGGTGTTAAGGAAGATTTTTGGTGACAAAATGTTAGATGATGGTAGGTGGGTACGAAAAACAAATGATGAGTAAAAATAAGACAATATGTTTCAAAACGAGCTTATATTCAAGCTTGCTTGGCTAATGCCCTAAAATGAAAATGTGGCGTGGCGATTGAATTGCAGGAATTTAATAACCACGTGTTATGTTCAGGGAAATCTGACGACAAAACCTTTGGATACCCTCAGAAAATTGCAGATGTATGGAGATGAGTACACGTCGAAAAACGTGGATGTTTCAGTGGGTAACGCTGTTCTACTAGGGGCGAAAATTGGTACAAGATGATTTAGGATATCTCTTGTCCTAGACTGTCTTCACCAACTGATCACGTCTGAACGGCGCCTAAAAGGTAGTAAACTAGGCCAACTACTATTTATTTCGTATGTTAATGACAATTCTGATATTTTAAATTATTGTGAAATTCAGATATTTGCAGATTATACATTAATATACATATCAAATGAAAATATAGATGCCACTTCTAAATTCATCATCATAAATTGGTTAAATGTAAATAAACTAAAAATAAACTACTATCACAGTTATGATGAATGCTGAAATAACTGAAAATTTTGAATCAATATTTAGGTATATAATAATATAATACCGCAAAGTTGGGGTTTTCCTTTTCAGAAACAACTACCTTTGAAATAACAAAGGTAATGTGTAGTGAAACGAGGGCGACCAAGTAAAAAAAATAAAGGAAAAAGTACTCACTCTCCAGTTGACGAGAAGGGCTAAGTACGTCTCTGCCCGAAATCATACCGCTCCAACAGAAAATGAAATCAGCTGATGCGCTACCGAGCAGACGCAGAAACCACATTGATTGTCTTACACTTAATGGCACATCTTCTAACAAGGAAGGCAAAATGTTGCGTAAAAAGTCTAGATATTGCATCCCGTCCATTCGATTTGGGAGAATAAATGGTCCAATGAGCATACCGTTCACCATGCCAGCCCATTCACCGAAAATGTTTGTTGAAAATGTGCCCGACGGACAGCGTGCGGATTTTCTACTGACCAAACATGAGTGTTGCGAAAGTTATTCACCCCATTACGCGTGAACGTAGGTTCGTCTGTCACCAATATGCACTTCAAAAAGTCCGGATTATTGTCATGTTGATGCAACAACCACTCAGAAAACCGCACTCTTGCTGGAAAATCGTCAGGTTGAAGTGATTGTACACGTTGGACGTGAAACGGATACAGTCCCTCTTCACGCAGCGTTTGCCACACTTTAGTTTTTGATACTTGCACTTCTCTAGCCACGTCTCTAGTGCTTGTTGAGGGATTTTCGTCTACGCGATTACCTCTACACGCGTGATCGTAACCGTTGGTTGAAGGTTGCATACTGACCTGACACACTGACCCCGACCCAGTTCTGTCGTCGGGTTGAGCCAGTGACCTTGTACCAGTCGGTGATGTCGTGGCTACAGGACGGTATTCAGATATGTTTGATGTTGCAGAGCCCTTTATCTCGGTTCCCTTAAGACATTGGTGTATATGGTACTAAGAAAAATTACTTATGTTTTCAAGATCTACACGTCGTGTAAAGGAAAACCCCAACTTTGCGGATACCCTGTATGTATATCTCAAAAATTGCCAAAAAAAAAATACAAATTACTTTTAAAAGGTTTCTCATAGTCTTAGTACATATTCAAAAAAAATAATAGTTTATAATAAAATAATAATACATTATAATTTTGAATAAAAATAACTACACCAAAATAAAATATGCTACAAGAATTCCAGTGGTTGAATATAAAAAGTTTCATATTAAAGTTGGTTCTTATTTTTATATTTAAAATAAAAAATCATCTTTTGCCACAACATTTAGATTTAGAACACTACATAGGATTGAATAATTACTAAAATTTATTATACAAGATGATATATAGATTTTAATTTACAAAACTGGAACAGTAATATAACTAGGAAATCAATATTTCAGAAAGGATTACTTGAATTTTATCAACGAAATAATGATATAAAGTGTACTTGTAACTCACAGATATTCAAAAGAATATTTCATGGACAGTGAACATTCTTAAGAGATCCAAATTTTGTCGTTCTAAATATCTGTATGTTATCTAATGGTTGTAGTTGTTTAAAGGAATGTAATTGTATGAATCATGCTAATAAACAAAGTTCTCCCAAATATCTTCTTCATTGAGCACTACTTTTTGGGAAAAAGTAAATTCAATATTGATGCACCAATTTTGATAATGCCCTCTACAAAGAAGCTGTAACTAGTTGTAACTATAGTACTGAACAGGTCAACTTCTGAGCTTTATTAAGGGTGTTTTCAATAATGAACCATCATTGAAATCACTGCACAGAGTTAAAGGGAAACTATTGTAATGATCAATGACAATATTTTGGCCAAAACTTATTTGCTTGTTTCTGTTATTGAAAATTGCTGTATCACTAAAATTTGGCTTAAAATAGATAATAAATTCCAGTGGTAATAAATCACAGAAAATGTTTAATAAACATTAATTCATATATCGACGATCTCAAATGAGTACTTCCTAAGTCCGAAAAATTTTGATTTTCTGATTTTGTTGTTTTGATTCCTATATGCATAATTCGACATTTTCGGACTTACAAGGTATTTATTTTAGATCGTTGATGCCTCTCAAATAAGAACCATCGATATGGATTTTCTGAGAGCATCCCTGTATGCATACAGGAATAAAAACAGAACAAAATCAGAAAATCAACATTTTTGGACTTGTGAGGTATTGATTTGAGATTGTCGATATATTTCTTGAGTATAAACCTACCATTTCCTTTATGAATACAACCCTTGCTGTTTTTTGTCCATCAACCCAATTACTTTCAGGTTTAATTTGCAGTACAACTTCATCACCTTCCAAAGCTCTATTTCTATCAAAAACAGAAGTCAAATAATAATCTGCCAATGTGGTATCCTCATTGCTGACATATGAGTCTCTGCAATTCTTCGGATTGATTCTTAGAAACCCTTTGATCAAAGTACTATTTGCTATACCAGCCTCAACGTCTTCCTTGCTCATATATTCAGGAAATTCAGGAATCAACTCCTCTTGACTTATGCTATCAGCTTTCTCTCTATTCTTTTTTGGATATTTTCTCAGCTCCGACTTCGGTTTGGTTTTATCAACTATTCTCTTTTTAATGGTACCTATTAGCCTCTTTAAAATCTCAGGGCTTGTATTGAAAACATGAGGGATGGTTTCTCTACCAAATGATTTCAGATTAACATATCTATACCTTGTATTTCTTTTGCGGAGAAATCTGCCAGACTTTTGCGCTTTGACAGGGTTTATACTGCAGTTGAAAGTAACTTTGCTTATTTGCTTCTGTTTGGCACTAGCATTTGGAGTAGCAGTGTTTGATTTCTTCTGTATATCAGCTTGTTTAGGTGTGCTTACTTTCTTTGCAATATTTTTTGAGTTTGCTTTTTTTGGTGTGTTATGTATGTTGTTCATGTGAGGCAAATTTACATTTACAATTGTACTATTTGGGAATCTTTTTTGTGGGACATTTGTTTTTACATTCCCAAAACCAAGGAATTGGAGTTCATTCATTGGTATGAACTTCACCTTTGATTTTTTGGGTACCACATTTGTATTTTGTTTTTTTGGTGCCACATTTGTATCAGTCTTTTTCGGAATTACATTAACACTTGTATTTTTCTTAATCATATTTGCATTTGATTTAGCTGGTATCTTGTTAGGGTTTCCCTTTTTTGAAAAATCTATTGGAGCACCATAAGAAATACTTTTCATACTTGTAGAAAGTTGTGAGTAATCGTGTAAACTAAGATTTGCCATCGATGTTAAAAGGTTCCTGGAAGATTCTGCAATGCCATCAACTGATTGAGGATGTTGTGTTTTGCCTCTACTACTTCTTCGAGTTTTTTTGTTCTTCTCCCCAACTTTTTTGTTGGAATTAGGGGTTAATGCTGATGGTCCAGCTACTTCTGTTCTCACAGTCCATTGAGATCCAAGTATCGCCTTTGATGTCGAAGGAAACGAAATTGGTTCCATTTTTGGAATATTTTTTTTTTGAATGGGGTATTTTTGTATGCACAAGATACATTCAAATTGAAAAAGGTCAATTGTTTAAAACACACAGGCTAAATAAAATGTATTCACAAATTAAAACTTTCGATACCAATCTAAAGACGAGCTCATTGATTCCAAAATAAGAATCCTAAAATTTTCGAAGAACACATAACCACAAATATATGACATGTGACGTCAAAAACGTCGATCTTTAGTTCCGTACAAGTTGGCAATGTGTATAATAATCGCGACATTCTATTGGTGTTCTTCTACATTTACACCTTTCTTTCTGAACCTTGAACCAATAAGATCAAAGTATTCTGTTCGCTGATCAACCCCGATTGCCAAATGTAATATAGTAACGAAAATTGTTATATTCAAGTATTTCTTGACAATTGAAATTTGACCACGATTTTAACTGTAATTCAAATTTCTGTGTCAATATTGCTTCAATTTTTTAATATTTCTTATAAAGGAATATAGTGTTTTTAGGCTCCAAACGCTTTTATAGACTTTTCGGTTTCTCATAACTAATCATGCGCAGTAGCAGCCATTCATCAGCTGTTCAATACAATATGGAAGTGTCGTATGTTTGTGTTTAGGTATCTACAAGGTCAGTCTTTGTGAAAGAGTACTCGTATTTCGTGGAAAAAACGAGCAAAAACCCTGTTAAAAGTATTACCTAAGTGCCATTAAGTGTTAAATTTGAAGTGTACTTGTTTCATCGGACTCATGAATAGCACAAATACCTCCGACTCAATTGGATCGAAAAACTATTTTGTAAATTTCAACCAGGATAGCACGTAAGTTTTTGAAGAAATGTCTCCATTTTTAGTCGTCGAACTGCCTTTTTTTCTATTTCCGTTGCCGTTTATTTATGTGAAAAATTGATGTTTCGAGAATGATTTCATAATGAACAGAATTACGCATCTTTTTTGTTCAAGGTATTTACATGAAATTGTAATGTTGCTATTGGAGAATGATTTTATGTCGCAATATTTGTAACTCCGATGGCTCACAATAGAAAGGCGTTTATTTCAATATGTATTTCATTGCTACCAAAAACACTCGTTCAGTTTTACAAATTTTGGATACAGTATAAGCTTTGCAAACAATGGTTGATTGTTTTTGATAAGAAAATTTAATTGGAAAGTGGTTTATTTACTAGTTAAAATGCTGCTTTAATGAGAGAGGAATCAATCATTGTTTATTTAAGATTAAATATCAATAAACTTTGTAATAGTTGTAATGTGTAATATACATGTTTCAATTTGGATTTACTTTAGATAATTAAAGTAATTAATGCAATCACAGGTAAACAAAGAAGAGGGTAAATGTTCTTTTTAATCTGTATATCTTCACTACTAATATCCACAAATATGATAATATAACAAAGAATTTTATTAGCAATTCATTGCAATTTGTTACTTTTTGGATAGTGATAGTTTAACAATCAATCTAAAATAAAATGTATCCCAGTTAGAAAATGTTGAAACTGGACAATCCCAGCTTGATAAGAAAGACAAAATATATGATTGATATTCAAATCATAATCAAGGATACAGACATCTTTTTTGTTCTGCTGCAAATACATTGCATTGAACATCAGATGGAGTGTTGCTAATGCAGAAAATAATACTTTTGTTAGTGTCAAAATCTACCATTTACAGTGAATGTTAAGTTAAATTTATAATGAATATAAAAAAATGATTTTTGTCAAACTTAGATATAGTAAGTTCTCCTCTGCAAGGTTGGCCATCCATTTCTCTGCATTTTTACTTTGCACAAAATAATTTAAGGTAATTGGAGACAGGCATCAAGTGACTGTGGCCCAGGTAAAAGATTTGTACAATCATTAGAGGGTTTGGGTTTATATTGGATACTGGACAGCACAGGCAATATTTATTTTGCACAAAAGAATTTATGGTGATTGGAGATAGACATCAAGGGACTGTGGCACAGGTAAAAGATCAGTGCAACCATTAGAAGGTTTGGGTTTATATTGGATACTGAGGAGGCTATTTTAGTTACTGAAAGACCTGAAGCATTACCTGCATAAGTAATTTGTATTTATGTGGGTTTACCTACCTGTGACCTTCTATTTGGGAATTTTCCTAAAATTATACCTGGTCTTGATAAAACCTTTGCTGCAGTAAAGTCAAATTTGTGGTCATTAAATATTTGCAGTTTCAGTAAGACATTTTAAAAATTAACAAGTTTTTCTTGTAATTGAGTTTTCTACAATGGTAAATTAAATTGATAACAATCTGCCCCCTTTATCAATCAAGATTTTCACCTCACACAAGTAGTTACCTTGGTTCCTGTGATTTTTGTGAACAAGTTTTAAAATTTTTATATTCCAAAATGCACCTGATGTTAGTATGCATTATTCATCCACAATAAATACGACCTTGTTTGCCCAAATTTTCAAGGTTAGTATGAATACTAATCATATCAAATTCAAAGCAGAGTTTTTCTAATTATTTAATTATCATATTTTTACATTCTGTTTGTGTTGGTAGGGAAAATTTTATTTGTCTATGACCATCAAGGAGGCCATAAAGCCGCCCTACAATTGTAGGGACGACTGACGATACGGGTCTAAGAGGAGCCATTCTGCGCTCTATTCTATTATACGCACTTCTTCCAGGAGCATTGATAGCTAAAAACAATGCATCGAGATCATGTTGCTTAAAGTGTTGTATAGCAAACACTATGACTTTTTGATAGCACTGGTTTTACTAGTCCATGGTCAGTTTTAGCTAATGGTCGAAGCTCTTCAAGTTCGAGAAGCGTCCCGAAATCCTGAGCATGAGTATTGGCAGTAGCGATGTATGTTGGTCCAGAATATCCAACGGCTTGCGGTTGTCGTAGCATATTGGAAGTGATTTTGATATCAGCATAAACAGATGGTATTAATTTATGACGCTCAGCGATTACCCAATCGTGATCAGGCAATTTGATTCTATATTCCATGTGCATTAGAAGAGGTGCTTGCTTATTTGCCGCAGTTACGCCAATAGGGACTCGAGCTTTATCATCTTGAGATATGAAAAATACTTGATCTGGTCCAAGTATGGATGCTATGTTCTCTAAATAATGGATTGATGTTTCAGCGAATTTGCTATCTAAGTGGCTCTTGTGGTGATCAGTTTGAGCCCGAATGAGCTTAACAGGGACATGTCTTCGTCCCTCTGCAGAATTATATATGCAGTATATTTCTGGGAATCAAACGAAGATATGTCCCACTGCAACTAATGTCAAATCCTATTTTATGTAATTCTTGTGTGAGTTCATTAAGAGTTTTTACGCTGCGAATTGATTCCGTTCGTCTTCTATGATCTGCTGCACTCCCAAATAAAGCTATATCAGCGATTGTTTTCAATAGTGAGTGTTGATTGCTTTCAAGATTAGGACGTCCCACTGAATCCCTCAGAGATAGTCTTTTTTTTATTTCTGGATTTTCATGACAAATATCTTCTAACTTTCTTTTCATACCATCCCTGTGTTTCTTCTGGGCAACTGCGTTTTGAACCTTCCTGTTTAAAGACTGTTTTGCTGTTTTTATTTCCTCGCGCAACTTAATGATCTGTTTATCAACATCAGCACGGCTTGGCATAGTATCACTGGCAGAATACAAAGCATTCAGATTTTTTTCGAGTAGAGCAATCTTATTTTTCATAGCTTCCTGAGAAGGTTTTGCTCTCTGTTTATCTGTATTTTCGCATTGCTGTTGTGATTCATTACCGGGTTTTATTTTATCTTCTTCCTCTTTTTTAATATTTGAAGCTGACTGTATAATTTGTGTTTTTTCTGCAGGTTTACAGTTTGCCTAAAAATAAAAACTTTCTATGGCTTCTGCTAAAGATTCTCTTATTAAGCTACATAAATACAAAGTATGGCAATATACAGGGTGACTTTGAAGTTGAGTCATTAATTTTCAGATAATGATTGTAGAAGGAAGATAAACCAAAATATGTGTGTAAAAATAAAAAAGAAATTAAAAAAAAAAATTACCTTTTTTTATAAAGTATCCTCCCGACAAGTATTTCAGTGCGGACCTGTATTTGATCGTGAGGTCTTGGCGCACCGGCACGCCGTCCCCTGTGAGGTCTTAAGTCACCTAATTCACGAGCCCGTTGTACTACATTAACAAAGGCACGAGGGGTTGGTTGCACTCGATTGGGAAACCGATCCGCATAAACATGTGCCATTTTTTATTTCTTTTGAGCCACGCAACAGACACCACTATTCACTCACGCGTTCCCGACTGACCGTGACCGTATAGGTATACAACTGAATAAAATAATTGTAAAAACCGTTCCAAATTCTTTCGCTTTTTTGTTTCCGATGCGATGAACCGATAAGGCGGATTATATCCGTTGTTGCCAAACACGAGCACATAATATTATTATTGAGACAGGGCGGTACTCAAACTTCCAAAGGGCTATAACTTTGTTACTTTAATTTTACCAGAAAAATGGTAAAGGAAAAAACATTTCTTTTGATCAGATCTACTCACTGTTAAAATAAATGACTCAACTTCGAAGTCACCCTGTATATGGTAAATACAAAACCCTATGGCTTTCACCTTGATACACCACAGTAGGGGTGACAGAACTCCGCCCTGAGGGCAGCCTCTAGCTACACTCACGCTGCAGGTTATAGATGGGCTAAGACTTAGAGGACAGACAGAAATGATGGAAATGAGTGATTTGGCGTGTTGTGGTCTGGATCTCATTTTCGTAATTTTTCGCGATTACAGTATTTTCTCGCCAGTGGCGTAGGAAGTATAAAACTAGTTGTACTAGAATTGGCATTTTTCCTGGCGTTCATCTACTCCACTGCTCCTAGTGCATCCCTAAGAAAGTGCAGTCAATATACAGGGTGGCCCATAAGTCCTTTGAGCTGGAAGAAAAGGAATAAAACCAAACTAGTTACATTATGAATAATTATTATATTTTGTTATCATCTTTATTGAATGGGAATTGTATTTTAAAAATCACATCGTCTAAATGCAATCCATTACGATCACGGCACTCATATAAACGACGTCTAAAATTGTCGATGACTGCGCGGCAAGTCAACACTGTAATGCTTGCCATTTCTCTTAGGATATTTTCTTTTAGGACATCAACTGATCGAGGAGTGGTGTCGTACACTTTACTCTTGAGGAAGCCCCATAAAAAGAAGTCCATTGGGGTCAAATCTGGACTACGTGGTGGCCAGGAAATGTCTCCTCTTCGAGAAATTACTTTGCTGGGAAAAAATTGACAGACGACGGGCATAGAAGTGTTGGAGGTGTGGGCAGTTGCTCCGTTCTGTTGAAACCAGGTCTGCGTATTATAGCCTGGAAAATTCTGCAACGCCGGTGTCAAAAACTCTTCTATCATTGCTACATACCGCTCCGAAGTAACAGTTAATGCGCGACCTCTGTCGTCCTCAAAAAAATAAGGGCCTACGATGCCATGCGCTGACATAGCAGCCCAAACTGTAACTTTAGGGCTGTGTAAGGGCTTCTGATGCTTACGCCTTGGATTTTCGGGGCTCCAATAACGGCAATTTTGTTTATTTACATGCTCGTTTAAATGGAAGTGAGCCTCGTCCGAGAACAACACATTATTGAGCGAAGAAAATCGATTCAACATTTCATTCGCAAAGTTTAGTCTCTGAATAGCGTCATTATCTTTTAATTCCTGCACTAACTGAATTTTGTAAGCGTGCAGACGTAAATCTTTCCTTAAAATCCGCTGTAAAGATGTTCTGGGTACGTTTAGTGCACTGGAACGCTTACGAGTAGACTGGATAGGATTTTGACGAACAGACTGTGCCACAATGTTGATGTTTTCTTCAATACGAGTTGTCCTTGGTCGACCCCACCGCTGTTTATCTAACGTCGAACCAGTCTCTTCGAACTTAGCAACCCAGTTCTTAATCGTTTGAGCTGTTGGACACTTTGTAAAATTGTGGTATTCTCGATATTTACGCCGCGCAATGGTTGCCGAATCATTATTTTGATAAAACGCGCGCACACAAAAAGCACGATCCGCTCCAGTGAAACACTCCATGGCGACTGAATTCCCAGACACTGAAGATACTGCCCCCACCTCGCCCGCGCCGCTCACGCTCAACCGTTAAATTTTATTCAAATTTGAAATTTCAAAGGACTTATGGACCACCCTGTATAATCACATCCAAAGCATATTCCTTTAAACACAGATTTGGATTTTCTGGTATGAATTGGTCTCGCCGCCTCTGAAGCATACCCTACATGGTACAATCCATATGCCTTATCATCCTAGGGCGAGTTTACCTGATGATGTAATAATCACTGTTATCGCCACGAAATTGGCGAAAAAAAATTATAACACGGTTTTTCTGATGTTGTTTTTGTATCATAGTATGATTGATTCATTGTTTGGGATCTGGGGTTGATTATTGCTTTTTTTTCATTGTTTATTATAATCCAATAAATTGGATTTTCTTTTCATTTGTAAGCCCGATGATGAAAGCACATACAGATGGTTTGAACCATCTAGGTGCATCTTTCTGTCATGGGGATGTCCTTGATGAAGAGGAATTATATTCTTGTTGCTGTTTTATTATTAATTAGTCCATATTTGTTTCAAGTTGTTTTGGTAAATATTAATAATAATAAACAAATAAACATAATGATGTTATTTATGGATCATTTATGCATTAAGACCCATTTTACCTCCACAAGGAAAAAAAGAGGTGAATGTGAAATCAGCCTATCATGACATTTTTGTTACTGATTGTAATGTCTTGACCCCGTGCTATAGACTGCATATTTCTGATCTCCCGTTTTCTCTTAATTATTAATAAACAGTCCTCATTAAGTATTGATGTAAATATCATTTTTATCTCGATATATAGTCTCGATTCTTTTTATGGACATTCCACAGTCGGTTTTTTGTGTGTTTTTTCTCATCAAAATACACAAATGCTGTCCAGATGAGCAATTTTGATTCATGGATACAATTTAGGATTATTCTGAATGAAATGATTTTTAATTAAGTTTCACCTCTGGCAGTTGCATTTGACCATGCCCAGAGCATAACAGATTTATTTTGGAGATAGGGTCATCATGGGGCTTAAAGGGAGAAACAACCCACCAAAACTTTGAGCACATGATGTAATCTTCATATAGTGGTGTTGCAACTCAAAAGTTAGTTTTCACCATCTTGGTGTCTTGGGAAATATACCGTGGGTCTTGCAAGTTAGAATAGGGTCCCTATCATTCTGCTGCCAGCGATGTTATCAGGAATTAACATATTTTTATAGGTTAATTATTATGCCTTAGGCCAGCGAGTATGTATAGACTACAGAAGACGTAGGTTAGAAGCCTTATTTTCTAGTAACTGCATTGGTGTAGTCTAGGCCTTGGGTCTGAAATACCCTAGGGATGTGGGTGCTCATTTTAAAGGTCTCGACATTCAGCCGTATTCATAAAAGAGAAGCATATCCTCGGAAGCAGAAGGTAAAAGTATAATGTCTTGCTTCTGGATACAGTTTTTTATCAAATTAATAAGCATGTCATCCTCAAGTGATGAGGAAACTATAGGAAATAATGGCAACGACCTTCAGTTCATCGCAGATGAAATTGCCATTGCTCCCATTATTTTGCAAAACTCACAAGTTCGAAAAATAAAAATGAGAAAGGACGCTGCCTTGAAGAAGATGTTGAAAAAATACGAATCAATATTCGGTAAACCATTGGATACTAAAGGCTTATTAAAAAACATGAAATCAAGATTGAAGAAAAAATAGATCTAAAAAAAAAACTGGTAATAACGCAATTAAATTGTTAGATTGGGAAAGAAAGTTGCTGAAAGCTATGGAAGGTGACTGTAATCCTACAATTGGGAAAATTAGAGGTGCCATTCAGGTTGGTAGTGTTCAAGAAGGAAGAAGTGAACTATATATACCGAGCGCAGTAAGCAAATAGTTAGTATTACAGCGTCAGAAATTCAGAAGACATTGCCAACAAAAAGAAAATTAGCAACAGAGAAATACGAAACTGAGGAAACCAAAGGGTTAACTACAAAAGAACTGCAACGTTTAGTGCTATTACAGCAGTACCAAACAAGTATTTTACAATAGGTGTATTATAAAACGAAATTAGAAATGATGCAGCGTCAGAAGCCACCTGTAACTTATGATGTTCACGAAAATAAAACTTATAACTTATAAATACACTTTAATCAATAAAACTATTTATTATAATACTCAAGTATCTTCTTATTTGTTGACCTAGTTGGCGGAGAGGAAGTTCGTCATTCTCATGATTTCCTTCATCTTCATCTGGATCTTATTTAACTAACTCAAAGTCAGGATCGCCCAAGCTCTTCGCAACAATATGGAGTACAATACAAGCAATAATTATTTTCGACACATGTTCCAACTTTGCTCGGCAAACATACTGTAGGATAGGAAACCGGCGTTTCAGTTAGCCGAAACAGCGTTCAATTATAACTCTTTCTTGTTTTAAAAGCTTATTATAATTTATTTCTGCAAGTGGAGTAGTATTTCTGAAGGGAGTCATAAGGCAAGGCTCAATACCATAACCGTCATCGCCAAGTAGTACAACATTTGCTTTATTTATTAGTTGTGATCTAGTCTGTGAATTTCTCCATATTCTGGAATCATGCTCTGATCCAGGCCCACTGAAATCAACACTTGTGAACATCTCTCTGCCATCACAAGTGACTTGCACATTTAAAGTAGGTTTCCCTTTTCGGTTGATATACACATCTCCATCGCGATTTGGTTTCAGGATTCCTATATGTGTACAATCAATTACACCAGTTGCTGTCGAAAATTTATACATGCTTTGCCATATCCGCTTGTCCTCAATCAGTTCATGGTTGGTAGTTGGAAACTTGATCCATTCGTTCGACTGTGCAACTATGCTGTTCACAACTCTATCCACAGTCCGAGATACCGTTGCTTGACTGACACCAAGTTCCTGACCAATACCTTGTTGATATACAGGGTCACCGAGATAGCGTAGACATATCTTCATGTTATTAATACATGAAAGTGCTCCTCCTCGAGTTTCCTCATTCTCAACTAAAAATCTGTCCGCAAGCCATTGTACATTTGCTTCGTCGAACCGATATAATTTTTTGAAGTCACGACCAAGTGAAGGTAAACGAGGTTTGTACGTTTTAACATCCCTAACATCCACAATTTCCGCCATCATCGTTTGACCACCTTTCGTTACCAAGTTGAGTCTGCTACCGACCACACTCTGAATTTTTGAAGGATATGCCTCCTATGCCGAGTATAAGGTGAAAATTATGAATATCCTTTTACTTATGTTGCTTTGAAGGATATGCTTATACTCAAAAAGCAAAAGCATTTACTTCAAATTATTATAAATATCATCTGGAGGATTTTCTTCAAAATTTGCAAGTACAAGGATATCCTTTGTTTTATGAATACGGCTCATTGGACATTGAATACGAGTACTTTCGATTGTATAGCAATAGGCTGACCGTCAAGATTTGTGGCTTAATGGCTGGACGTGTCCAGAAGTACCCACTGACCGACCCGGCACTACCAAGTGGTAAGGGGATGATTTAGTCTTATGTCCAAATGACTAGTGCATACCAGTTTAGTTTAATATTGGTACAGTTCATAAGTTACTTTTAGGGTTTTGGTTTTTTATATGTTTTTGGACTAATAAGAAGGCGTATTTGGAGTAATGGATCTAATGAATTTCTTATAAAATGTCTCTCAAGCTAGCGGAAATTTGTACGATTTGTGTATGATGGGCTCCTAATTCTCATATGAAATCAAGAAATACTTCGCACCTTGGGCTTAATGTCGCGCTGTGGGCCATGGATGCGCATTTGGCGCTAAGATACACAAATAACCATACCATTACTTTAACAGGTCACTAGAGGTCGGATGTAGAACAGGTTACCGACTCTACTCCTTGAGCAACGTCGAGGAGCTCGACCAAATCTACAGCAATGGCTGTGAAGACTGTTGTATAGTGGAACGGTTGTTTAGTAGCAGCCTGGTGGCAGTCGTCTGCTTGACCTCACCCAGAAAACTCAAGGTGTGCCATTTCAAGAAGGGCACCGAAATATGCAACTACTCGTATTCTAACACAATTTTGGCTGTTAAACTTAACAGGTAGGTCTTGCTCTTATTAAAAATCACACAAAAATTGTAGGAAAATATCATTCTTTATGCCCAAAACTAATGTACATATCGTCGCCTTTCTCACGAAGTCTCCTAACTGACAAAATATCAGAAATTGAGCTAAATCGCCTATAGGTGTGTTATTCCATGCCGCTTGATCTGACGAAGTGGCATAGCAATATATCTACTGATGTAGGCAACCACATCATTCACCCCTGTATGTCCTATCTGCATAGATAAGCATATAATTCTCACGAAGAGACCTAAATGAAGATAGGTCTCTTAGTGTGCAATAATCCTTGTTAGTATACGCACTTCGGTGGTCTAACTGAACGATGTTTTATGTTTAGCTATTTTATACCTAACCTATAATGAAACGTAAACAGGCGGCAGTTGATTTATTTTGTCTATAAACAGGTTTTATTTATATTTTTCTGTTTTGAAGGTGTTTTATCTATATTCTATATAATACATAAAGTGAAAATAGGTAAGTTATATTGTTGTATTAGTACTGGAATTTGTTATATTTCTAATAAACAGGTATGGAAGGAATTGACCAAATAATGTTGGAATACCTAGTCTCAACGTATGCATTTGGTTTAGATTCCGTCATACGTTATGGATGTCCTGGTTTTGTGGGCCGATGGAACACGAAATGTCGTCGATTCCGGCGAACTGAAGTTGATTGGGTGCAAAACACTATCTATTGGCTGCAAAGTGAAAATGCTTTACGAAGGCAAATGGTATTCAGGAGAAGTGCGTGCTGTCGAAAAACTGGATGAAAGTGGATGGCAGCCATCAGAAGATATAGTCGACGAGGATTTGTCAGTTAGATCGGACGATCTCCCACTTAGTACTTTTGTAAGAGAGTGGAAGAAAAATCAATGGTCAGTGTTTCCTTTGGTAAGGGAAACAGAAGTAGCTCTGACGACGAAGATGGTCCCTTACGTTATTTCGCCAAGAAAGCTTATGGAAGGAAAATGGACATTGAAGCTGAAACCAACGAATATGATTATTTCTCTGATGATTCAGATGCCGATCCTTCATTTGGTAAATGTGAAGTGCGATGGTGCAAAGACGAAGTATGGGCCGCCTGCCACAAATGTGAAATCCTCTTATGTTGGAATCATTATCATGGAATCATGAAGAGCCAAAGTTTTGTTCTCAACATGGGATTCGTCAGCATGTTACTGCAGAAGATCTAATGGGAAATCATAACAATCCAGAAGATTATACTGTTGATGGCGCAGAGAAGGAAGTGCCTATTACACAAATAAAACAAAAAAGAGCCAATGCGCAGAAGTTAGCAAAAAAGTTGCGTGATACTGGAAAAGAATATAAAAGTCCTGCGACAAAACAGATTATTCCGCCAAAGTCTATTAAAGAGGGATGTGACAGGGAGAAGTGCAGGAAGGCCGGAAAAAGCTGTTTTCGAATCAGTGATACAAATAGGAGTGAAATATTTAAACAATTTTATGAGCTGGGGAATCTCATAAAACAGAGAACCGGAAAACTTGAATCTAGGCGGTCCTTTACTATGAAGTATTACCTTACAGAAAATGGACAACGTTACGTCGTATGCAAGAAGCTGTTTCTTAGTACTCTTTCTATTTCATCTCGTACATGTAGAACTGTAATATCTAAAACAAACGGCAATGGTATTTTCAATTTTAGAAGGCGAAAAGAGGGGAGGACCACAAAGAAGTTACGATAGAATTCAAATAGAAGAATTTATTCGGGAAGAAATCGAAGATCATATTCGAAGATTCCCATGCGTCGAATCTCACTATTGCAGATCAACATATTCAAGAATGTATCTTCATTCCGACTTATCTTTACCTAAGATGTACAACATGTTTTTAGAACATCTCGAAAGCTCTGGTTTGCAACTGAAAACCAGTTTAGCCACCACGATCCTAGTTATGACAGTATTGAGTTAAAAAGATGATGAGAAATAGTCATAATATAAACGATATCGAACTAGAACAACTCAATAAGGAACCTGTAAAAATAACAAAAAAGAAGTACTCTGACTTAGTTTCGTTATGTGCAAATCCAAGACCTGTTGTATGCTTGCCAGAACCCCAAAACTTTTTTAGAAATTTGCCCCATGAAACGAAATGAATTATTAGTAACTATTATTTTTTTGTATATCCATAACACAACAACATTAGGTTGTACAATGTTAACAAATAATGTTCAAATCTGTTGTTTTTCTTTTAGTTTTTACTGTAATAAAAATTGCTTTGACGTTTCGAGTTGTTATTTTCATCCTTTCACCTAATATTTATGTCATAGTGTACATCAATTTTGGCCATGGACAATCAGGGAGATTTCGTATGGGGCACAACTTTAAAAATTCGATGTGTACTTTTTTCTCTTTTAACTTCTAAGATAATCGCCCACCGGGCTGGGAATATGCTTCTTTGCTTATAACTGGATTAAATAAATTCTGTTTATCTTGAACAAGTATAATAACAAAACCATCAATAAAAATATACTTTAGCACTATCTGACAAAGAGCTTCTGAAAATTCTCACGAAGTGACCTATATGAGTTTTCCAATTTTTTCCAAAATAACTTGATAAGTTACCGCAAAATTTGGAACAGCATATAATCCACAATGAATATGGGCTGATGCACTGGCGTTTTCAATGCGGAAATATCTAAGCTGTTCATACAATGCTCATTCAATCAGACGCTTATTTCGTTTTCTTGCTCTCCTGTAAAATTTATTAAATGGTGGTTAGGACACTTCGTGAGAAAGGCGACGGTATGTCCTAAAAGTTTTGGCACAAAATATTTATCGATTTTTTTTAATGAAGAAATTTATTTAAACAATAACTAGTCATCATAAATTACAACTCAATACTTAACTATAAACTATACTATCGAATTATGTGGAGTGGCCTTTTCTGCTCTATCTGACGCAACTTTCTTAGGATGTTTCTCATGAAGTCCTGGACGGAATTCAGATCAATTTCTTCCAGTTTCTCGTAAATTCTTAATTGTCCTTCATATTGGGCTTCCCAGCCTCTATGATAAACCTTCCTAGACAGCAAAGCCCAAAAATCCTCTATTGGTCGAGTCTGCGGCAAGTTTGGAGGATTATCGTTTTTGGGAGCAAAAGGTATGTTGTTGAAGCCAGTTTTGGGTATCTCTTGAGAAATGGCATGATGCTAGGTCTGGCCAAAACATGATTTGGTCATTAGCATGATGTTCGTGGACAAACTGAAGCAATTTGGAAAGACATTTATCAATATAGCTCTGACTATTCAAAGCTTCACCCTCACTCTTCCCACAAAAGGTTGGGATACGCCCCTGTTAGAAATTGCGCACCAGACAAGGATTTTATCTGCAAATTTCACTTTATGTTTGTATCTAACATTGTCAGGGCATTCCTCTACGTTGTCCGTATAAAATCCGCCGTTTGCCTTCATTTCAGATTTACTCAAAGTGAAATACTTTCCGTCATCTAAAATAATATTTTTTTCATTGGCAAAGTGTACCCGCCTAAGTTGATGACAGCTTCTTGGTATATGAGGGAGTTGCGCTTGAGAGTATTTGGGGAACTTAAGACTATTTCGATATCTCCTCAATTACAACGATATCATACTCTTAGATCTGTGTTGTCATTCAAAACCTGATTTTTTGCTGTTCTCTCTGACCTCTGTGCAGTAAATGCACGTGGCCTTCCACTTTTTGGGAGATGCAGACAAGATATTCCTTGCTCGAACTCCGCTATTGTTCGATAAGTGGTTCTGCGTTCTGGAAGATTCGACAGAATTCAGCTTTGGGTACCCGCTCCACCAACTTGCAATACATTTTCTTATTTCTAATTTATACGACATCTTGAAGCGAAAACTTCTTCTTCTTCTTCCTACTTTATTAATAGGCTCATGCCTGTTTTACGTCGGTTTTTAGCCTCAATTGATGTTGTCTGACCATCTTTTCCTCGGTCGTCCCATTGATCTTCTTCCATTTGGCGATTTGTCTCTTGCTATTCGTACTGTTCTATTTTCTATCAATCTTTCTTTGTGTTAATTCCATTCTATTTTTCTTCTTTTGGTCCACAAATTTATTTCCTCTATACCACATCTCGCTCGTATTTCCTCACTTCTTACTTTGTCTCTTAGAGTTTGGTTTGTTATTTTTCGTAAGACTTTCATTTCTGCTGTTTCCAATAATCTTTGTGTTTTCGCCGTATCTGCTCTTGTCTCCGCTGTGTACGTCATTATCGGTCTTATTGTTGATTTATATATCCTAGTTTTCGTTTCCGTTGTGAGGTATTTGTTTCACCAGATTGTATTGTTGAGACATCCTGCTGCTCTGTTCGCCATGTTCACTTGTTTTTGTACTTCTTCTTCCACTTTTCCATAGCGTGACAGTTTGATTTCCAAGTATTCCGTTTCCATCACTTGTTCTATTATTTTGTTATTTACGAAAAATTTATATCGTCTCGGTTCCGCTGATATCACTACCGATTTAGTTTTCTCTGTTAAAATCACCCTGTTGTATATGAGCGCCGTATCTTCGAATTCTTTAATTAACCTTTGTAGGTCATCTTCATTTTCGGCTATTATTATGGCGACGTCGGCATAGCATATTATCTGCATTTCCTTTTCTCCCATTCTATATCCTCTTCTTTTTTTAACTTTCTTTATGATTTCATCCATTATCAGATTAAATATTAGTGGGCTCAGCGAATCTCGTTGTCTAATGCCAGTTTCATACTTGATAGGTTGCGAGAGTTTTCCTTTACATCTTACCATAGGTATGTTATCTTTATATATATTCTCAATATAGTTTTTACTAAATCCAGTGGTAATACCCTGTCATATAATAAATGTATCGCGTCCCGAATTCTCACTCTATCATACACATATATGCTGGTTTGTTGTATTCCAGCGACTTTTCTTTTATTTGTCTTATTACAAAAACTGCATCCGTGCATGATCTTCCTGTCCGAAATCCTTGCTGTTCCTCTTGTAATTCCTTCATTTATTTTTTTCGCTATTATTCTTGTTGTCAATTTGAGTGTTGTATTTAACAGATTTATTAGTGAAAACTTGAAAAAATAAATGTCATCTGACAGTAAAGTAAGTAAATAAACTTTTATTTAGAAATGCAACTTGATATTATTTTGTGTTTGTTAAAATTAAAGACAGTTAATGTTGTGCCATAACTTTTAGGACATTCCAATTTTTCCTGCACATAAATGGGGATTTTCCTGCAATTTTAATAGAACCTCCAACTGATTCGCCTCATTGGTGACACTTGGATTATTTATACATTTTTTACTATGTTCCACTGCTCCTCTTGATTCAAAACGTTCTCGTAGTGTGGAAAATGTTTCCGGCCTTGGATGTGGGTACCGTTTGCTTATAAATGCGAGATGCTAGGAAACTATTTCTTTGGGCTTCGCCCAAAAAGAGCACCATATTTACCATTTCTTCTTTAGAAAAATCTATTTTCAAACACGTTTTTATTATAATGCTCACAAAGCTAATTTTGACAGTTTGTAACTAATCAACAATTTATTTGTTTCCAAGGATGATGCGATAGTTTGGGGAATTAAGCCGTTCCATTAAAGACGTGCTAGTAACCGAAAAAATAGCCGTAAGAACCCTTATGTGTCTAGTATCAAATAAAGCTTATAAATATTGAATCCAAACTTGTTCAAATATACAGGGTGATGCATTTGAAATTTTTTAGAAAAACTACAATTTGCGGTTTTGACCACCCTGCATGAGCAAAAATTAAAGTTGGAAACAGTAACAAATAAGATAAAAGCTGAGTGTGTAAGATATTTTTTGACACAAAATTCAGCACTCCAAATTCCAAAATGGCGGACTGAGGGGTTGCCGAAGTGGTTTTTTTTTTCTAGACAAAACACCTTATATCTCAGTAGCTAATTACGAAAATCCCATAGTTATATCAATTTTCTTCTTCTGAATTCGTTTATCCAAATATGCAATAAAATTTGAGGCATTTCATTTGAAAAATCACAACTTTGATATGTAGGTCGAAATTGGGATACCCTGTATAATGACCAATATTTTAGAAATGTGTCCTAACATGTCATCAATAACATCCCATTAATAGATTTTCCCAAAATGTATTTGTTTATGAGTAATAATCCGTCCACACATGGATGGGTACACTGTATATATATATATATATATATATATATATACGAGCCCCTTCAAACTTGTGCCAAAATATGCCTTTATAAACTAAACATGACTAGAGTGTATCTAAAATGTTTTTGAGAAAATAAATTGTTTTAGAAGTAAATAGTTTTATTTACTTCGAAAACAATTTATTTTCTCAAAAACATTTTAGATACACTCTAGTCGTAAAAAATACATATTTGAAATCACTTAGACCTATAACTAATAGAACATCTGAACAAATAAACAATGTGCGAATAAATGCGCGAAGTTAACAAAGCAACAATTGAAAGATTACCATTGGGTAACATCACCTTTATTTTTTATTACGGCTGAAATTCTTTGGGGCATAGTGTTAACCAAGTTTTGGCAAAAATTTGGTGTAAAACAATCCCATATTTCTTGAAGCTTTTGTCTCGGTTCGGTGATTTTACGAGCAGGATGTTGTCGTAGAACCTTTTTCATCTCGTGCCACAAAGTTTCAATAGGTGACAGATCTGGACTGCTAGAAACCCATTTCAAAAGCGGTACATTATCTTCTTCCATCCATTTTATAGCCTTTTTTGAGGTATGGCACGCTGCACCATCTTGCTGAAACACAAAATCTTGTCCGGATGTCAAACATTCTTCCATCACTGGTAAAAGCGACTCTTCTAAAATTGCCAAATATTTGTTAGTATCCACATTTCCATCAATAAAATGAAGTTTTCCTACTCCTTTTGATGACATACTGCCCCAGACCATAATGGATGCTGGAAATTTCACTTTTCTCTTCAGACAGTCAACATGGAATGCTTCATTTTTTTGCGAATAACTCTACTGCGACTGTCACCAACACAAACTTCGAATCGGGCCTCATCACTCCATTGTATTGCACACCATTGTTGAGGTATCCATTGTCTATGTTCTTTAGCCCATCTAAGCCGATTTTTCTTTTGCAGTGAAGTGAATAGTGGCTTTTCTTTGGCCTATAAACAAGTTGTGCAACTTTAGGGTTTTTACTTCACCTTTTTTATAAGAAAACTTACCTTGCAAATGCTAAATTCCAGTTTGTGGGCCTCTCTATGAGTTGTTGACCTCAAAATTCTCCTTCCAACAGCGTCACTCCACAGAGCACTTAATTGTAAATAATTGGCACGCCTGATTTTCACGATTATTCTTCTTAATGCTCTTCGGTCGGCATTTGTGATATTACTTTTTTCACATATCGTGGCTTAATATTAACTGAACCAGTTTCGTTATATCTTTAACAATATTTCTCACACTGTACCGCGAGAAGTCTAACAAAGTTGCAATTTTTGATTTTGATTTCCCAGAATTAAAAAAACCGAATTTTCTCACTACCCATTTTGAAAACCTTAACTACCCAAAACTATTTTAAACGTATTCTGACAGCTGTAATTAATAAAAACAATTGTCATGGCTTCTATTTTTCACAGCCACCTATGCGTTATAGACTTATTTTGCATTGCAATGAAAATAGGTTGATATGCTGTAATTGCAACATGTGTTATTTATTAATATATATATATATATATATATATATATATATATTGTTTTCATAACTAGATCACGGCTGGTAGTATGTCTGGAAGAGAGTCTCCACATCCACAACATCAGGGACATGAAGGTCCTACATACCATTCGGGATACACCGCCAAATCCTCAAGGATTATGCGCATTGACCGTAAACAGCGGGGACTGCTACCTCGCGTATCCTGGCTCTTCCACCATTGGTGAAGTTCAAATATTTGATGCCATAAATTTGGTGAGTATTCTAATCTTCGCAAGCTATTTACCATGATGCCTCAGCATATTCTGACGTCCAATTAAGCAACCCTTTGTACCAGTTTTGTACTGTTGGCAGCAGTGATTCTACTGACATTCAGAAGCTTATCAAATATTTCATTCTTGGCTGACTTCAAATGTAGTTATGATCATAAGTAGCTACATTGACTGGTTCATGCTGATTGTAAAGGTTGTCCCAAAATTAACGCAAGTTCTGAATGATATAGAAATTATAGTTTTAAGTCTTTCGACTGTTGTTTTTTTACTGAACCATAAAGTACTTAGGATAGGCTTATGTATGGAATAATCACTCTCATACTCTTTTGTCTAATCTTAGACGAAAATACCCCTGGTTTGCGAAATAATTGTAAAGTCTGGTTTTATTGTTGCAAGTTGTTTAAGGGGGTATTCAAAACATGGACGCATAAAATGGGCACACCAATGTTTGTGAAAAAACTTTTTATCCGACAACAAAGAATGAGAAAACGTGTTTTTTGGGATTCAACCGAAAGTGTTGACAGGAACGAAAAAACTCTTCATATAAGATTTTTAGATATTTATGAGACCTACAGAATGAGACAACACCTAAACAGATCCGACTAATAGCAAAAAAGTTATGGCTGAAAACTGAGGCGCAGTGCAGGTTTTGGCACTTGTTGGTAATGCGACGATGGTTTCTCGCAGATCATAGATGCATCCGCTTTGTTTTAAAATGTGTATAGTAATGTATGATTTTCGAATACCGTAGCGCATTTGTTCAATTACAAATACGAAATGTTTGAATTTGCTTAGAAGAAAAAACTTAACCGTTGTTTTTTTCATAAAAACAAAATTTATCTTTCGAAATGGTTTGCGGTTCATATCGGTAAGGTAGACACGTGTATTTTGCTATTAAATGCTCTTTGAAGGAACCCTGTATATTGCTTAGGATGATTTTGGTCGAAAAATCAGTATCCACTTGTTGGAGTTCAACAATCCATTTCACGAACTCTCTTCGCTGTTCGTGGTCATTGGGCTTCATTTGTTGTCGTCAAGTCATCGTTGGTTGTCAGAGCGGTCCGTGGGACCTTAGCTGTTGAGTCACAGTGTCAGTTTGTAAGTCTGTCAGGTCTGGTAACCCAGAAACCAGACAATTTTAAGGAAAAAAGGGGAAGGAAAGGAGAGAAGGAAGAACGAGAGCAAAGGGGAAGAAGAGAATCTTTTAGGATATGCAGCGTTTAGGCATTGTTAAAATCGCTTCACAGATTTTGATATGGTCTAAAAATATTTGATTTTTTCTAAAGATTGTGTAAAAATGCTCAAATTTTGGTTGTTCTAAGTTCACCAGTTAATTTTGATTACAGTGCGAGCCGCGGCCTTTTGTGCTTGCGAACTTGCTCGACTGTGTAGTCTACTGAATCACGCAACAGAGGGTTGCTGTGCGATTCCGCTAGGCTATAGCGCCGCTGCGCCTGTTGCTTAATGTAGTCCTTTAGGTAAGGGACATCGAGGTCTCTATGTAGAGTTTCGTTAGAGACATACCATGGGGCATCAGCAATAGTGCGCAACGTCCTGCTTTGCAGAACCTGCAGACTTCGCATGTGTGTTTTAGCAATAAAACACCAAGCCGCACATGCGTATGTCATTGCTGGTCTTATGACCACCTTATAGAGTCGAATCTTGTTAATCAAACTTAATTTTGACCGTTTACATAATAATGGGTAAAGCTGCCGAAACGTAATTTGGAATTTAGTTATTAGCGCTTCCATATGGTTCCGCCAAGTCATCCCTTTGTCCAGAATGACACCGAGATACTTAGCGGAGGATTCCCATGGTATACGAAGTCCATTCATTGAAACTTCAGACGGAACGCCGCGACGTCTTTTTGTACAGTAGATTGCCTGCGTTTTCGAATGGTTTATTTTAATTAGCCACCGATCCGCCCAATCTAATACTTCTTCCACCGCACTTTGCAGCCTGTCATGGACTAGGTCACCAGACCACGACTGAGCCACCAATGCAGTATCGTCAGCATAGAGATAGACTTCACAGTTGCTGGGACTAGGGACGTTGTTGTCTTGATTGAATTTTGTAAGCATGGCGACACAGATCTTTTGTGAGTATACGCTGTAAAGAGCTGCTTCTAATTTGCAATTCTTATCCACGATGCCGAATTGACGTTCCTGGGTTTTCACCAACACTCTCATGTACTGCTTGGACATTTGAACGGCTTGTTTTTGGACGCCCGGTGTGTTCAGCGTCTCCAACTGATCCAGTCTCTCTGAATTTTTGAATTAATCTTTTCGCAGTTGACAAGAGACTACATCAAACAAGAAGTGCAGCTACGTTATAGTCAAGCGGAATCGCATAGCAACCCTTTGTTGCGTGAGTCAGTAGACTACACAGTCGAGCAAGTTCGCAAGCACACAAGGCCGCGACTCGCAATGTGAACAAAATTAGATCGTGCGACTTTAGGTCCAACCAAAATTACAATTTGTTTTTTCAACAACCAATCCCAAAATTAATTTTAGGATCAATTTAAAATTGCCGAATACTAATTAGCAATGCCAGGGCACCCCTCAAATTGAAGCACTTCTTTTTTCTTTACTCTCCCTCCTTCCTTCCTTTCTTTTTCCCTTTTTTCTCCCTGACTTTGTTTGGTATCTGGGCAACCAGACCTGTCAGACCTACTGACTTACAAGACTTTAACCAAGAGCAAAAGTCCTACGGACCGCTCTGACAGACAATGACGAATAGAGAAGGTTATATTTTGTATAAAATTCTCGAACTGCGGACGCTAAACTTTCATTATTTTTGAAATACTGTTCAATAATGAAAACACGTTGTATTGTATACGTCAGCTGTCAAACTGTTCTTTTTTCAGAGCTGCCTACAATTTACTGCAAACATGGCAGCAAATTAAAATCTTGAGTTAATTATGGGACACCCTTTATATTAAAATGATCTTAATTACTTTATGCAAAAGCTCGAATTAGGATACGGTTACTATGGATGCAAATTCTGAGGAAATTTTTTTCTGACGAGTTCTGGCTGATTCGCCAAAATAAAGTCCTGTTTTCCAATGAACATGCTTACACTGGCAGCGACCAGCATGTCAGATTATGCAGGTCGTCGTCAGAACCATTTGATGTTTTTGTACGACTGCGTCTTTTTCGCGTACTTGCGTGTTTTTCTGTTTGGAAAATACTTGGAACAGGTATTCCATTTTTGCTTGCACTCAAGAACTAACCAGCCCGATAAATAACTGTATTATTTAGAACTGATCAAACATCAAACTGACAGATTAATAATCAATGACTGCGAGAACAGAAGCACGCCATTTTAAATTGGACTTGCCAATCAACAAAGGGCAGGCTTCACAAGTTACAAATGGCGACATCACGTCAGTATCCTTCTTTTGATATTTCAAATATACCGTGTATTTTTCCATTGTTATCAATTAATACTAGCAATTTTTAGCGCTTAAGAACACGAGGGCGATCCGATAAGTACTTAGGCTACAAAGGAGAAACGAAAAGTTGCGAATTATTTCTCAACATAGACTACCTGTAGCTCGATAGACTTGAGTCAGTGATCCTCCAACTTCTTTAACCCGACTGAAATATGAATACGTTTTCTGGGGGTCTGCAAAGTAGGCCTATATGACGGCGATAATTTCCTCGTTCGACGCAAATTTCTGCCCGGCAAGTGACTTTCAAGTTTGTAAACAAAAAGAAGTCGCACGGGGCAAGATCTGGAGAATACGGCGGATGAGGCAGCAGTTCGTAGCCTAATGGGGCCGTTTTTTACTGCGATTCGCCTTCGAATCGGCCCAATAATTCGGCATAGTAGAGCCCTGTGACTGTTTTGCCCAGGTAGTCGATGTACAGTAATGGACAAAAGTATATAGACAAATATGAATATTTAACTAAATACAAATGCGTTATTAGTAGAAAAACTAAATTCCTTGTTTGTGTATATTATCTGCAATGAACACAATACAAGTCTGAATATAAGTACTTTTTTATGAGGGACAAAAATATGTAGACAAATTCTTTTCAAGATTAGTTTAGTACAGTTTCGTGTCAGAAGAGGATTAGTTTGTGTTCATCAAGTATTGCGGAATAAGTTGAGTGATTTTAAGACCATGCCGCGTGGTCCAGAAATTTCTTTCGATGTGAAAATTAAGATCATTGAGTTATACAAAGATGGTCAACGTCAAGTCGACATTGCCAAAAATTTGAAGCTGAAGCGTAGATCAGTTTGGGCAGTATTGAACAAATATAAACAAAAACATATCTTGGAAGCCTCTAGAAAACTAAACGCTAGATCAGTTAGATTAATAAAAGTAATTTCGTGCAAAGATCCGTTTAAAACCTCAAGACAAATTAAAGTCGAAAGCAAGACAAAAGGAATTGCCAACCGATTACAATTTGCACAGTTGCATCTTGATTGGAGCATCTGTGACTGGAAGAGGGTATGTTTCAGTGACGAATCCAAGTTCAATATATTTGGATCAGATGGTGTTCATTACGTTAGACGTCCTAGTGGACAAAGATTGAACCCCAAGCACTGTCAAACATGGAGGCGGGTCTCTTATGGTTTGGGGATGCTTTTCGGGGTTTGGGATGGGAGCTTTACATAGAATAGATGGTATTATGGATAAGTTTGTATACACAGACATACTAAAGCATGTCATGTTACCCTATATGAAAGACATTATACCCTTAAGATCAATCTACCAACAAGATAATGACCCGAAGCATACTTCAAATCTCGCAAAGAAATTCTTTCTGGATGAAAAAATACCAGTTCTCAAATGGCCTTCACAGTCTCCCGATATAAACCCCATTGAAAATCTATGGGAATACTCAGATAAGCAAATACGAGATAAAAATTATTCCAGTTTTTTTCAATTAATTTTTTATTGAAGGGAGTCTAATGAATTTATTTATGTATAAGTGAGTATTATGCTATAACAAATTATGTATACAGGTTGGTGTATTAATAAAACAAGTTAAAAAAGAAATACAGAACAATATTAATTTGTCTATATACTTTTGTCCATTACTATATATCACACCTTGTTAATCCCAGAAAACGGTTGCCACCACCTTTCCGGCCGATATGACAGTCTTAGCCTTCTTTGGATCAGGTTCTCTGGGCGAAGTCCACTGTTTCGACTGTTCCTTGGTCTCTGGTGTGTACCACTGGATCCAGGTTTCGTCGACGGTCACGAAACGACGGTTGATGGTGACATTTTGCAGCTATATACACTGTAAATAAAAATAATTAACCGATACTCGAATCACATACATATTCCCTATTGCTTACCGCAACCGCAAACTCCTTCGGTTTGTGCTCAAAAACCGACACGCGATTGGCAAGCCAAATGGCATATCCATACGTTTTAATTCGTGATGGCTTTCCAAGCATGCGGATGCGCTCTTACACGTCACTAAGTATCTACATCGACCATTTTCAGCACGCCAAAACCATGATACATGCTCACGACAGCCCTCTGGCGGCGCTGGCGTTCAGCCCCAACGGGCAACGGATCGCGACTGCCTCCGAAAAGGGCACTGTTATTAGGGTGTTCAGCACGACGGACGCTTCCAAGCTGTACGAATTTCGGCGGGGTATGAAACGCTGTGTCGCCATCTCGTGTCTGGCGTTTGCACCGTGCGGACAGTTCCTAGGGTGCAGCAGCAATACGGAGACGGTGCATGTGTTTAAGTTGGAGGAACCAAAAGACAGGTGAGTAATTAATGTAAAATTATAATAATAGTAATAAGCCGGCTTTATTTATACGGTGTATAAAAAGGTTATATGTCGCTAAAAAAGCGTTTTTCAACGTAACCCAATTTCGAGCATACGGGACTTTAAAACCGCTTGCATTTCCTGAAAATTTGTCATCTTTACCATTTCTGATCCTTGATGGAAGTCCTTAAGGTGCACGGCCACCGAGACGAAGAGAACAGAAGCGAAATTATTCCTTCACACTCAATCACATGAGCACTGGAGCGATTCGAAGCGATGCGACCTTTGACGCACGAGAAGTGTACATTGCAGCAAAAAAGTTTCGCATCACTTCCTCTCAGTGGACACCTGGCTTCTGTATCGGTGTTTTCATTTAAGGCTCAGTAGAATATGAATATCATTCAGTGCGACAACTACAGGTTGATTGTTAGGCGCGTTATTCTGTTCTCGAATTTTGCGTAAAAAAATAATGCTAGTATTTTACTTTGTTCTTAGATATTTTCCATATTTCAGCCCTAGAAGAAGTATGGACGAAGCCAGTTGGATGGGATATCTAACTAACTACCTGCCTAGCCAAGTTACGGACGTCTTCAACCAGGGCCGTGCTTTTGCTATTGCCCACCTGCATTTCAGTGGTGTGCGAAGTGTTATTTCTATTGCTGTGTAAGTATAATTATACAGGGTGTTACTTAATGATCAGTAGAAAAGTTCATGAAATCAGGTGTCTTAAAAAGTATGGTTTTAAAGATACAAGGTGTCAAAGTTAAACAAAAATTAATTACTTTCTTCGTTGCCAAGGAATGTTGTTCTGGTATTATGAATATATTTTTGGCTTTCCATGACGGTTCGCTATCATTTTTTCCTGTAAACAGCCATATTTTTTTAATTTTTGACACGTGTACCTTGGAAACCAGACTGTTTAAGACATACAGTAATGGACAAAAGTATATAGACAAATTAATATTGTGCTGTATTTCATTTTTAACTTGTTTTATTAATACACCAACCTGTATACATAATTCGTTATAGCATAATACTCACTTAAACCTAAATAAATTCATTAGACTCCCTTCAACAAAAAAAATAATTGATAAAAACTGGAACTATGAAGGACAAAAATATATAGACGAAGCAAAACAATTATAGAAAAAAGAAGCAAAGTTTATTGAATTATAGAAAACCAACCATGTTTGTGTTAATATTTTTTTGTAGCATAACCATTATTATCAATCACCATCTGGCATCGTCTAGGCATAGATTGTAGAAGTTTCTTGTTATAAGATTCATCAATCTGTCTCCACTTTTGCTCTAAAGCGGCAAAAAGTTCATCCTTGTTTGAATAATTTTTATCTCGCATTTGTTTGTCTAAGTATTCCCATAGATTTTCAATGGGGTTTATATCGGCAGACTGTGAAGGCCATTTGAGAACTGGTATTTTTTCATCCAGAAAGAATTTCTTTGCGAGATTTGAAGTGTGCTTCGGGTCATTATCTTGCTGGAAGATTTTATCTTAAGGGCATCTTGTCTTCCATATAGGGTAACATGACATGCTTTAGTATGTCTGTGTATACAAACTTATCCATAATGCCATCTATTCTATGTAAAGGTCCCATCCCAAACCCCGAAAAGCACCCCCAAACCATAACTGACCCGCCTCCATGTTTGACAGTGGGCAAAGTGTAGTTTTGGTTCAATCTCTGTCCACTAGGACGTCTAACGTATTGAACACCATCTGATCCAAACATATTGAACTTGGATTCGTCACTGAAACATACCCTCTTCCAGTCACAGATGCTCCAATCAAGATGCAACCGTGCATATTGTAATCGATCCTTACGGTTTTTCCTCGAGATTAGCGGCTTCTTACTAGGGCGACGGCGACGTGCAAATAACTTCAAATCATTTAATCTTCTACTTATAGTTTTCTTAGTAACACTGGCAATTCCTTTTGTCTCGATTTCGGCTTTTATTTGTATTGGGGTTTTAAACGGATCTTTGGACGAAACTACTTTTATTAATCTAACTGATCTAGCATTTAGTTTTCTAGGCCGACGACCACTTCTCTTAGAGGCTTCCAAGATACCTTTTTGTATAACTGATGAATGATCGTAGATTTCACATCGAAAGAAATTTCTGGACCACGCGGCATGGTCTTAAAATCACTCAACTTATTCCACAATACTTGATGAACACAAACTAATCTCTTCTGACACGAAACTGCACTAAACTAATGGTGAAAAGAATTTGTCTACATATTTTTGTTCCTCATAAAAAAGTGCTTATATTCAGACTTGTATTGTGCTCATTGCAGATAATGTAAAAACAAAATTAGTTTTTCTACTAATAACGCATTTGTTTATGGAGCAATGAAGTATGAATTCGTTTTCTAACGGTATTTAGGTAAATATTCATATTTGTCTGTATACTTTTGTCCATGACTGTATGTTTATATGAACATTTCTACATGAATTTGGTTCGGGAATACGCCCGCACTTGTAATTACGGCCTGTCAGCAAGTAACACCATATACATCAAGGTTCAAAATAAACGTAACAAGCAAAATTGTGGTCAAATTTGGTGCGTTATAACTTTTTTACTTTTACCTCGATTTTATTTTGTTTGGCATGGAAGAACAGCATTTGCCGATTGTCCGCCAAGTGAAAATGAAGGCTTATTATCATTATTATTATTGATTTTTTCGGCAGGCGGTAGGCACACTCAGGGCATTAATGTGGAGATATGAGTTCTTAATTGTAGGCATAGTTTGACTTGTTGCACAGGGTAAATGAAAATGATGTTTCATTACCCCAACTTTGAGTCACTCTGGTGTGAATCCAGTTGCCAGTCAGACCCTCAATCACAGTGTAAAATTATTATACAGCGTGTTCTTAAATTAAGTCAATAGTTTTCATTTTATCCCGTTTCCAATATGTTACACCAGTGCCTTGACTTAGATGCATGTTGAAAATATGCGTTAGCTTATTCTCTTTGCTCAAATAATGGTTTTATTTTGAGCGTACATATTTTTGAATTGTGTCGAATCTGTTAAGGATCGATCCCCGATCGGTCTCAGCTGCGCTTCATTTTAGGTCGAAATGAAAGGTTAGGATCGCCACAAATTCTGCAACATTGCATCATTGGTTCGCTTGGTAACATCGTATTTCGTACATTCCAAGGCAAGGCTTTCCACCTCCATGATGATTTTACAAAATGTAACAATAACTCAGGATTTTATCACCATCGGTGGAAAGCAAAGTTAATTCTAAAATAAATTAAAATACTAAGTCGCATCAAAACTAAAATAAATAATTCTAATCAAAATGAAAACAAAATATTAAATCAATTGTTCGAAGAGACCACCTTCTTTGGTTTGACAGTGACCTAATCTCTTGTAACAGCCTGGGCCAACATATTGGCAACGCGGCAGATTACCAGACCTTCTGCGTCACCGTTGCTAGGCAATGTGGTGCCGAACTTCGCTCTTCAGCCGGCTTCTATCTCTTTCTAACATGCGTTGATACATACTTCTCGCACTTCTCTCTCGTACACATTGAAGCCGTCAGACAAATTTTGTTTGGCCTGTACGAGGTTTGTCTGGAAAATACGTATAAAAAAAATAACATTATTTTACAATTGTTCAGGTACTTCAATATCATCTCATTCAAAGTACTCCCCCACAGACAAGATGCACTTCTGCCAACGCCGTTTCCACTGTTGATACGATCGTTGAAAGGCTTCAAGTGTGAGGCTCTTCATTTGCCGTGTTATTTTAGCCTTGATGGCTTCCACATACCCCAAGTGCCGCCCTCGAAGCACCATTTTGCATTTTGGGAACACGAAAAAGTCGCAAGGGGTTAAATCGGGTAAATAAGGCGGGTGTTGTCACGGTGATTGAGCTTCGAACCAAAAATTCTCGCAAAACGAGAGACGTATGAGCAGGAGCGTTGTCGTCATGAAAGATCCACCTACCCTCTTGTGCCAAATCCGGTCGAACTCGGGCGACACGAGCTATGAGACGACGCAAAACTTGTAGAAATTTCCGTTCACTGTCTGGCCGGGAGGGACAAATTCCTGGTGAGCAATGCCTGGAGAATCAAAGAAAACAATCAACATTGTTTTCGCATTAGCAGTTCTTTAGTTATCATTCTAACTGTCAATCGACGATCTTTAATAACACAATCCAGAATTCGTTTAACATTTCGCCCAGAACTCGATGTGGAGGGGCGTCCTGAGCGTTTTTTTTTGTCATCTTTTACATCTCGGCCTTCCCGAAATCTTTTCAACCACTTGTTGACGGTTGGTTCCTTCAGAGAATTGTCACCGTAAACTTGTTCCAAACACTCAAAAATCTCACGACCATTCTTGCCTAGCTTTGCAAGAAACTTGATGTCGAGAGAGGGAACCACCGGAGGAACCACAACGCCTTGTCACGACGCCCTGAATTTTTTATACGTATTTGTCGGGCAAACATCGTATAAGGAGCGATATCGCTTGCAGTCCATGGTAATAGTCTTTCTCTGATATCTCTGACTTGACCTTAATTGTTCGCCAGCATCCAGCAGCAACTGAGACTGCTCGTAGCAACTGAAGACGGTTTCCTGTACGTCTACAACATAGATCCTAATGAAGGCGGTGACCTAATGCTAGCTCATACACACAAGTTGGACGGCATGCCCACCGATGTTCGCGTCAAAGGTACTGACAAACCGGATGGTGCGCACTCCGCACCTCAACCCATCGAAGGAGGTAATATTTACGCCTGTGTTTATTTTTTTTGTAGTTTCGTTTTTGTCGTTGGTTAAAGTTGATCGTTTGTTGATGCAGTGTTTGAAAGATGGCGGTATAGATGAATTGGAGCAAATTGTGTTACCGAACCTATGTATGAGCTGTATACAAATACAATGGCTGAAAAAAGTATTGCCATACACGCCTTTTTTCTGAACGTCAATAAAGAAATGATGAATTTTTTGACACTAAATTTATTCGAAAACTAACATCCAAATAGTCCTTTTTAATTGCACTGATTGAGCAAATTTTAGTGAATGAAAAATAAATCGATTTCTATCGACCAGTTAGCTTAGGTTTCCTCCAAGCTTCGGAATATCCATTTTTCAAACACTGTTTTGTTTTTTGTATTGCTTTTATTTGGAGTAGTTTATAGATGACTGTCTTGCTGAAATTAAAATGGCACGTAAAATCAGGGAGATTTCTCATTGATTTCTCTGTAAAGAAGTATAGTGCCAACATTTTTTCCTTTTGTTTGTATCAGTTTATCTTGTTTTTCAACAAATACTGTGAGCGAATAAGATAGAGTGGGATCATTTTATTTGAGGTCACTACACTGATACAAGTTATTGTGGAATATCTTATGATGGCATTGGTTCGGCTGCTCAGCTTCTGGAGTACCTCCAATGTCCCGGCTTGATTAGCGACAGCAATACACCGGCGACTTCCGATTTTACGTCACGCAACTGTGGGGTAAACTCACCCAGCCTTACGGTGAGACTCGTGTCGTTGATATCACGAAAGCGTTCAATCTGCTGTGGCATGCTGCCCTCTTAGGCAAACTTCCATCTATATGGCCCCCCAGAGAATTTTTGCAGATGAGTAGCTGGCTTTCTCTCTGGCCGCAAGTTATTCATCGTAATTGGCAGGTTATCTTCTTCCCACAACGTCAACGCGGGTGTTCCCCAAGGATTGGTCTTGGCTCCCACTTATCAACGACCTTCTTCCTGATTCATCAACCCAATCCAGCTTTGCTGAAGACAGTACTCTACATGCAGGAATTCAGAATGACAAGACAATTTCTGCTGGAGAAAAGAATACTAGCAACGGCTTCCTCTCTAAAGGTAGACCTGGAGGTTGTCACTGCTTGGGCACGCAACAATCTGTTACAGTTTAATGCTTCCAAAACGTAACGCCCACCTTAACTAACAAGAAGCGTCCTAGCGCCTAAGAGATTAATTTCTTGCCAGCTGCTGGGAAAAAGCTAGGCTATTTTTTGAGGAATAAGAAGTAATTTTCTCCACGTGATCTCCCCACTCTGTACAAGGCCGAGATAAGACTTAGGCTCGCAGTTTTGGAGTGCAGCCGCTTCGACCACATTAACGATGGTGGCTCTTCTCTAACAGACAGTCTCTAGCTCCCTTCTACTGCTAAGCCAAGGGGCTTTGCTCTTCAGAGCTCTCCTCCATGATAACTCCACGGGATGCGCCTGCTGATTAGACCTCTCTTACCTCGGCCTCCCATCCTAACTGTGTCGAAGTTCGGACGTCCAGAACTGGCCGATACGACTGCTCCTTTGTCCTTAGGATATCGAGATTGTGGAAGAATCTACATGAGGAGTCTTTGCCCAGTTCTACTAACCTAACCTAAAAATCGGATTAACATTAAAGCTTCTGCCTGCGCGGCTGCTTTGGACTAAAAAAAAACATGAAAAATATATTACCATTCTATCATTTCTGTCATTTTCTCTTCTACGATTGACAACTTGACCCCAGCCGCACTAGCACCCCTAGCGGGAACAAAATCGGACATCGCAATCATTGTTGGTGAGATGTAGTTGATATTTATGAATTTCTACTGACCTGTCAGTTTTATGCTCATCTCGGCAATTGCGTCGGGTTTTGAAGGAACCGTGGTTATGTATTTTGAGCTTTTTAGACCGGAGAAATCGGATGGGATTGGCAGAATTTCAAGCAATCCAGGGCTTGATATATACCAGGGCAAGGAGATCCAAGCCTTGGCCTATACCAAAGCGAGAAGATCCTGGGAAAATTAAGAAGATTACATTGAGACATCCTGATTCTAGGCAATAGATCGACATCCCCTCTTTCACTCGGCCATCCAAGATCTGAGGTAATCCAAGGAGATCCCCGCATGTGCAAGCGGCACGTTTTTGTCGCCATTATATAGCAGGGCTTAGGATTTTATTTGGTGGTGTAGACAAAGGAGATCGTTTGTTCTGAAAAAATGTCATTTGTTAGCTCTTCGGACAAAACTTCTGTACCTATCACGGGTTTGCCAGATAATCCAGGCAGAACCTTCGCATCTGCTCGGAAAAATATTCTATTTCGGTTTTTCCAGTATTATTCAAAGGGAGCCCTCATAACGAATCTGCGTGTTACAAAATTGCGTAAAACATTTTATGACCAATTTTTTTTATCAAAATCCAAAAGTTGCTTTTTCGCTTCAAACATCTTTAGGGCCAATTTCAACGAAAAAGATGCATGTGAACATTTCTCCAAAGTTGAGAGTTATAAGCGACCTAATATTTATATGTGCGACCGTTGCCAAATAACACTTATACGAGTATATCTGAAACTGTCATCTTTAAAAAACTAAATAATCTTTGCCCTGAGTGAAAAAAATAAATTTTGAAAGTTGCTTGTTACATTTTCCAAACAGTTTTTTAACATTTTGGGTCTGGTCACATGCGGGCTCGTTAACCGAGCTCCCTTTAGGATTATACAAAAAACCATACAGAACATTTTTCCGAGTAGATGTGAAGATACTTCCTACATACAAAAACTGTAGTATACAGGGTGTTTCATAATTAAATGCCATTAGGTGTTCTTAAGACAAAGAGTGTTTTAAGTTGTTCGCCACTGACGACACAATAATAAATCAGTGCCGAAGAAAATAATTTACTTTTTTCTTCCATAATGATCAGAATTTGCCAATTTCTACGCCGCTGGTGTAATCTCAGGCATCAATTTTTACTTTTGTAATCGCGAGTATTTTCGAAAATGAGATATGTTTTTTGGGTATTATATGACATGTACATCACGGTACATGGTGGTTAGAGGTTGCACGCGTGGGGGAGGGTGTATCTCAATTTTTTTACGTTGGTATATTTATATTTGTACGCCTTATACGCCTCCAACCTCAGTAATTCTACGCACATATTAGACATATTTCACTCATCACAGATGTACCCGTACATTTACCCTTCAAACTTTGAAATATCTCCTATGGTTGGGTGCCGATACTGTGCGTCCGGTGCACGTACAGTAGCGGACAAAAGTTTGGAAACATTCTTGGTAATTTTTAAAAAGTGCGTAAATTTTGTATTTTTTATTATTGAGGATTATTTTTTTCTCATACAGTTTGCTTACAGTCATGAGGACACAAATGACAATTTGTAATAGCTGTGGTACTACAGACTAGCATTAAAATACGTTCATATTATTTTATGACCAAAGTTGAGACGACAAAAGTATGGGAACATATTTTTTATTACAAAATTAAATACTCTAGACAAAGATTTAAAAAATACTATTTAGTTAATATTTGGTAGCACAGCCTTTAGCATTCAACACTGCCTGACATCTGCTGCTCATAGAAGACACCAATTTTTTACAGACGTCTGTTGAGTTTTTGCCAAATATTTTTTACATAAGTATGTATCTCCAAAACATAAGACCTTGCTGGCCCATGGTTATAGCCACTTTTACCTAAGGAATCTTTCTATGAAACACCCTGTATATGATTTACCACCGTAGCTGTGTATCTGATATCTGAATAAATGATCCTTTACTCTTAGTACTCGCTCAACAGTATTTGATTTGCATGATGTTTTTGCATGCTTTTGAGACTACACAACTAACAGAGATTCAACACGTACTGTTAGAAGTCACAAATAGGGAACGTAGAGTTTAACATTAGACGAGATCGTAAGCTGATCGTCAAAAAGAGATATACGTAACTTTAACCGATCTTCGATCTCTGATTTGATATAATACAAATGTGTTCTCCACGTGCAAGGCATTCTAGGTAGCTACGCCGGCATCGTGAAAGGAAACCCACCCGGCGAAATGTCAGGTACTGGTCAGTATTCATTAGCGATAGTTTCATAGCACATTCCACAACACTAACCTCTACGCCACACATTTCTGTCATTTCACTCATTTAAGCAGTTAATAGTCCATAGTCATGTATACCCTTCACACAAGATATATCGTATTGAACTTTTAAAACGAATGAAGCTTTTTAACCACTCATTACAAATGATGGCTTAATGTAGATTTAAGTTGACGAGGGAAGTTGTCTATATGAATTTCAGTTGTCTAGTTTCGAACGAATATTGGATGTTCATGTTATGTTCATGTCAAGTGTGCCTCAGTGCGATATTCCGATGCTTTGTAAACTATACTTAGTCACATCGACAGTGTTATACCTAGAAAAAATAATTACTTCAACTTGATTATTTGGCAATGAGGTAGTCTTACATCAAAAATGAAACGATAACATTGTCACGAAACTTCATTGACAATACACCCGTTTACGGCCCTGTAGATACGGCAGTACAGTGGTTTGTAGGACGTCATCAACATAACGCGCAGCACTCATATTGCAATAGCCCCCCAAACCATTACTTCAACAGTCCTGTGTACATTCAAATCCAATATCACGCCGTTCCTCACGGCGGCGTCTTACCCTTCTACGATCATTGCCGTCCTCTGCTCCAGTTCAAACGCTGACGACAGCGGTCCGCAGTCAGAGGAAGCGCTAACCGTCGACGGTATAAAAAAAGTCCAAAGGCTCCAAACCATTGGTCAGCGATCTGACGCGTAATAGCAAAACGGTCTCGTAGTGCTAGTTGTTTGAAGCGCCTATCTTGACGCTCTTTGGTACGCCTACCTTCTTCGTTTTCTCTACCTTCTTCTATCCACACACGACACACACGCATTACCGTCATTGCAGTACTGTTAAAACGGCGGCCAATTTCGCGATAGGACAAACCAACATCTCGATAGGCAATGATTCTACCCCTGTTAAAGTCGCTAACATGGTGGTAATAACACTAGTAAATGCAAGGGCAATAACTAAAAATAGCTGTACCATTTAGCTAGCAGAAACTGCTTTCTTCACAAAAACTAAGAGATAACATGTTGACAAAGGTAAACAAAAACAAAGATAAAACGTTGACGTTGTGTAGAATTTTTTAAATATAGTCATTAGGTTGCCAAAAAGAAAAGTTGAAGAAACTATTTTTTTCTGAGTGTAAAACTTCTGTCACTGAGTATATTTAGCACGATACTTCAGCTTATTTTCACGTCTTTTTGATTGCCTCCTTTTGGTAGTTGTGTGCTGTGGGCATCAGTTGACATTTAGTAGCGTATAAGAATTAATGATGATGGAGAATTACTTAAATTTAGACTCGAATTGTAGTCATGCTTTTTAGCAGCTATATACAAATGTTCTGATTGCATATTAGAAATTTCCTAGTTACTTTATGCAAAACAACAACAAACGCAGCTGCATCCGTGGTATCAAGCAGTACCAAGACTTGTCACGTTTTGACCTGTTGAAGTATCGTATAAAATAGTGTAGCTTCACTCATTCTTCACCAGCAGTGTGTTTATTCACAGTCTTTGTTCAAGTTAGTCTGACTAAACGCTGATTGACAACTACTGATGAGAGAATATTCTCAAGCGACAGTCATTCTTTCAGTTCTATTGTAATTGTTATCAAAACCCCAATACTGACCAACACCAAACCTATCAGTAAATACGCGCAGCATAACATAAACTTAGACATCAAGGCTGCAAATGAAGCATGTTTTAATACGAACCCGCTCATTTCAAAACAATTGTGCAATATACAGGCTGACTTTGAAGTTGAGTCATTAATTTTCAGATAATGATTGTAGAAGCAAGATAAACCAAAATATGTGTGTAAAAATTAAAAAAAAGTAAAAAAGTATCCTCCCGACAAGTATTTCAGTGCGGACCTGTATTTGATCGTGCGATATTGGAGCACCGGCATGCCCTCCCCTGTGAGGTCTTAAGTCACCTGATTCACGAGCCCTTTGTACTACATTAACAAAGGCACGAGGGGTTGGTTGCACTCGATTGGGAAACCGATCCGCATAAATCCGTGATGCCGCGTAAATAAGAATCATGTCCACAAGTTCAGCATTTTCGTAAACATGTGCCATTTTTTATTTCGTTTGAGCCACGCAACAGACACCACTATTCACTCACGCGTTACCGACTGATACTGACTGTATACAACTGAATAAAATAATTGTAAAAACATCGTTCCAAATTCTTTCGCTTTTTTGTTTCCGATGCGATGAACCGATAAGGCGGATTATATCCGTTGTTGCCAAACACGAGCACATAATATTATTATTGAGTCAGGGCGGTACTCAAACCTCCAAAGGGCTATAACTTTGTCACTTTAATTTTACCAGAAAAATGGTAAAGGAAAAAAACATATCTTTTGATCAGATCTACTCACTGTTAAAATAAATGACTCAACTTCGAAGTCACCCTGTATATGAGGGCGGTCGGATAAGTACTTAGCTTCTCCTTCGATGGCGGCCGTCAGAAATTGGTATAATGAGTTTCAATGTGGTCGCACGTCGATTTTGATGAGCCACGTCCAGGTGCCCCGAAAACCGCTGCCACGATGCGCGAGATATCTGAGAGAATAGGCATCTCAAAAGAACGGCCATACAGGCCTATTTTGCAGACCTCCAGAAAACGTATTTTTCAGACGGGTTTAAGAAGTTGGAGCATCGCTGGGTCAAGTGTATCGAGCTTAAAAGAGTCTATTTTGAGAATTAAATCGCCACTTTTCCAAAAGGTTCGTTTTTCTTTTGTATGTCAAGTACTTATCGGACCGCCCTCGTAGTGAGGCATGTTTGACATGAACGTACTCTTAAACTATCCTGCGCTTATGTACATAATTATGACTTCAGTTTGAGAGATTTTGTGCGAAAAGTCTTTTTAGCCTCTCTTCCTACATTGATTGGGAAATGTCTTCCTAATGTCCGTTTCACCACCGTCCGTGGAGTATCAAATCGGGAATGGTGTGAAACGTAATTACACGGTCCTCTTCAATTGTTGTGACTATATTATGTTCTTACCAAAAATTATCTATGAATGTCTTTTGTCATCATTTTAAGACTCATGCACATCTAGTGCTTTTTTACTACAATTCATTCAAGCATTCATGACAATACATCGTTTGGTCATGTTGTTTAATAAAATGTTAAGGTTATAATGTAAAGTATTCTTTTAACAATTCAAGGAATTAAAAAATTGTCGTAATTTGTGTTGTGTTACTGAAGATTCATTGCATTAAATTACATGATCAAATAATAATATAATTGATATACAGATTACTTCATATGACAAAGATAACAAATACCTTTTTGCAAAAAAGGATATGTAGAAAGGTAGATAGTGCATGTGATGAAATTTTGGTAGCAAGTCATTTCCATTGGTAGCATCAAAATCATGGTATATGAAAAATACTATGGGTGCTTTTGAACCACGAATAGACTTAGATTAGTCAATACAAAGCACACCTTTTCTGAGTTGAGAAAAATAGGCTTGTAGAGGTTATTAAATATTACCATATGTTTTGTCAAAAAAAGTGAAGTAAGCTGTGTTCTAAAACGATCAACTATATGCAATTTTTACAATCCGATGTGAAATCTGCTTTTTTATTGAGGCATATATTGTAACATATTATTCACTTTTGCCATCAAAAATTCCGAATAGTCATCTTTGATAGTATTCTGAAGAGTTTCTGGTGTGATAGAACAAGATAAGATAGAAGTACTGGCATGACTATTAACAGTACTTGTTTTATGTAAGTATTGGAGTCATTTGTTTCGCTAGATGTAGATGTACTATTGCTTACTTACCGCTTGTAAATAACAGACAAATTTTTATGCAAGACTATATTAGAACTTAATTGTATTTAATAATTTTTGATATAATAAACGTGGCTATAATACAAAACGTTTCAGGTTGGCATGAAGGTCGAAACAGTAGATCAGTACTTTCGTAGTATGTAGTACGTAGTATAGAAATACAGCAAAAAAAACTCGAAATTTAGCACTTCGCCGGTCGTCCCATATGGCGCGAATATCGTTGCTTATCGGGGAGTAGGTTGTTAATAAAAAAAAGTTGATAGATAAGTAGGTAGTTAGATAATATGTAATATTCAAAATCACGCAGTGAGTTTACTCGTATCTCTAAACCAGTTCAACTTGAACCGATTTAGCCTAACACGTCAGTAACGTCAGCAGTGTGTCTAATCTAAAAAAAAATTATAGCATAAGCCACGTTTCTCGCGCTTCTCTTTCGTACACATTGAACTCAAGCCGTCAGACAAATTTGGTTTTACCTGTTGATACGACTGTGCCGCTTGTTGAGTGCACGCACGAAAAATCATATCATGATAGACTTACACCTAAAAAGTTTAGATGTCACCAGCGTGTCACGAGAAACCGGATTGCAGGAGACTGGTTTAAGGTAAACGTCCACGTTCATTGTGGGGAATGGAAGCGGCTTAGATGTCACTTGACAACGTTTGACATGCGGCTGGCTTTCTGACGACATTGACATTTTTACGTGTCAGAAACTTCCTTCGCCTCAATGGGCGCGTAACTTGAATTCACTGGCTGAGTATTGAAATATAGCGAGATAACTGTAATTATTATTATATAACAAAGTATGATGACCTTCAAGAACGGCTTTTGTCAAAATTTTCGGAACCCATATTTCTTCAATCATTTGATGATTTAAAATTTTTGAAAAGTTCTGGTGATGTTTTGAAAATAGGTACTTAGATGTGCGTTTTCAAAATTCTTTAGTTTATTACCCGTATCTACCGGGTGTTTCAAATTCGACACTCACCATTGAAATCTCGGAAACGTTAACAGATGCGAAATCGATTAAATGGGGGTATTTAGGTAACTGAGAAAATGGCACTTGAAAAAACTGAGAATATTTCAGAAAAAGTCGAGTTTCCCCAAAATAGTTTTGGTTTTATCCTAATTGAAGCGGGATTTCAAAATAAACTGCACATTAACACGGGAAGAGTGGGATTTGAAACACTTGATATATCGCACGTTCTGTCAGATTGAAAGTAAAACGGTTAAGAACAATATATTTCCTTTACGATGAAAATAGCTGTGTCACGAATTTTTAACGTTTCAGCTTGGCGACCGTGGACGCAAGGGTATATTGTGTATTAGGACATTTAGACAAAAAAAAACCTTCGTGTGTTAGTTACGTAGATAGCTGACCACAAAATTGGAATCATATGTTAACGATCACAAGTTGAAGCTGGTAAATGATAGATGTAGCTGGCGGTCGCCCCTTTGCTGCACCTACTTGGGGTTAAACGGATATTTAGGAACTTGGAAACATTAAATTTTCCGTTTTTACCATTGTTTTTCGGGGTTGAAAATGGCATGTCTAGCACTTGAAAAATTGAATCGCATATATCTCGAAAATTATCTACTTTAGAGAAAAAATCCATTAGTGCCTTTTTGTTCATAGCGATCCAAATAAACCCAAAAGAAACTTTGTGTGGAGCACAAAAACCTTTTTTGGAATTTGTTTAAAAAAATGTTTCAACAATTTTCGGAACATTTTTAGGCCTGACTACCTGCAGATTCGTTAAAAAGGGTCAGATTTACCCTGTACAATCGATACCCAAAACCGATACAAACGTTAAGAGTGTTTTTCTCAGAAACTGATAGTCTTGTCGGTATCAAAAAAGATTTCGTTTCGTCAGCTTAAAGTGCAGGCTATCGTTAAGCCGTTATTATACAGGGTTTAATATAATTAGTAATATTGTGCCTGTGCTGATTCGTCTCTGAGGATCCAAATGAGTTCATTGTTTGTTATAAACTCCATCAAGTGAGGCCCCAAAAGGTTCGGTGCTCTCAAAAAATCGTACAGTATTTTTGAAAACTTAAGATAAAGCTATTTCTAGTAGCGTCTTTTAGGGGCCAATATCTGTATGGGAGCCATATGGGGATTTTTTATGGGAACTTGTGGCATTTTTGTCCCTCAGGGTTCGTTCCCTGGAGACCTATCATTTACTCACTGTACATCCATGACTGTGAAGTCTATCTCTAAGCTGGCGATACTGCATTGGTGGCTCAGTCGTGGTCTGGTGACCTAGTCCATGACAGGCTGCAAAGTGCAGTGGATGAAGTATTAGATTGGGCGGAGCGGTGGCTAATTAAAATGAACCATTCGACTGTATAAGGTGGTCATAAGACTAGCAATCACTTCGCATGTGCGGCTTAGTGTTTTATTGCCATAACTAACATGCGAAATTTGCAGGACGTTGCGCACTATCCTGACGCCCCATGGTATGTCTCTAACGAAACTCGTCATAGAGACCTCGATGTCCCTTACCTAAAGGACTACATTAAGCAACAGGCTCAGCGGCGCTATAGCGTAGCGGAATCGCACACCAACCCTCTGTTGCGCCAGTCAGTGGTCTACACACAAAAGGCCGCGGTTTGCACTGCAATCAAAATTAATTCGTAAACTTAGAACAACCAAAATTGGAGCATTTTGACAAAATGTTTAGAAAAAATCAAATATTTTTAGACCATATCAGAATATGTGAAGTGATTTTAACAATGCCTAAACGCTGCCCATCCTAAAAGATTCTCTTCTTCCCCTTTGCTCTCGTTCTTCCTTCTCTCCTTTTCTTCCCTTTTTTCCTTAAAATTGTCTGGTTTCTGGGTTACCAGACCTGACAGACTTACAAACTGACACTGTAACTCAAGAGCTAACGTCCCACGGACTGCTCTGACAACCTACGATGACTTGACTGGCATTTTTGTGTTCTGTCCGCATCAGTGACGTAGAATAGTCACCCATTATAGTGGTAGTTCGTAACGAGACTGAAAAAGTTGCATATCTAATTCTAAACAACAAATATGTGAAATAGAAGGACTTTTTACTATTGTCTCCACGTTCTGTTCAACTTATTCTATTGCAGATAATCAAATTGATTAACTATATAAATTGCATTCGTTATCGTGTGATTTCAAATTTGTGGTACTTGATATCTCGGACTACCAACCAGGAATATTCTCACGTGGAAAACAATTGAATCCGACCTCAATGCCAACTTGAAACCGTTGACCCGCCGTGCGTTGCTACCGCCAACCAAAATGATTCACGCATGTACCTATCGACCCGTGGTGCCAATAAGAACTGTCTCTCTGTCCCGACAGAGTCGGACAAGTTCCGCGAGATGGCAGCCGCCACGGAATCGCCTCCTAAGGGCACGTTCCATTTCACCGACGACCAAGAATACCCGCCCCTTACGCAGAATTCCGACTGAGGTCCACCTTTCGCTATAACATCAGCCAACGCTGAGGTACAGTTCGACGAGATCGGACTTTCGGCCAAGGAAAGGTGAGGTTTTTACCTTTTAAATTATTAAGTTGTAACTAGAGACGTACAGTAATTGACAAAAGTATATAGACAAATTTGAATATTTACCTAAATTCCTTTAGAAAACGAATTCATACTTCATTGCTCCATAAACAAATGCGTTATTAGTAGAAAAACTAAATTCCTTGTTTTTACATTATCTGCAATGAACACAATACAAGTATCAATATAAGCACTTCTTTATGAGGGACAAAAATATGTAGACAAATTCTTTTCAAGTACAGTTTCGTGTCAGAAGAGGATTAGTTTGTGTTCATCAAGTATTGTGGAATAAGTTGAATGATTTTAAGACCATGCCGCGTGGTCCAGAAATTTCTTTCGATGTGAAAACTAAGATCATTGAGTTATACAAAGATGGTCAACGTCAAGTCGACATTGCTCAAAATTTCTGGATGAAAAAATACCAGTTCTCAGATGGCCTTCACAGTCTCCCGATATAAACCCCATTGAAAATCTATGGGAATTCTTAGATAAGCAAATACGAGATAAAAATTGTTCAAACAAGGATGAACTTTTTGCCGCTTTAGAGCAAAAGTGGAGACAGATTGATGAATCTTATATCAAGAAACTTGTACAATCTATGCCGAGACGATGCCAGGCGGTGATTGATAATAATGATTATGCTACAAAATATTAACACAAACATGGTTGGTTTTCTATAATTCAATGAACTTTGCTTCTTTTTTCTATAATTGTTTTGCTTTGTCTATATATTTTTGTCCTTCATAGTTCTAGTTTTTTTTTCAATTAATTTTTTATTGAAGGTCCAATGAATTTATTTATGTATATAAGTGAGTATTATGCTATAACGAATTATGTATACAGGTTGGTGTATTAATAAAACAACTTAAAAAAGAAATTCAGCACAATATTAATTTGTCTATATACTTTTTTCCATTACTGTATGTCTAGTTTATCAACGTTATTACTGTGATTGTTATATTCACGTTTGCATAACGAATATGATGACGCTTAAGCTTCCTATTCAAGGTTGATCCATCATGCCAAAGGACAGCGTTAAAAGTAAGCCTTTTCCTGTCCTCTGTCTGAACGAACTATGGTTTATGCTTAGAAGTAATCAAAGATACAGGCCGATATGTAACTGACTGGTTTGTATAATAATAATAAAATACGTCCATTTTTTTCTTAATAAATATTTTATTGATCCTTAGAAATTATGAGGAGCCAGAAAGTTTTACACCATATCACGGTAGCGCTTGCCAGTGACAGTAAGAGAATTACCTGCAGCGTCTTCAAAGAAGTAAGGTCCAATGACACCTCCGTACCAAACACCGATCTAAACTGTGGCTCAACGAGGATGTAGTGGTCCTTGATGGATCACTGGGGGTTCTCCAATGCCCAGATATGACAATCCTGCTTATTAACAAATCCGTTCATATAGAAGTGGGCTTTATCGCTCCTTATCAGTTGTCGGTAAAACTCGTTATTATGGGTACTAAGCCCCAATTTTGCGTGACTGTATTGTCGGAGACTTTCATGGTCATTAGGCTGTAGTTCTTGGGTTAACTGAATTTTGTATGGCCGCAAATGCAAGTCTTTTTTTAAAGTAGCGCATAATGACGTGCGACGGATACCCAGAACAATGTCTTGTAGACGTCTCAGGGCGCTCCACTACGAACTAACTCGATATTTTCCGGAGTTTGAACACGGCCCGACCTTGGCAAGTCGATATCTTCACCTTTTGTTCAAATTTCCACACCAACTGACCAATGGTGTTGACACTGGGCACATTATTTCCACCAAAATCTTGTCGTACCTTCCGAATCGTTGCAACAATCGACTCATTATTTAAGTAAAACGTTTTAACAATACGGACGCGTTGTGGGATCGCGTAGTGCTCCATGATGAATTGGATACATGTGCTTTAAACAACTACTGCCGCGTCACCGACTGAAATGCGTGAATCAAAAATGGCACGCAATCAGTCAGTTATATATTAGCCACTCCGTACTTATTGGAAACCCAAAAAGTGCGGGGAAATTTGCATCCCTACCCAGATAGCAGAACAAACTTGTTTCAGACTTGCAAAAAGTTTGATGTGTCACAAATGCAGGTTTGTTTCAAACTTACCATGGCAACCTTGCACACTTGCAGCAAGTTTAAATCAAACTTTGTAGTTCTCATGCAATAAATTTGTTTAAAGTTTAATTTTATAAATATTATAAAAATTTGCATAAGCCAGCTTCACAAACTTGCAAAAGCTTAGCCCGTAAATCGGACAACATTAGATGAATGATTTTACGGTCGCTTCGGTTGGCCCTAAAACCAATATCGAGGTACATAATTTAACATTTTATTAAAAAGACGTTTCATTCACATTATTTTTGGCTAACTTTATTTGAGGTGGGATTTCAAAATAAATTGCATATTGTCATTGATACTTATATTCTCCTGTACGAGAATGGCGTAATCAAATTTTCAATTCGAGATTTATTCTTTTAACTGCCATCACCAACTTTGTTACTTCATATGGACGCTATAGTGGAATTCTTTGTACATTGGACTTTTCAGTCCCAAATTCGGTGATGTATTTCCTTAGCTGACCATGTATTTGTTTGATGAAAATTATAAGGAAATAGAAAGGTATGGTGAAACCTGAACACAATATGAATGTTGTTTAATCACAACGATAATCATAAATAAGCAGTGCCAATTCATAGAAGATGTTCAAAATGTTGTCCGTTATTTTTTAAGGGAAGCCTAACTCGTCTGTTCATTGTTCAAATTATTTCTCTTCTTCTCTGTCTTTCAAACCCTGTTGCTATGTTCAATTTGAGGTCTAGTCTGGTATTTGCAACAAATGAAATCTGATAATTTCAAGGCGTACCTAGGAACTTCCGTTTTTCTGGAATAACTAAGGTTTGGCAACGTGATTGTATGACGTGTTATACATTTTTGGAATCAGAATTAAAAACTCTATTCTCTGTTCAAAAATCCAATATGGCGTCCATAAGGAAAAATAAAGTTGATGCTAGAGGACAAGACACGAAACGTCATATGAAAATTCTAATCATGCCATCTTGTATAGGAGGAAAAGTGGCAATGTTAACGAGCAATTTATCTTGAAATCCCACTACAAATAAAGTCGGGAAGAAATTAAAACGATTTTGGGAAAATTCGATTTTTTCCATCTCTCTCTGGAAGCAATTTAAATTTCGCAACTTTCCAAGCGGCATTTTGTTGATTACCTAAATACGCAACTTTGCCTTCAGTCAACCGACTTCGAATCCCTAAGTTTTAGCAGAATATATTTTAAAATCCAGAAAAAAAATGTTTGAAATATAAATTCTATTTTTGTATTAATTTTATTGATTACACTAATGCATTGATACTTCTCTGTCTGTTGCTTTAATTTTGTCTTTTAGCTTTGAACCAAGTAAGCAACGGGTATCGAATTTATAGATGTGTACATACGAGTATAATCAAAGAAACAATCATTCTTTGGTAGGAAAATACTTATGGCAACTTTGCTCTTGAAAAGGCAATGTATGTAAGCATATATGCATATATGCCTTCCACTAGGTGTTCCAACGTATCATTTCATAACTTTCATCATTGTGTGAAGAGGACTGATATGTTGAATGATGATGATTGATTTTTCCTGGATATACGAGCCCCTTCCCACTTCAGTTGGCCCACTTCAAGATTTGTACCAAAATATGCCTTTATAAACTAAACTTGACGAAACTATTTACTTCTAAAACAATTTAATTTCTCAAAAACATTTTAGATACACTCTAGTCGTAAAAAATACATATTTGAAATCACTTAGACCTATAACTAATAGAACATCTGAACAAATAAACAGTGTGCGAATAAATGCGCGAAGTTAACAAAGCAACAATTGAAAGATTACCATTGGATAACATCACCTTTATTTTTTATTACGGCTGAAATCCTTTACGAGCAGGATGTTGTCGTATGACCTTTTTCATCTCCTGCCATAAAGTTTCAATAGGTTAGGACTGGTAGAAACCCATTTCAAAAGTGGTACATTATTTTCTTCCATCCATTTTATAGCCTTTTTTGGGGTATGGCACGGTGCACCATCTTGCTGATACACAAAATCTGGGCCGGATGTCAAACATTCTTCCATCACTGGTAAAAGCGATTCTTCTAAACTTGCCAAATATTTGTTTGTATCCACATTTCCATCAAGAAAATGAAGTTTTCGTACTCCTTTTGATGACATACTGCTCCAGACCATAATGGATGCTAGAAATTTCACTTTTCTCTTCAGACAGTCAACATGGAATGCTTCATTTTTTTTTTGCGAATAACTCTACTGCGACTGTCACCAATACAAACTTCGAATCGGGCCTCATCACTCCATTGTATTGCACACCATTGTTGAGGTGTCCATTGTCTATGTTCTTCAGCCCATCTAAGCTGATTTTTCATTTGCAGTGGAGTTAATAGTGGCTTTTCTTTGGAATATAAACAAGTTGTGCAACTTTAGGGTTTTTACTTCACTTTTTTTTATAAGAAAACTTACCTTGCAAGTGCTAAATCCCAGTTTGTGGGCCTCGCTATGAGTTGTAGACCTCGAAATTCTCCTTCCATCAGCGTCACTCCACAGAGCACTTAATTGTAAATAATTATCACGCCTGTTTTTCACGTTTATTCTTATTAATGCTCTTCGGTCGGCATTTGTGATATTACTTTTTTTCACATATCGTGGCTTAATATTAACTGAACCAGTTCTCTTCTAACAATATTACTCACACTGTACCGCGATAAGTCTAACAAAGTTGCAATTAAAAAATTTCATTATCAGGAACCGAATTTTCTCACTAATAAGCTTTCCTCTACCCATTTTGAAAACCTTAACACCCAAAACTATTTTAAACGTATCCAGACAGCTGTGATTAATAAAAACAATTGTCGTGGCTTTTATTTTTCACAGCCACCTATGCGTTATAGACTTATTTTGCATTGAAATGAAAATAGGTGGATATGCTGTAATTGCAACATGTGTTATTTTTATGCTGCAAATTTGATTAGGGAGTGATAAAGTTGGTGTTTTCTACTATATATTATCAAAATATTCATTGTTAATATTTTAAACCTATAACACCCTGCTACATTTTTATTATTTGTGATTGATAAGAAAAAAACTAAGATTTCAATAGTTGGGCCAACTGAAGTGGGAAGGGGCTCGTATACGTTCCTCAAAAGTCTCTACAAAACATTAGTTATTCCTCACATTTTGAGAAATTCCTTACGCATTAGCAGCGTTTCTGGTTACTTCGCTTTACTTCCGATAGATGGCGAAGTTGTTGATGCAACTTTGTCACAAACTTGAACCTGCCTTGGACTTGATAATATTGCAGCAAAATTCTTACAAACTTGCTCCGTCATATTCCACAATTTAAAGTCGACGGAAAATCAAGTCACAAGTTTACATGCTAGCTGTGTAAAGTACACTTATCACCCTTTATCAAGTAATAAAATCTTCAATCAATTTTGTATAAAAATTCTGATACTTTGAAGATAAATGATAATTAATTTTAGGATAATTAACATTAACTAGAACATCCTGTAGAAGTGCTTAAAAATTAATGGTATGAAACTCTAAACGGAATGAAAACTTTACTACAAAATTTCAAGGAATGTTTAGAAAAATGTTTTCAACATTGTAAAAATATAAAAAATATATTTTTAAAAATTATCATGTGATAACTTTGTTTTGCAGGTTACAGCTCACGTGCATTGTGGTTCTTCTTATCCACTTGATAGTTTGCCTGGTCGAGGATATAATTTTACAATTATTTAATTTTCCTATATAAACTCGTTTCTGGTAGATATTAAGTGAAATGAAAGTTTATAGATTTTATTATTAAATAGAAAGTGCAATGGACGTTATAATTTTGCTCATTTCATTGTATTCAGTATCGATCACGTATCTCACGTATTTTTATGCTTGGCACTATGAATATAAAGTAAGCAACAAATATACTAGACATATCCGACTTTTATTGAACAAAATCGACCATATATATTTGAACCTTGAGCTTCCGACAGTCACGTACCATTTGATTGAAGTTTAATAATCTAAAATAATCAATACAATGACACATTATTTTATTCATGAATTAAAATTAATTTTTACCCTTAGTCCCTAATTCTTAGCATACGACTACAGCTAACTCAATAAATTAATGGTTTGAATGCAATTTATATCAGAGATGTAGGTATAAAGATGTTAAAGACTGATCTTTGTTTGACATAATTTTGGCTGAAACATGAGCCATAAAATACATAGTAGACAATAGCAAAGTTTATTGTTACCAGAGATGGCTACGTTTTTCTATTTACGAACTTTGACATGACTGCACTCGATGATTGGTTCATGTTAGCAGGTAACACAGGATTTGGCTTTTGGATTTGGATTTGTGCCGTGCGACAGTGTCGTACAAGGTCACACATTTTGTAAAATATCACGCGATAAATAAGTCATACGTGTACTCTTTCTAAACACACCACCTTGTCGTACACTGTTGTCACGCGATATAAATCGCGTGCATATACGGGCTCTTAACACATTTTTTTGTGTAATTGCCAGATGTTAAAGGTTCAATACTTACCTTTTCTATTTGAATATTAGTTGTTTCATATTATTATCCTCACGGATTTTCTTGATTTTTGTGCGTTATTTGTTGCTTTACTTTGTTTTCTAGAACCTCATTTTGAATCTTGCTTTCTCTCTCTCTAGATATCTGTCTGAAGGCTGTGATAATGAAAGAGAGAGATCTCATTGCTCTTAAGTTGTAATCAATAAAAAATATATAATTTTTAACAGAAAAATGATGTTCTGGTATAGTTGAGGAACAGTTTTTACAAAACAAAGCAAAACATTGTGAATGAAGATTTAATTTATGAAAACATGTACATGATAAACACATAAGTTGCAGAAAATCCATTTCTACAATACAGTAATCGCATGATAGCCATAGAGTTTCCTGAGGAAAACTTTATGAGTGGATATGTACATGTACAATATGGTCGAAGTTAGAAAAGTAAAGCATATGGTTATGTATCATATACTGTGAAAATGGTAATATCTACACAGTGTTCCCATTTTCATTATGCATGATATTAAGTTCTATAGTTACACGTTCATAGATCCTGTCGTTGTAGTTCTCGTAAAGTACGCACTACGTTACTGCCTACATTTTTGGGTAAAAATTGTTCATTAATTGTGCCATGTTTATCATTCATGATAGGGTAAGTACTGTTTTGAGCTACTCTTTTCAACAACTTTAGATAATTTGGATGGAGATATTCAGCTACGAGGTATAGGCTAAAAAGAAATGCTCAAAACAGCTATTTTTTGAACAATTCGTGCATATAAGTTAAATCACTGATCCATTAATCGTCTATTATTAAGGTTAATATTGCTAGATACTCTCATCTGCATGCCTGTCTCAAGGTTGGAAGTGCTAGTCTCTTTGACGAAAAGCTGGATGGAAATATTTTCACAATAAAGCCTTATTAGTAGTACATATTTAAGCGCTCATTGCCTTTTTCATAACTAATCGTTTGAAGTTATTATTTAATATACAGATGTGGGTAACAATAATCATATTACGGCATATAATTAGCCTTTTTCGCTACGTAGAGGCTTGCACGATAAAATAGCGGGAAAGTACAATAATACCGGAATTTGTATATAGTTACCTATATCTATTATGTATTCATATTTTTTCAGTCAGCATTTGTTTATACAAAAAACAAAAAAAAATTATAAAAAGGAATATCATATCATTTAATTTGATCTTGACGCTATATTTAGCTAGTTAAATATATAGGTGAATGTTTTATGTTAATTGGTAAGTATGGAATATTAAAAAGAATTATAATACAAAAATAATTTTATATTTTTACTATTAAGGCAAAAAATGTCTCATTGAGAAAAGGCTGATAAAAAAAATAAAAACACAAAAATATGGCTTTCAATGTGAATGGACTTATTATTAGTATTAAAGCAATGTTTGCAAAAATGATGCAGCAAAAGTATTTGTTAGTATTGCAGAAGTTTATTGGGAAGGGTTAATGTCACATTAGTAGGATAAACATAGGTCTTCACTTTCGATATTTTTTAGCTAGATTTCATGAACGATTCAAAATAATAGTTTTTAATACTTTGCAAATGTGTCTTTAATTCTGATGATAAGCTTACGTCTAGTAGAACTCTGACTTAAGTGATGTTCATTATATATAGTTATCATTCAGTTTGCAACGTATTGTTTGGGATTTTTTAGACTCGAAACGTCGAAGTGATAATTATGTTAGTCATTATTCGGAAAGTCATACAAATTAATTTTATTATAGTTTTTACGATTATTTTTTTACGAGTAATGTTTATTGCGCCAAAATATAACGCCAAAAGTTAATGGCTATATGGAGGGTAAGTTATCACGAAAACATACCAGATCATAACCTTTTCCACTCGTAGTTGTCTTAAAAATACTGTCAAACATTTTGATTCGAGCAACAAACGCGTGCAGCGTTTTTGATAGGTTTTAGTTTTCATGCTCAACTGTGAAGATTGTTAATTGTAGTTTTGAGACAAAGCTTGTATGTTTTTGTGATGTCAGTATAAAGTCGATGTTAACAAATTTTTTATATTAGGTAGCTTACTTATTTATTTAACCTTATTTTATGAAGGGAAGATTTTTCAAATTTTACATTTATATATTTTGTGAATTCATTTTGCGCACATTGTGCTTTGTAAATACTAGATTAAGTACCTCAACATTTTACAATCGAGTTAATCATTAGATAAAGCTGCACTTTTTGTACCAGCTAGACATGTTTGTATTGGAAAATGTTACAAAAATATACATATATGTAACAGCGAAATTTTATCTTTATTTGAAACTCCATACCCTTTGTTGTACTGATATTCAACCTCTTCAGTTTGCTTTTCTCATTGATACATGTCCAACCGTATGCTGATTTGGACATATATACTTGGCGACTTACAGTGGCGAAGCGTCCATGTAACCATTGTTACCATTGGTAACAGTTAAAAATCTTAAAAATAAATATTTTATGACTTAGGCCCGTATCGTCAGTCGTCCATACAATTGTAGGGCGCCTATATGGCCTCCTTGATTCTCATAGTTTTCTACTTCTCCGTGTCAGAACTCTATTTTGAGGTTATGTCACAAACATCTATTTGCATCAAATTGTGCTTGCTTTTGAGTTATATCATGTTTTATCAGCCTGAAATTTCCTACAATTTAAAAGGAAAACATATCTTAACAATAGGAGAGCGCTGACGCTGACACGGGACGAGTGTAATCTAGCAATTTTTGAAGGAGAGAAAAGAGTATGACAATCAAGGAGGCCATAAACGCACCCTACAATTGTAGGGACGACTGACGATACGGGCCTTAGATAATTTTAAAAAGGAATAAAAAACGTAGTTTGATATTTTAAATTAAGTTGGTATATGGAAACTCTTGGTTATGTGGTTGCAAAAAAAAGATTGTATTGTTGGCGATGCCTGGGTGGACCAGCAGCGGAGTCAACGATTTAAATAGTTTTAGGGCTCTAAAGAGGAGACATGAAATTTCTCCGTTAAATGTGAGATGTGTAGCCAATTTAATTCAGTTTGGCAAAAAGAATGTCTTAACCAAGCTTTTAGGCAGCACACTTCTAGATACCGTATGTTTTTTGGCAATACAGGAATTACCGTTCATTTTGAAGTGGATGACTCTGACAATAGAGGAAATTACAGGGAATTGTTAACATTCATTGCCAAAAAAGATTAAAAATTTTACGAACATCTAGAAACGTCGACTGTTTTTTCGGACGGCTTGAATTAGTCGTAGCATAAGACGATGAGGTATATCCCCAGACGCTCAGTCCAGGAATGTTTACCTTAATTTAAAAATAGTTTAAATAAAATATCTAAAATAAGCAAAAACTTATATTTGGGAGGTTCAAAATAAACTTTTTTGGTAATAGTTTAGGAAAAGTCACGCGTCGCCACCGGCGACTTACAATTTACATCGTCACAACCATGTTGACATGTAGGTTCGCAGTAATTTCCTTAGAATAGGCAATAAAACCGAGTTCCATTTTAATTTAAACAAAATTGTTTATTCTCATACATAACGCTAAACTTCCAAGAAAACGTTACCCCTCAATCCCCCTCTTTCGAATCATCTGAATTTTTGGACGTAAAAGGGAATATCAAGTGTTTGGGTTATTTTCGCGAAGGCATGGCTTTTTGTAATTGGGTTTGGTATCATTTGGTGGAAGCTGTTGATCAATGCTTTAGTAACTATTGATTACCCCCCGTATTTTATCCTCGCGTCACGTGTTTTCACGAGTCTGCCTTCTCCATTTGCACTGTCAGCCGCATGTTTTGTGCGGCTCATTTTTTTCGCCGTCATTGCGTCATTTGACAGTCTGTTCCGTGTGTTTAGGTTAACAGGTTGTTCAAAACAGAAAATGTCCTAATTCGTAATGGAACTGTGAATATCACTGAATGTATCGGACTTTATCTGTGAATCGTGGATTTCTATAACGTTTGCGCCGATATTACCCAAAAGTTGAGGATCGGAAATGAGCGTTCCAGGAGACACAAACATTCCGGACACAATGGCCCACTCTTTTCAACGTAGTCAGAGCGCAGACCTATCCCAGCCTCAACATCAAAGCAGACTGCTCTTCACCAGCCATTCCAGCAATGCTTTGCCCTCCACAGCAGTGTCTTTCCATCGACGAACAGTGGAGAGCGCTAGACAACTCAGAGACAGCTTTTCAAACGTTATCAGAGAGATAGAGCCTCTTGTGGAGACAGCACGTACAGTCAACGCTGGAGTCACTAGTTTCCTCAGCAGTTCCAATAATTCACAGTTAAACAATTCTCCAAATGCCAGAAGTGACAGCATCTTCATCAATTTGGATGTACCGCATGAACCTCCAGTTAGAGACCCACAAACTCCAGCACAAGAGAATACTACACAAGAAAGAGGGTTTCTAGATGGCCAACCTTCTGACAATAACAATGCCACAGAAGATCCTGACAGAACACAGACTGTGCTAGAAGCACAAGAATGTATTAGAATACTTCTAAAATATGTTCCTTTCGTTCTGATTCTATTAGGAAAAGCTGTCTATGATTATCATGAGAGCATTTTCATTCTAGTGATTCTCTTTGTAGCATTTGCACATACCAACTCGGTTGTGCGAAAGGAAGCTGTTAAAAGACAAAGAAGAAGTGTCTCAACACTTGCTGTGGAGTTATTATATATAATAGCTTGTCTCATATTCATACATTATGTATTTGAAGATGAACTTCACAATTTCAATCTTATATTGAACTTAGTGCTGATAAGGACATTTACACATCCCTTGACTGTTTGGAACTTGGTATGGATTGTTGCAATTACAGATTTTACCTTAAAGCTACTGACTGTAGCTATTAAGATTCTTCTCACTATGCTTCCAGCACAGGTGGTTGATTTTAAGAAAAGGGTAAGTTTTCCAAACTCTATATTCATAAATTTCTAGAATTAACCATATTTACATGAATGATATGTAAATCTTATCTACCACAATTTAAATATTTTGTATTTTTATCTAATATCATTGCTCTCATGATAATTTGCAAAATAAATGTAAACATCATTCATATATCTAAAAATTGGATGAATCATCAGACTTCATCCAGATTCAGCTAATGTACCTAAATAATGTAAGTTTGATGATGATATGGATAAAATCCTTTTTGGATATTTCTTAAGCAGCGGTAACACCACTGTAATAGCAAAAATAAAAATGGCGTCAAGTATTTTGACTCTGCACTTTATATGTAACAAAACCATCAACTTATAAAGGATTATGTTCAGCATAAGTTGGCCCCTCTGTGTGAGTCACAGACAACAGGCAATATTGTCCCTTTCCACATCTGCGCGGCAGCGCCCAGTGCAGCAGATTATTGTTCATTTTGTGTCTGGTCCATGTATATAATAACAAATCGTCTTGATTTAAGGTGAAGTTTAGCTATTCTGTCACTTAAGGCTTAGGCCGTACTATGGCTTCTTCCCGCAAGCGGTAAACCACCAAACCGCAAAACTGCCCGAGTCGCACACACTATGGTTTTTAAATCAGTCGCGGGAAAAAACAGTCAGTGTGGCCGCTTCCATTAGTTTACTTGACTCACAAAATCAGGCGGTTAAAATCCGCGGCGGTCTAGCCGTAGTACGGCCTAAGCCTAATCCTTAACAAAAAGAAATTATGCATATGTATGCCCTATTTCATGAGTATCGCATCATGGTAGAATAACAGCTGATTATCTAGTAATATCACAAAATTCCCCATATCGGCACAGGACACATAATTCTGATGGATCCAACATGAGGTAGTCGGAGACGTATTTTGGTTTTGGTTTTTTGTACACTACAGATTCATTTTGTACTTACTAACAGCTGTTCATTTGCATACAAAAAACAAAATGCTACAAATAAGTTTTACTAGAGTTACACCAGCACGGGTATCATGTATCTTGAATAGTGACATTATGCCAATTTTTTTTTGACATAATGTACGTTTTTCTACAAGATATTAACTTAGCACTTAGTTGTGCGTATTGCCTAAACAACATGAGGCTTGTTATCAATCTTTGGCTCTGATGTGATGTAAAATCTGCTTCTGAGATGGCATTATGGGAGGGATAATCTGTAAGTTGTATGTGTTGATGATAATTACATTGGGTTCTTCTCTCAAATACACTTAATTGAGATTCAAAGCTAGAAATTAGTTGCGCATCCACTTTTTCTTATCTTTTCTCCAAATTACATATACAAATTTGCTGAATTTCTTAAATGAGAGATATAAGAAATAAGTATATTCACAGTACACTGTCGAATTACAAGCCATATACATGCTAACAGTAATTACACACAACGCGGGCGCGGTGATGATTTCCCATAATTCTCTTCAGTTTTTCGTAATTTATAACTTTGAACATAACCTCTCTTTAGAAAGCACAACATATAAATAACCTGTCATTCAGTATATTTCTCACTCAGCAAATATTGATTTTATACACATGCAGACTAATACACATAATCATCCAGATGCGATCTTGCTATTCAATCAACTTTCTTCTCAGAGATAAAAACTACAGAAACGGATCACTCAGCCTCACAAAACTATGCAACCAATAATGCGTGTAGCTTAGTTGAGTGATTCCTCCATAGATGGACGTTCACAACGATCCTAGTGAGCAAACGTGGAATGACTGCGCCCTAAAAACTACCTAGTCTGCAAGTTGACATCTTATAGGTTTTTTTTGACGTTTTGTAGCCTTTTTACATGATACCCGTGCCGATTTAGTATCGCCAATGGCGCAGACTCACACAAAAATGTCATGATCAGCTGTTTACCTCAGTAGACGTCAAAGCGTGATGGATACTCGTAAAATAGGGTATATGCGTATATGTTTTTTGCGCTGCATGATGAATGGATTTAGTCGGCCGGACCGGTACACCTGGCGGTGAGCTTGGATAGCAGGAGAATGCGATCAAAAACATTTCTCTATGATTCTGTTTAAAAAGGCAAATGTATAGGGAAATCTATGATGTGTGGTAATGGTTAGGTGTGCATAGAATTACTGGAGTTGGGAGCATATAAATATACCAAGGTCATAAAATGTTCCTGATGTATATGTCATGTAACATCCAAAAAACATAATATCTCATTTTCGAACATTTTCGCGATTGCGATACTTCCTGTCAGTGGCGTAAGAAGTGTAAAAGTAATTTTTTGTCATGTTTTTTTCGGTTTTAGAAAATTTAATATTGAAGTTATCGAGCATATAGTTAGTTATCAAAAGTCAAAAGAGAAAGTATTATGAAGGATTATTTGAAAATAATTTGAGTCACTCTGCAGCATGCAGCTGTTAGTTTGATTCTTGAAGGAAAACAAAAAGTAATTTATTCATATTTATAACAAAATAAATACAGGGTCCGTCCGAACAGTTGGAACCACACTCTTCTGAAACGAACACGTCGACGTCGAAGTTCCGGAAAAAAAAGTTGAATTCACAGTAGTTGTTTCTCCATCATCCTCAAAAAATAAGGGCCAATAATCATCTTTGGGCCTACTGCACACCAAACTGTAACTTTCGGGGTATGCAGGGGGTGCTCATGCAACTGTTGGGGGGTGTTTCATCACTCATAAACAACATGTCATTGTTATCCAACCGTTCAATCATGAGCTGTGCAAAATTAACACGTTGTGCATAATTCCCTGGCAACAGTTGTTGACAAACTTAGATTTTGTAAGGATGAAACACTAAATCCTTGTTCAAGATTAGTCATGTGTGGTTCGCGAACGAGTTGTTCAAAATGAACGACTCATCTATATGAGCGACGATTGAACGACTCTTTTGTTACATATGACTCGTTCAATTGTGCAAAGCGTGTCTGCACGTCTGCAGTATCCAGCAACTGAACTGCGAACTGACAACAGACACAATCTAGGGATCCCGGTTGTTTTGTTTTGAGATTTCTCATTAAATTATACGTTGAAATGATGGGATTTGAGAGCAAAAATTGCATTTTGATTCAGAATTCGGTAATTCCTCAAAACCGAACCACATATCCCTTCTTTTTTCGGAAGAATGTATACATTCGTTACATTCAATTTCAACCAAAAATATTAATACTTAAATAAATGCAATAACATCGGCAACCCTAACCGTTCATTTCATTTTCATAGTATGATGTATATTCTGACTCAGTGAGTCGTTACTATAGGCAACACAATACTCTCGTCAGCTTCGAGGCCGGTCGGTAATTCTATCGTTCAAATGAACGACTCCGAACGAACGACGAAATGAGCGAGCTCAGAGAAAAGAGTCGTATGTCTCAGGCCTATTCAAGATGCGACGTACAGAAGCCGCGTGGATCTCGTGCTTTGCAGCGTGTCAACTCTCTCTCTGTCTACGTTTTCGGGGGTTCTAACAGTACGGTTTCGCCCTGGCGGTTTTTTCTGAATCACATTACCTGTTGTGTTGAATGCTTCCACCCCTCTCAAAATAGTGTTACGGTCTGGTACTGTCCCACGACGTGGAACACGAAAGTGAACGCGAAACTCACGTTGCTTTCAAATGGCAGACTCGCCATTTTGAAAGTACCGACGTACAGTGAACACACGATGTTCATCGTTCCAAACCATCTTGCCAACTGAAACGGCACTTCTCCCACTACGCCCTTCCCCACCGACACGGGACCAGCCCACTCGATGTAGTACCCATTCGAACATGCGTTCTTTCTGACGGACCCTGTACTTACTGCATTATAGAAATATTGATTTATGGATGGGTGGCGATTATTTAAATTAAATCATTCAATTTTCAACAAAAGAAGTATTTGTCTTTTAATAAATAATGTTTGAATCAACTTATCGAAAATCCCCTACGTTTTTCTCTGAAAAGAACGAATTTCGTTCGAGTTATGCTGCCTGCCAATTTATGAAATCGGGTTCCGAGAAAAACCCTGCAGCGCCGCCATTTTTTGACGTTTTTTATGTGGTAATTTTCTGCTTAGTTACCTAAAAATATGCTTTATGATATCCTCCAATATCATTATTCTATCACCATTTAATATACTAAAAAATTTTAGGCCATTATAGTGGTGTTATCTAACTGTATGATAAATATTGTTCAAACATACCAAAAACCTATTATTGGCATAAACTGAATGAACTCAGTGTTATTTGATAATCTTGGTAAAGGGCCTATATTTCTTTTTAGGGTAAAATATACCTTTTTATTGAGGGTATATCACAATTGTACAGAAGCATTGCTACAATTCAACCATGGCTTTATTATCTGCTGGAGTCATATCAAGGACCAGAAAAAATTGTAGCTGTCTTTCTGTCTGCATTTTACATGATTTCTAAGGGTAGTGATCTCATGTCCAAAGTCAAACTACTGAAGACTGCATTTTTCAAATTACTACAAAATGTGGTAAGTAAAATAAAAAATAAAACTATTTTTGTTCCAGTTTATATTTATTACATTATAAAAAACATTAACATTTTTATGCATTTAGCACAAAGTTACAGATACATACATTTGGGATACCTTCCTGTACAGGATAATTCATAAAATGTGGCATTATTTTTAGTGCACAAAGTAAATAAAAAAATGAAAGCTAATATAAAAAGTTGGCCAGAAAACGTCTCCTCACGAATTACAGTGTTGAAGTTATAATTTTGGAATTGAAATAATTATGTCTTTGGGAGTGGATTCTTGTACATATACAGTAATGGACAAAAGTATATAGACAAGTATGAATATTTACCTAAATATTGCTCCATAAACAAATGCGTTATTAGTAGAAAAACTAAATTCCTTGTTTTTACATTATCTGCAATGAAAACAATCAAGTCCGAATATAAGGACAGGGACAAAAATATATAGACAAATTCTTTTCAACATTACTTTAGTACAGTTTCGTGTCAAAAGAGGATTAGTTTGTGTTCACCAAGTATTGTGGAATAAGTTGAGTGATTTTAAGTCCATGCCGCGTGGTCCAGAAATTTCTTTCGATGTGAAAACTAAGATCATTGAGTTATATAAGATGGCCAACGTCAAGTCGACATTGCCAAAAATTTGAAGCTAGTAAAGCAGATTGGCCAATATTGAACAAATATAAACAAAAAGGTATCTTGGAAGCCTCAAAGAGAAGTGGTCGGCCTAGAAAACTAAATGCTAGATCAGTTAAATTAATAAAAGTAATTACGTCCAAAGATCCGTTTAAAACCGCAAGACAAATAAAAGCCGAAATCGAGACAAAAGGAATTGTCAGTGTTCCTACGAAAACTATAAGTAAAAGGTTAAATGATTTGAAGTTATTTGCACGTCGCCCGAGTAAGAAGCCGCTAATCTCGAGGAAAAACCGTAAGGACCGATTACAATTTGCATTTGATTGGAGCATCTGTGACTGGAAGAGGGTATGTTTCAGTGACGAATCCAAGTTCAATACGTTTGGATCAGATGGTGTTCATTACGTTAGACGTCCTAGTGGACAAAGATTTGAACCCCAAGTACACTTTGCCCGCTGTCAAACATGGAGGCGAGTCTGTTATGGTTTGGGGGTGCTTTTCGGGGTTTGGGATGGGACCTTTACATAGAATAGATGGCATTATGGATACATTTGTATAAACAGACATACTAAAGCATGTCATGTTACCCTATATAGGAGACAATATGCCCTTAAGATCAATCTTCCAGCAAGATAATGACGCGAAGCAGACTTCAAATCTCGCAAAGAAATTCTTTCCGATGAAAAAAATACCAGTTATCAAATTGTCTTCACAGTCTGCCGATATGAACCCCATTGAAAATCTATGGGAATACTTAGATAAACAAATACGAGATAAACATTATTCAAATAAGGATTAACATTTTGCCGCTTTAGAGCAAAAGTGGATATCACGAAACTTCTACAATCTATGCCGAGTTATGCTACAAAATATTAACACAAACATGATTGGCTTTCTATAATTCAATGAACTTTTCTTCTTTTTTCTATAATTGTTTTGCTTTCTCTATATATTTTTGTCTTTCATAGGTCCAGTTTTTTTCAATTAATTTTTTATTGAAGGAAGTCTAATGATTTATTTATGTATAAGTGAGTATTATGCTATAACGAATTATGTATACAGGTTGGTGTATTAATAAAACAAGTTAAAAAAGAAATACAGCAGAATATTAATTTGTCCATTACTGTATGTAGTTCTAACAACATAGTCAATACATACAAAAATGCTTGTGCCTGAGAAATAAAATTATTTTCCACTTCTATTGCATTTTTGGATAAGATGCTCAATTTTATGTGAATCATCTCTCTTGAGAAATTTTACACCTTTTGGAGAAAAATCTGTTTGAATATTTGATGTAAAATTAAGCCCAGTCTACTTTGAAAATAACCTGAAGTTAGTCAAGTTTGACATTTAAAATTGTATGCAGTGATTTAAGAAAGTAATCTCACCTTAGCATTATTTGAACAGTATTTCTGCTGTGTTATTATATATGTACTTTCATCAGTAGCAGTATAGTTTACACCCTCTATCTTGGTAATGAGGTATTTTAGGATAATGTGAGAACTTTTTTATTTTTGGGTCATTCTTTGCTCAAGAAATATTGCCATTGTCTTCTGAATCACCCTGTATACTGCCTAGCATTTTGAAAATATCTAATAAACTGATTAAAATCAAAAAATATTCTTTGAAAGTATACTGAGTCAGAGTTGTAATATAGATTACCCATTGTATGTTATCTTCGATTTCTTTATTAAAAATCAAATCTGCTTAGTTGGGATTGTTAAATATGATGAAATATTGTATAAATATAAATAAATCTGTCGACTTCTGAGGCAATAAACTTCTTAAGATAATCAATGTGTGCTAACGGGGTAACAAAGATAAGTTTGCGCAAATGGAAGTCCAGGAAGTATCTTCACATCTGATGGAAAAAATATTCTGATTCTGTTTGTTTTGCATAATCTCATTTAAAAAGGACTCCTTTTAACGAATCTTCACGTTTCCAGACCCCAAATTTGTTTCAAGTCATTCATAAACAATTTATTAATAAACTAACTTTGAAGATGCTCTTGCTTACGTCCCTCGGCTTCTATGCTAAGCGCAAAGGTGTCGCACCACACCATCACTGTCAACGTGTCAAGTGGCCGGAATACCTGGCATTCACAGAGCGAATCAGCAATAACTTTTCTATGCATACTGAGTGGCCCAACGGGTTTGGGGCTCTCTTGGTATATTTTGGGAAAAACGCTCGGACACGTCAATTTTGATTTCTAGAGGGACGTATTTTCATCTACAGGGTGTTTCAGAGCTATGGCGTCAGACTTGTAGAGGTTATTCAGTGTAACAGTAGAAAACATTTGAGTATAGGGACGCATATCCGGCGCTTGTGTGTTGTTATCTGTAAAAAAGATAACAGATATTGTTTTTTGTAGCTGCATTCTATATCGCCTTAGTCGTGCTATCGTATTTGTTTGCAAGAATTTAACAAAGATTAATTGTTGCTAATGGAAAACTTCACCAATCAAGGATTGGCGGATATGCATTTGGCATACGGAGCAACAAGCTGCAATGCACGAGCAGCAGCGCGTTGTATCAAGAACATTATCCCGAACGACAGCATCCGGGATACAAAAAGTTTATTGCTATTCATCGGCGGCTCTCCGAGGAAGGCTTGTTTAAAACCAACATGCATGATACTGGTGTTGCTCGAACCGTAAGAACGGTCGAATTTGAAGAAGAGGTCTTTCAGCGTGTTGCCGACGAACCAGTAGCACACGTCACATTGCTGAGGATATGAATATGAGTAATGCTTCCGTCTGGCGGGTGCTACACGAGCAACAACTTTATCCTTACCACTTCCAGAGAGTTTTGGTTTACGAAACTCCAGTAGAAACAGAACAAGACTTAATTGGACGAATTACAGCAGCATTTGAAATCATTCAAAACGAGTATCAAATTTTTAGTCGAGTCGGCCGAAATCATGTGCGACGTTTAAATCGGTGTATTCAGGTTGGAGAGACATTTTGAACAATTCTTGTGATGATATCATGTACAAAAGGCAAAAATTAAATGCATTAGATCCTATTTAGGCAATTCATCGTCTATCTAAATTTTAACGCGTCTTAGGGCCGTAGTGACACTTTTCCGGATATGGGTTCCTATACTCATTTTTTTTTTGTACTGTTACACTGAATAACCCCTAGAAGTTTGATACCTTAGTTCTGAAACACCCTAGCCGTACAATACAGGATGATCCAAAAATAAGATATTGCGATTTTTAAATCGAAACCCCATTTTTTTTTAATTTTCATATTTTCCATTTTTTAGTAACTTTTGTATAATAAACTTTATACCTATCTTCAATCGTTGTGAAGCTATTTGCGTTTATAATAAAATTCTACTAACTTAACTTAATTCTGATAATAATGGAATGCACGGCAAACAATAATAATCATGGATTATTAAGAATATTTAGCATGAGTCATTCATTTGAATTTGTTAGGTTACTTACCTAGTTGTGATAAATATTGAACAATGACTTATTCAATTCAAGAAAGGGTAATAAGGCAAAAATATTAACCATAAGTATGTCGCCATTGATTATTATTTTATTTTTGATTGATTTAAAATTTTTAATGTCTCTGCCCCCAAATCATATAAGAAAATACAAAGGAATTACCGACAATGCAACGTATTAGTATTATTATAAAAAAATTAGGAATCAAAGTAGCAGGTGCCATTCAGTTCTGTTGATTACTCATGCAAAACGTTTCTATTATTGGGTGAAAACACTTTTATCATGATTCGGTGCATGAACAATCTAATCTCATTTGATTTGTTTCAATTATATCTTGCCATTGTTCGGGGAAGTGCTCTGCAATCTGCAATACATGCAATATGTGTTGGTAATAGTGGGGATAAAAATAGTACAAAGGCAAATTTAGGAATCTGTATAGAGGAGGGGGGCACGTATCACAATTTAGGTCTATCAAGGTAATTTTACACTTACAGAGACAGCATAAAATTTCAAACTTGTGGGGAGACGCCCCCTCTAAATCCGCCCTTGAAACAGTCCCATATGGGTGTACGTATTATTTTATTGGATTTATATTGAACTGAGATATTATAGTCTGTCACTGATCGTGAGTAAGCAAAATTATGATTTTCAAACGAAAGATACACAAACGTATTATTTTCAACACCTTTAATTTGCCTTTGACCTTCCTGGGAGGGATACACTTTATGGTGATACATCCACATCCTCTGATGTTGTGGTAGAAATGGAATCGTTTGAATTGATGATTGCTTTATATCTTTGTCTTTTCTGACGGCTTGATCACTTTTGGATATAAGCAAAATTCAATGTATAAACAATAGCGATTTTGGGATATAATATCAATTTCTTTTGAGGTAATTAATGTGATTCATATTCAAGTAATTGTTCACTTCCCACATTGATGATTTGAATAGCCAAACCTCATTGTGACCTAAATCAGAAAAGAGTGAATCTCGCAGTTGAAATAACATTAAAAATTATTTAGCAAATTAATCCAATCTTCAGGTATAAGATTAAATGAGTATCTAAAATTAGCCTAAAATCTGAATGATAATTATTGGAAATTTGATAATGCCACTTTTATAGAAGAAAAACCATAGGCTTCGCCAAGGCGTGGTAGCGGAGAGCAGTTTCTCACAGGTAGACAAAATTGTTTTGATGTGATTTTGGAGAAGCTTCTAAAATGCTGTCATTTAAAGACATTGACAAGTATTGATTTCCAGTAACATTTCATTTCGAAAAATGGATCTAAAGTCCCGGAGATAATCTGATTGCATATTTTGTTGCATATTATTTGATTGTGGTGTTTTTTTGCAGTATTGCTTTAGTACTAGTTCCAATGTGGAGTAGTGTTGGTACTACGGTAGGGGTATTACGTATCTTGAAAAGTGATGATGACGTTTTTTTTATATCATATAGGGTTTTTGTGACATTATGTAGGTTTTTCTACAATATGTCAACTTAGCACTAGCTGTTGTACACTTATTGTGTATTCGTTCCCTAGCTATACGTGTTGCCTAAACGTCATGATGCTTCAGCTATCAATGTTTGGCTCTGATGTGATTTAACATCTGCTCAAAGATGGCACTATTGGATGTCTAAGCTGTACGTTGTATACTTCAGGTATAGCTGGAAATAAACGGCAGTGGTTATGTGCTTAGTGAGGATTTGTGTGCTAACAATATGTGGTGATAATAATTCCATTGGTTTCCTGTCTCAAATACATCTAAGATTTGCAACCTAGAAATTAGTTGCGGATCCGCTTTTTCTTGTTTAACCTAGAGATTACATATGCAAATTTGCTGAGTTTCAAAAAAGAAAGCGATAAGAAAAGAAAATCCCTGGTTGGCGAAGTATATTGAAACTATCAGGTGAGAAAATTGGCACATTTCACATTTGTTTTTATTTCCAGTCATTTAAATTTTGTAGAAAATTATTTTACGATGTCAAGTAGAAAATACAAATTAGAGCCTAGATGTGAGGCAGTACGAAAATGTTTTGTATGTGATGCGTTAAATCGTAATAACTTTGAGCATAACCTCTCTTCAGAAAGGACAATACAAATAACCCGTCTGGCATATCTAATAGATATACGAGCCCCTTCCCACTTCAGTTGGCCCACTTCAAGATTTGTACCAAAATATGCCTTTATAAACTAAACATGACGAAACTATTCACTTCTAAAACAATTTCTTTTCTCTAAAACATTTTAGATACACTCAAGTCGTAAAAAATACATATTTGAAATCACTTAGACCTATAACTAATAGAACATCTGAACAAATAAACAATGTGCGAATAAATGCGCGAAGTTAACAAAGCAACAATTGAAAGATTACCATTGGGTAACATCACCTTTATTTTTTATTACGGCTGAAATTCTTTGGGGCATAGTGTTAACCAAGTTTTGGCAAAACTTTGGTGTAAAACAATCCCATATTTCTTAAAGCTTTTGTCTCAGTTCGGTGATTGTACGAGCAGGATGTTTTCGTAGAACCTTTTTCATCTCGTGCCACAAAGTTTCAATAGGTGACAGATCTGGACTGCTAGAAACCCATTTCAAAAGTGGTACATTATTTTATTCCATCCATTTTATAGCCTTTTTTGAGGTATGGCACGCTGCACCATCTTGCTGAAACACAAAATCTTGGCCGGATGTCAAACATTGTTCCATCTATGGTAACAGCGATTCTTCTTAAATTGCCAAATATTTGTTTGTATCCACTTTTCCATCAATAAAATGAAGTTTTCCTACTCCTTTTGATGGCATACTGCCCCAGACCATACTGGATGCTGGAAATTTCACTTTTCTCTTCAGACAGTCAACATGGAATGCTTCATTTTTTTGCGATAACTCTACTGCGTCTGTCTCCAACACAAACTTCGAATCGGGCCTCATCACTCCATTGTATTGCACACCATTGTTGAGGTGTCCATTGTCTATGTTCTTTAGCCCATCTAAGCCGATTTTTCTTTTGCAGTTGAGTTAGTAGTGGCTTTTCTTTGGCCTATAAACAAGTTGTGCAACTTTAGGATTTTTACTTCACTTTTTTTATAAGAAAACTTACCTTGCAAGTGCTAAATCCCAGTTTGTGGGCCTCTCTATGAGTTGCGGACCTCGAAATTCTCCTTCCAACAGCGTCACTCCACAGAGCACTTAATTGTAAATAATTGGCACGCCTGTTTTTCACGATTATTCTTCTTAATGCATTTGTCGGTCGGCATTTGTGATATTACTTTTTTTCACATATCGTGACTTAATATTAACTGAACCAGTTACGTTGTATCTTCTAACAATATTTCTCACACTGTACCGCGATAAGTCTAACAAAGTTGCAATTTCTGAATTTGATTTCCCAGAATTAAAAAATTTAATTATCAGTAACCGAATTTTCTCACTAATAACCCCCTTTTATTCGTTCTCGAAAACGGTGCGGTGCAATTTCTGTAAGCTTTATGAATTTTTTCGAGCTGAGCGACAAAATTGCCCCCCAAGGACTCATGCTTGCAGGAAAAAATAAGGAGAGGGAAAAGGAGAGAGCACGATATTTTTTGTTTGAAAACTTTCCTTAAATGTGCATTCTTTTTTTACCCGTTGGTATCCATTAAATGTTTGCAAAAAGTCCGTATTTTATTAAATTTATCAAAGAGACCCCAAAGTTATAAATGTTAGTGGTCAAACTAGATTCGCCCAAGGGGGTGGGGGGGTCGTGACCCCACCCCTGGATCCGCGGTTAATCTATTTTCTATTTGAAACCATTTATTTGATTGCAGAGCATCGGTAGCAGTCCCAGCAAGGACCAAATCCAAACAGCCGGCGAGCACTGTCCAATCTGTCACGACGAATACGATTCTCCGGTACTTTTACAGTGCCGGCATATTTTCTGCGAAGCGTGCGTCTCCACCTGGTTTGATCGAGAACAAACGTGTCCGCTTTGTAGGGCCAAAATTGTGGACGATCCTTCTTGGAGGGATGGTTCCACATCGTACTTCGTGCAGTTGTTCTAGACGTCGAGGACATATGGTAACTGGATGGTGTGTGATATCAGCAGATCTTATGGGTGCATGTTTGTACGTATGATATTTTTCAGACTTCTTTATTATTATTGCTTTATTAATACAGTCATATTAGGAATGAGATATACTAAGCTGTAAATTCGTCGAAACCTTTGTCATTCTAAAAGTGGTCCTAAAAGTCCCCGAAAATCTCGTGTCCGCGTCTTAAGATACCAATGGTCACAATAATCCTTTTTTTTTTGCAAAGATCTCTCGAATAAAATTCTCTACAACTTTTGTGTCAAGCATTTTTTCATACAATTAACCGTGTTCGAGATAGAGGTTTGAGAACCATTAGTCCCGATAAATAATACGCCGTACTAAGTCTATACATCTTTAAAAAACATATAGTTTATGCACAATTAGCATTTTTTTACCAGTCAACATTATATTTTTGATGTTGTTCATCAGTCAAACTACAAAAATTCACAGAACCCAAATGAATTGTGCCATCAACAAACTCATATAGAGGGTGATTCACAAGTCGTGACCAAAAATGAAACATCATAGACAGGATCGCATTTTAAGGGGGGTCTTCTATGTTACATTTTTCCCTCGAGGGCTTCATATAAAAAGATACGGGATGTTGAAGTTTAAAAATGAAAACATTTTTTTTAATATATTCAAAATCGTCATCTGGAATGAACTAAAATTTGATATGTGGATAGGGTGATTCTATGCCTATAAGGGTTGACTACTCAAAACTGAAAAAGAATCGCAGAACCCAACAAAGAGTTGTGCAAACAAAGAAGTGTTATGTGATGCGAAATGAAATAATATTTATTCACATCAATTATAAATTGTGAATAAATTGATATTCCACAAAAGGAAAATATCGTTGTGTGTGGATATCATTCTAACACAACATACTCCTATAACATGATAAATAACTGGTTACAATATTTTGTAACTGCAAGAATGGTTGTGGTCCGCGCTGCAGGAAATCAGATTTGCAATGTTCAGCATTGCAAGCTTGCCTCATTGCTTCACCGTATCAGAGCAATCCCGATGATCATAACACTGTTGATCCCGAGATACGCGAAAATCTGGAGACAAATATCCTTGATGAAGAAAACGATGATGATGGATTGGAAATTTTCGAGCGACCAGAAGACGATGATGAACAAGAGGAAAAATAAAACATGTTCTTATTACTAAAATCTTTGTAAATCCTCCACATATTTGAATTTCAATCGTAAGAAGTGTATGATACAGCATTTCTAAATGAGAATGTTTCTACCTCTAATGTAATTATATACATATTAAAATATAATTAAATAAGGCAAAATATTAAACATATTGTAATGATTCATAATGAATGCTAATTATGCACAACTACAACTATATATATATATATATATATATATATATATATATATATATTTAATTATTCGTATACTTAATACGTCGTATTATTTATCGGTGGACCTTGTATTATGCAGTAAATATTTAAGCGTTGAGCGATATCCGCCCTCTAACTCGAAACCCTATGAAAAAATGTTTGAGGCAAAAGCTGTAGATAATTTTATTCTGTACAATATTCATAATGTGTAAATTTAAATGGCATTAAACCCCTAGGAAGCGATATCTTTGCAAAGAACGGATTTCTCTGACATCTTAAGTCGCAGAAAGACTACTGAGACAACCTTCAGAATGTCAAAATAAAGGTTTATAGCTTATCATCTCTCATTCCGAAGTTGACCCTCTTTTATGGCTTTTACACACATGTTAGAAAGGGATTGAACCTGGCCTAGTGACGTTGACGCAGAAGGTCGTGCAATCTTCCGCGTTGCCAATATGTTACACCAGGCAATGTTCGGACAGGTTTCTACAACAGGTTAGGTTACTGTCAAACCCAAGGAGGTCTGTTCGAACATTTAATTTAATATGTAGCTTGTTTTCATTTTGATTAGAATTATTTCAATTTAGCGTTTAAATTTTTTTTAGAATTACCGTCGGCACTCGTCAATGAGCGATAGATGGGTACTGACCGAAATCGCGTATATACAGAGTGACTGGTAAATAGGTGTAAAACATTTTAGGATGTGATAGTACAGCTCCTTCGCTATCAAAATTAGTATATAATACCATACCCTATATTCAAAGGTTAAAAAGTTATGGAAGATTTAATTTTTTTTAAAAAACAACCCAGATTACAGAGTAAAATAGTTGAGATAAAAAAAAGTTGGTGATTAAACATCCTTTTTTTGGTGGTTTCAGGTTATTATTTAAATAAATAATTCTCATAAATTAAAAAACATATGAAAACACTACTGAAAACGTATTTATTTTCATTTAAATGTTAAATGAAAATTTTTATTTTCAACTTTCACATTAAGAAGTCTTTTTTTTTCAAAAACATAATAAAGAAAATGTACAAATAACTGCAAAAACTTCCTCGTTTCATTAGGTTTCTAAAATGGTATAATAACATATCAGTGAGTAAACCATTTAACAAAACAATATTACTTTGCTAGAAAGGACCGCTAAGCGCATTTCATTGTACTGAGCATGTAAACCGAGCCTTTCATGGTTCGACCCTTTTTGTTATTTTTTGTACCCTGTGCCGTTATTCGGGTTTAAGTATTCGGAATCTGTCGTCGATCCTCGGAAGCAAGCTCTGCGTGTGTTATGAATTGACACAGCTGACGGATCAAGGAAAGGGAACTAACGCTTAGGTTAGTTAGTAGAATATCAACCTTTAACGCGGTAGGACGTGCTTTTACTTTTTTGATCAGTTTTAATAATGGCGAGTTACCGTAACGAAGAATACGCTGATATTTTGTTTTGTTATGGTTTAAGTGATGGAAATTCCGTTGAAGCCAGGCGAGAATACGAAAACCGTTTTCCGAATCGGCGAATATCGAGTATTTGCTTCTGTGTACCAACGCGTCAAGGAAAGTGGACAGGTTCATGAGAGACGTCATGCTGCTGGTAGACCTCGGTTGTTTGACGACGAAGATCGAGAGGCAATACTGGAATGCTACGGCAGAGACCCGACGACGTCTACACGAGTTATAGCAAAGCAGCTTGGTTTAACTCAGTGGAAAGTTTGGTTCGTTTTGCATTCGGCGAGACTTTACCCTTTCCATTACACACCGGTTCAAGTATTAGAAGAAGAAGATCCCGCAAGAAGAATTGATTTTTGTCGATACATGCTTCATCGGGATCAAGAAGAGAACGACTATTTGACTAAAATATTGTGGACCGACGAGTCTAAGTTTGACAGAAAGGGACAACAAATTATCACAACTTACATTATTGGGCCCCACGAGAGGCAAATCCCCACATGACAAAGCCAAGAGCCAATCAAAGAAGATTTTCGGAAAACGTGTGGATGGGAATCATTCATACGTATCTAATTGGATCAGTTTTTTTGCCTGACAACCTGAATGGCACAGCAATTGCAATGAATTTTACCTTCATTTCATTATTGTATTTTACTTACCAATTGTAGTAACTTTTAGTCAGTTTTTATTATTCTGTAGTACAATTACAACTGTGTAAATAATCTAATCGTGTAACTTAACCGTAGTTTAAAATAATAACTATCCCATAGCTTACAGTTACATTATTTTCACAAAAACACTTTCTTATCAATCAGAGAGTTGTGAAAATAGGAGACAAACCATTGGTAAATTTATTCCCTATTGTTGTATTACAATACATTATGTTTAGTTTCACACAGTTTTTGTGCACTTATCATACCAATTTAGATTCCTTATGAAACAAGGATATTATTTAAATTGTTTGTACTTTTTTTTGTATACTGATTTTTATGTAAAACACCTTACTTACTGTAAAACGTTATCTGTTTTTCTTAGTTAAACATTTTTGAATGAAAATAAATACGTTGTTTGGTATTGTTTTCGAATCTTTTTTAATTTATAATAGTTAATTATTGAAGTAATAACCCAAAACCACAAAAAACAAATGTTTAATCCCCAACTTGTTTCTCTCTCGACTTTTTTACTCTGAAATATGGATTGTTTTTAAAAAAATCTTAAATCTTCAATAACTTTTCAACCGTTGAATATAGGGTATGGTATTATATACTAATTTCGATAGCAAAGGGGCTGTACTATCACCTCCTAAAATGTTTTACACCTATTTACCTGTCACCCTGTATGATCATGGAGGTGGAAACCTTGCTTTGTACGAGGTGCGGTATTGCCAAGCGAACAAATGATGAAATGTTGCTAATTTGTTTGGATCCTGACTTCGTTTCGACCTAAAATGAAGCGCCGCTAGGACCGATCCGGAATCGCTCTTAAACAGATTCAACACAATTCAAAAAGGTGTACGCTCAAACTAAAACTACTATTAGGGCGTAGAGGATAAACTATCGCATATTTTCAACAGGCATCTTACTTCAAGGAATTGGTGTAACGTATTGCACATCGCCGCGTCAGCGTTGCTAGGCAACGCGGTTATGAGCGGTTTCTATATCTTTCTAACATATGTGTCGATATACACTTCTCTCTTGTACGCATTGAACTCAAGCCGTCAGATAAATTTGGTTCTCAGTGTATAATTTTACTATACAGAGTGTTCATTGTCTATACAGGGTGTTAGTAAAGTATGTAGACAAACTTTAAACATCGAATCCTTGGTCAATTTGAAGACTAAATGTTCATATGAACATGGGTCCGTAATGGCTTTCTTTTTGAGCTAGAGCACTATCTCAGTAAAGAAATACGAGTAATGTTCCAAATATTTCTATGCATAATGAAACGTATTTATTGAATAGTTGGAATAACCTACAGGGTTTGTCCGGAAAGTAATAGGACTGAGTCGATTTAAAAAAAATTATTGAGCCAATCGTTACAATTCTTTAAAAACTTTCAAAATAAGCTCCTTCTGCGTCGATGCAGCGCTGCCAGCGCGATTTCCAAGCATTGAAGGCGTCACGGAAGGCTTCTCCGCAATAGCCTTGAGAGCCGCGGTACATGCTGCTTGGATCCCCTGTGTCGTCTCAAAATTGGGGGTCACTTTCACACATGTTCACAAATTTTCTTGGCACACTTCCACTCGCCGCAATTTCTGGTCGTCAGTGAGCACTTTTGGGACCATCTTCGCGCATGTTCAAATGCTGTGACACAATGTCATGAACCACAGATTTTGGTAAATTTAACATCTGGGCAATTAAATGAATACTTAGTCGACGGTCTGAGTTCAAAACTTTGCGCACACGAGTCACATTATCGGTGTTTCTGGAAGTCGAAGGTCTTCCAGCACGGTCTTCATCAGCGACCTCTTCCCGGCCCTCCAAAAAGGCCTGGTGCCACCGAAACACACCACTTCTTGCTAAAGCAACACCTGGGTAAGCCTGCTTGATCATATCAAACATCTCTGACGCAGATTTACAGAGTTTCACACAGAATTTAATCGCGTACCTCTGCTCTAACGAACGCTGCATTTTCGGCTTGCACCACTAACAGAAACACGTCGCGCGAAAATGCCTGTCCTGACTCTCCAAGTGCTCGGAGACAACCGACCAGCCGCTCATTCGTTAGCTAGGAACGCCCTCTACCGAATCCAGTTGGTGTGCGCTTGCTCCGAAGTACAGTCATGGCGGAAGAAAATGAGTCCTATTACTTTCCGGACAAACCCTGTATGATTAATTTTGCATGTTTTACAAGTTGCTGAGGCTCAATATGAAGGTGGGTGAAAATAGTATTATCCTGTATTTTTGGCAAAAAGAATTATTTAGAAGGTCAATAGTCAAAACAAATCAATGTCATGCTATTTTTTCAAAAAATACTGGATAACATTATCCGTATCTAACTACATGGAGGGTCTGAAAACAACTGTAAATCAGGTGATATTCACCACATGGCATACTTAATTAATATAAAACGTTACATTCTTTTATAATTTTTTAGAACAATATCATTTCTTTCAGTGCTAATATGCTCTAGCTTGAAAACAAGGCCGTTGCGGACCCATGTTCATATATAAATTTCGTCTTCAAATTGAATAAGTATTCGATGGTTGAAGATTGTTTACATACTTTACTAACACCCTGTATAGACAATGAACAGATTATTGAATGTGGAGAGGGTGCCATACGAAAGAATTTTGCCGTTTTCTATCATACAGAATTCTCTTTAGAAAGGAACACTCACGAATGTGTGGAAATAGCGTGAATCGAAAAATAACTAAACTTCAACAGTGACGTTGAATTTTCAGAATTGTATTTCCTATTTTTTTTCTCCGGTTTCTGATCACTTAACAGGGAGTTAGCGGGCGGTTATGCCTCGTGGTGTGAATTTAGAGCCCAATGCGCCGCGGACTTAACATGCCGTGGAACATAATTGCTTATTGCAATCCAAGGTACATACAAAATTTTAACTGACTGGCTAAAATCAAAAACTTAAAAACGCGATATAAATAGAATTAAACATGAAATCAGATTGACCATATACTATTATAGTGTTGGTAGCTGCTTCATGTAGGTGCCTCTGAGCATACAGGAAGCTATAGGCCTCATAGTGAAATGAGGGACCATATTTGGCATCTGGGGAAAATTGAGGAATGAGGATACCCAGACAATATTTCTGGGTCTCCATCAAGACAGGTCCTGAGTGTGGCCTTGTGTGCCCATAGGGTGAAGACCGAGTAATGTACAACATAGTTTAATCTATACATACTGGATTTATCGCCCTAAGGGCATAAAGAAGTGTGTGGGCTAAAAAGAGGAATGTCTGGAAAACTCATTCAAGTACACTTTTCCATCTGGTTCTTTTATCGGGCTTCAAAATATTTGAGATCCACCAGATATCATATTTTTTATGTTGCACATATCAGTCCAAATTATTTTTTTTGCAGGAGTTCACTATGGACTGAAGTGGATTGGCTTGAATGTTCTACATAAGCTATGTTATTGTTAGAGGTTAAACAGACATATTAATACTCTCAAAGGGGGAAAATGAGTAAAGTAGGAAAAAGAATGTTATAAAATATGTTTATTTACCAACTCTATGTATAAAGTTTTATGAGAAATGTATTATGTGTAATTTGATGATTAATAAAGACCTTTATGATATCCAGCATCTTTTTCTTCGAACTCTTTGCTGAGTATGAAATTGAGGTTGCACACAGTCATCACAAATATGAACAGACTAAAACATTGTAATTATTTACTATGCTACCACCATTTGAGAATAACCTAATCATTATGTGAAACTACCAATTTTTGAAAAACTATGCAGAAACATCATTACAGAATAAAGCATGGAAACATTTTTGTATAAATGTTGAAGTTACTGGTTGGTAGACAAGATCATTTATCTTTGTCTTATTTTAAGGCAAGCCTCTACAGACAATTATCTTCAGATTAAATTCTCAAAAATGTCAATGAAACAAAAACATATTCTGGAACAAGCAGTTGATGACTTTTTCATGTTGGTTTGACATTAATGCAAAAATATGAATTTATAATATACACTGCTTTCCTTAAGAAAGCTCATTTATGTTATGATGTACTTTCTACATTTTTACTCAACTCTTTCCAAATTATAATATTTAATGATACTTTAAATCAGTTCATCAATAGAACCAACAAATTACATGCATTAAAGTTAAAAAAAATATGTTGTAACATTAAAAAAATTACGCTTTAAAACCAATAGGAGGAGGAGGAGTTGTCCTTTTCTTATTGTCCTCACATGCATCAGCTTTAGGGTCTTCCTTTTTTTTCTTCTTATCTTTCTTTACTTTACCATTTGCATCATGTTTTTTCTTAGATTTCTCATCTGAAGAACTGCCACTTGAACTACTGGAAGAGCTTGAAGAAGAACTGGATGATGAGCTTGATCTTTTCATTTTCTTCTTTAAATTCTTTTTCTTTTTGTGCTTATCATCATCACTACTTGAACTGCTTGGTGACATGTTTCGTTTGTTCTTTAATACCTTTGTCTTCTTAAGTTTCTTTTTGGGAACTTCTTCCTCTGAAGACGAGTCACTTGAACTGCTGCTGGTAGAACTGCTGGAACTGGAACTGCTAGAAGAACTTGATGAGCTGGAAGAAGCGTCCTGTTTTCGTTTCTTTGTCTTCTTTTTTGGTTCACTGTCTGAGCTGTCCTCCTCTGATATTTTTGGTTTCTTGGATTTCACATGCTCTAGGTCATTGTTTTGATGTTTATCCACCTTCACTTTGTCGATCTTCATTTATGTTTTTTTACCTAAAAACCTTAACGTGGGTAATTACATATGCATTTATGTGGAAGTGAATAATGCAATGCTAGAATTGAAAATAAAGTACTTGCGGTACCGATAATGGAAATGAAAAAAGTCGCGTGTGGAAATGAGCAATTAAGACGTCAGCGGCTTGTTATCAGTGAAAATCAGCGTAATTTAAAATTTAGTAAAATGTTTTTGGTAAAACTAACCTTCATGAAAAACAAAACAAGTTGACATTGACAAATGACATGTTTGACCACAGATGCTACGTTAGACGGAACACCACAAAACACATAAAACTGAAGAAGTGGGAGCTGCACGTTAAACAATGGCATATGGCACCGTTGACGTTTGAGATTTGGAGGAACTATCAAAAGAATGTGCCGGAAATTTCGTTTGTTGTTTGAGTGTTGCTTTATATTTTTTACGAAATATCTCCTAAAGCATCAACGTTGATAATCTAGATATTAACCAAAACAAACACCATATTTGATGTTTTTAAATTCAGATAAAGATAGAGAATCCCGCAATCCCGGCAAGCAGCACGTCACGTGATGCCGGTAATACAGTGATTCCGATTTTGCCTGGAGAGGATGACCTTGGTGTTATCAGTTCGCCCATAGGACGTTTCACCCCCTTGCGGAACACTAAACACTAGCTCTGGTTGAAAGGCATAATTGCCAGACTCTGATTGTGCTTGAATTGGCTCACTTGGAAGAAGGGCGTGGTTGCTTTAGTCACAGCCACCTGGTGATGTGGGATTTTGTATGATTGGTTGATGTTGGATCAATAATGGCGTACGAAAGTTGCGAATAAAGGAAGCACATAATCTCCTTGGAGTTTTGATTATATCTGTGATTTTATTGTTTCGTGGATTTTAAAATAGAGGTTAGGTTTTTTAATCAAAAATCATATTTCGTCGTTTCGCCGTAGGAGCATAGACTGTTTTTGGCTGTAGTTAAAAAATGGCTCAAGCCTGGCAGCCGAATGAAGAGTATCTAAACTCTCTCGTGTCAATGGGAATATCGCAGGAAATTGCGACGCAGGTAAAACCTTACCGCAGGTCCCTTTTACATTCCCAATGTTCAGCAGTTCAGCCCCTAATGGGTATTCCCTTGAATATGTTTTTACAGTGTGACAGCCCCAGAAAATGCTAATAGAAACATATATAATGCTTCCTATACCTATTTTGATTTGATACCATGTCTAAAATATTTTCTAGGCTCTATTTTGCACTGGCAACAGATCAGTTGATGAAGCTGTAAATTTTGTCTTCAATAATGAAGAGGAAGAAATTTCAAGTGAAACTGTAGACATGCACATAAACAACCTGGTATTGAATGATACAGCTGATGATGGAGAGTATGAAGATTATTGTAAAATGGTATTTGTGGTGAATTCCTCCCTAAAGATGGGGGTAGGAAAAATAGCTGCGCAAGTAAGCAACACAAAATGATAATTCGAGTCACTGTACAACTTTTGTCAAAAGCTACATTTAATTACAATCATTAATTGAAAAACCAGAGTGGAGACAAAGCTGCAAAGCTCATAAAAGAAATACATACAAGTTACAAGATTATACAGGGTGTTAATGTTATGATAGTCATTATTTAAATGGGTGATAGAGGGGGTTGAAAGAAGCAAAAAGTTTCATATAACAGGGGTCAAAACAGCATTTTTTTAGAGAAAAGCAACTTAAAATCTGACAATGCCAGATGCAAATTATGACAGAACACAGTGTAAATAAAGATGGGGTTTGTTATTTTTGGCTCTTAGGTATTATTTCATTATTTGATAATGTACTCTTAAAATGCAAACAATTAAAAAAAACAGACTTACCAGTAACTGACGCATCACTTCACCTGGTGTGTGAAAGTTTATTGAACTTAACAGGTGGGCTGAAAATTCCGTATCGTTTCAATGAAAAAATATTTTTTTCGTCAAAATTCGCTTTTATTATTCAACATAGTTGCCTTCAAGGGCTATACAGCGATTATAACGTTCTTCAAGTTTTTCGATACCCTTCCGGTAGTAATCCTTCGGCTTGTCCTCAAAATAGGCTTCAGTTTCGGCGATGATTTCTTCGTTGCTGTGAAATTTTTTTCCGGTGAGCATTCTCTTAAGGTCTGAGAAGAGGAAATAGTCGCTTGGAGCAAGGTCCGGAGAATACGGTGGATGGGGGAGCAAATCGAAGCCCAATTCATGCAATTTCGACATCGTTTTCATGGACTTGTGGCACGGCGCATTGTCCTGGTGAAACAAGATTTTTTTTTTCTTCATTTGTGGCCGTTTCTTGGCGATTTCGGCCTTCAAACGCTCCAGTAACACTATATAATAGTCGCTGTTGATAGTTTGGCCCTTTTGAAGATAGTCGATGAAAATAATTCCTTGCACGTCCCAGAAAACAGAGGCCATAACCTTGCCTGCTGACTGTTGCGTCTTTCCACGTTTCGGAGGTGGTTCGGATGCAGCCGTCCACTCGGCCGACTGGCGATTTGACTCCGGTGTGTAGTGGTGGAGCCATGTTTCATCCATGGTGACGTATCGGCGAAAAAAATCGGTTTTATTGCGCAAAATCACCTCCAAACAGGCCTCAGAGTCGTCGATGCGTTGTTGCTTTTGGTCAAATGTGAGATTGCGCGGCACCCATTTCGCACAGAGCTTTCGCATATCCAAATATTCATGAATGATGTGACTGACACGTTCTTTTGATATGTTTAAGGCCTCAGCTATGTCAATCAACCGTATTTTGCGGTCTCCCAAAATTATTTTGTGGATTTTTTTCACGTTTTCGTCCGTAACGACCTCTTTTGGGCGTCCACTGCGTGCGTCGTCTTCAGTTGACATGTGACCGGTACGAAATTTAGCAAACCACTTGCGAATGGTTGCTTCGCCCGGGGCAGAGTCCGGATAACACTCATCAAGCCATTTCTTGCATTCGACGGCACTTTTTTTCATCAAAAAATAATGTTTCATTAACACACGAAACTCTTGACTTTCCATGGTTTTCAAAAATAACAAAAGTAGCGTCACTCTCGATACGATAACTCAAAAACTAATGATCCGACAGCTGTCAAATTTTGACAGGCATCTTTTGAAGGTTGGTACTAGCTAAGAAGCGTATGGATTTTATTCTGGTGGCGCCATCTCATAGAAACGATACGGACTTTTCAGCCCACCTGTTATAAATAGGGAACACAATTTTGATACATACATTGTTTTTCTCTTGAAAACCCACTTTTTTTGTATTTAAAGAAGGTGTTCAAAATGTTGTACTCCACTTTCCACACAACCTTCATTACGACCTTCACGAATGGTATGAGGATTTTCTTGCGCCTACGTGTGAGTATTATGGAAATTTACATTTGTCCGTCGCTAGGATGTTTTTAAAAAAATCCGGATTTTCAATGTTTTTGTGCAAAAACCACTGACAGAATATTAATCTGCGAGGATAGTCTTCTGGTTACAAGGCCTGCACTCGTCGCATATGGTAGGGATAAAGGAAATTTTCCTGTAGGATTCTATGGACTATGGTATGCGATTGACCTATGCAGTGGCCTCATTCCTGAGTGCTGATATCTGCATTGATTTTTACGATATTTAGAATTTGTTCCTCCTGCAATAACTAACCACTGTTACCATTTGCGATCGATTGCCGGTTCGATAAGAGTGATGAAAGACCGACGCGCTGTTGACATATGTGTTTTAAATATTTAATTTAATGAAACTTACTTACTTACTGACTACAAATTTTGGCTTAACTTGAAAAAACTTAATGCCATTTATTTGTTAATTACCCAATTTAAAAACGTTTTAGATTAGATTATAAAAATTAGTAAGATTGTGGTCGATATAAAGCAGTTGTAAACTATAAAGCCATTTAGACAAAAATCTATTGACTTCTGGACCATGGGTCATATGAACTTTTTGACTTGTTTTGACCCCCCTATTACCCATTACAATAATGACCACCATATCGTTTACACCCTGTATAAAAACTACATACATGAATTTGAATGTCATACCAACTGCCCAAACCATTTTTGAAAGCATTCACTGATTAGAGTTCACTATATTTGAATGTAGTCCATTCCATGAATCAAACACTTTGTTCACGAGAACAAAAAATTCTCTTGCATCACTCTTTCTTTATTTTAAAGTTGTGTTGTGTGTGAGTATCCTGAAAGTGATTATCAGATCTCCTATATGGCATCTCTCCATGAAAGTAGTCATCTTGAATAATTTTAGCCTATCTTGTCTGAGCCTAAACAGTATTGGGATGGCATGACATTGGACATTTGCAAAATCACAATCTTGAGCTACACCTGGGTACCAAACTGGGCTTACACATTTTACTATCAGTCTTTGTATAAAAACATGTGGCAATATTGAAATCTTTTCCAATGAGGTATACAAGTCTTTTGGCCTCCAATGTGGTTCTTTGTATATGCTCAGACAATGACAACAAGGAAAAAGTAACTAGATTACATTTTGATTGTTTTTCCCAATATATATGTGTTATGCAGCTAAACTTGAAGGAAGCAGCCACTTGAAAACAGCATTCAAATTACTCTGATTATTGGATGCAGAGTTGTATGCTCATCTGCATAAGATGAAACTATTTTTTGCAATCTAGATGGTAGATAATTTGCCCCACTAGAATCAAAATTGCCCCTTCAGCTCTTAAGAGGGCAATCAACACTATGGTCCTTACTCTATCTCTCGTTGTTTATTGTATGTATTCAAGATAGTACATCAATGATTACTGACATCATACCTATATGCTCAATAAATATGACATTTGATGGTACGTACTGATGGATCACAGTGAATAAAGGCTTATTTGGGTTGTAAAAGGAAATATCACTAAACCATTCTGATTCAGAGCAATTGGTTTTTGTGATTTTAAGTTACATTGTGATTGGCCACTGGTAGTTCAGTATAGTTCTGGAATCATTCCCTGAAAAATCTTGACCAAAGCCAATTATTCAAACAAACATATTTTGGGGGATTCACCATATTCATACTTGATAATTGTCTTTTTAGGTAGGTCATGCATGCCTTGGTTTGTACAGGAATATGTTACCACAATATAAAGAACTTCTCAGCAAGTGGGAGTATACTGGGTAATAAAATAGTTATTTTTTGAAATTAATTTTTTTGTTGACAATAGTATGTTATAGAGAAAAGAAGATTGTACTGAAGGGTGATGACGAGAATCATTTACAGCAACTTCATCAGATGGCAAAGGAGCACAATGTACCAAACTATTTGGTCCATGATGCTGGTATGATTATTATATTTTTATATCCTGAAATTAGCTATAGCAGCGTAGTTATTACATGATTCAGGGTAGATTTCATCAAGTAACGCTTGATTTTAGTTTATACACGGTGACGGGAAAATAGATGCGGAGCCGGTGGGGGGGAGATAGTACAAGCCAATCTGAGACGATTTTACTATAGGAACTACTGTCCGAAAATTAGCCGTTTTCGAATTATACTAATTTTTAAGATTTTATAAAATTAACGTCCTTTATACGTTAACCAAGTAATAGAACTTGAAAATTGGGTGTTTCATTTGATTTTTTTTTTGTTTTACAATAAAAATATTCTAAAATACGAAAATTGGTAATCAAATGTACATTATTGACGTTATCTCATGCAGTAAGCTTCAAAATAGTTCGATTTGTGTTAAAAAAATCTTCGTTCATCACAAAAGCTTCAGTTTACTAGAAAAAGTCGCATACAAATTTTTCATACAAAATAATTAGAAAACATCTACGTTTCATTACCTGTCAAATGAGGTATAAAAATCACAAATCGTTTAAGAATTGGCAAAAATATGACTATTATAAGAGGAGGAAGGAAAAAGCAATAAAAATACTACACTTACAAAATCATACCTTAATATAGGATAATTTGTTTGAAACTATATACATTTTTTTATTTTTATAATACATTTGCAATATTGCGCCCTCTATTTCTAATGCACACACGTGCTCTCCTTATGACAGCTGATTTTACTACCGCCGAATTCCTAAGAAAGGTTTGAATTTCTTGTGCTGCATGTATTATCCTGTTTCTGAGGTCTTCTATTGTGGGTACAGGATGTTGATCAGAGTATACTAAAGTTTTCATACGACCACACACAAAAAAGTCCATAGGTGTGAGATCGGGACTGCGTGCTGGCCATGGGATTGGTCCACCTCTACCGATCCATCGATTCGGAAACTGCTCATTTAACCAATTTCTAACACTTAGTCTGAAATGTGTTGGGCACCTGTCATGCTGAAAAATCATTCTGTGTCTTGTGTGTAGCGGCACGTCTTCAAGTAATTCAAATAGAACATTTCTTAAGAAATTTTCGTAGGCTTCTCCATTTTGGGGTAGGAAATGTGGTCCTACCAAACAGTTATTTATAATGCCCATCCAGACATTCAGACAAAATCGCCTTTGAGATTCTTTTGGTCTTTTCATATGAGGATTTCCCACTGCACGTTCACGCCAATAGTGAGCATTATGGTAGTTTGTTATACCGTCTTTATCAAATTTTGATTCGTCGGTCCATAGAATTTTTCTTTTTTTCTTTCAGCGTTTAAAATAAAACGGCAAATTGCATGCGCCTCATGGGATCTCCTTCCTCTATGACGTGCCCAGGTGTGTAGTGGTAAGGGTGAAATATGTTTTCATGCAAAACATATCACACTTGCCATTGGGATAATCCAAGCCGTCGAGCCACAGCGCGAGTAGAAAGAGTAGGGTCTCTTTGGAAAATATTTAATATTTCTTCTTCCACATTATCTCGAGGTCTACCTGCATCACCTGAAATAAAATCAAAAAACAAATAAGTTTTTTGGAGGAAATTGTTACCTAATAAACATACCGGTAAGACTATGAGCTAGAGTTGGCAAAATATTATTTAGAAAAAACGATACACAACGTGTGGATGTTTCCATCTTCAGAGCCGTGTAGATGCTCGTGTTAAAATTAAATGAATAAACTCTTAATTAAGAAGTTCAATCAACTGTATCAAAACAACTATGTTACAGTATCATCAGTTCAGCCCACATACCTCCAAGGCTCTACACCCCTTACTGAATGACTGATTATGATAAGTTAATAATTATAATTATATATATATACAGGGTGACTTTGAAGTTGAGTCATTAATTTTCAGATAATGATTGTAGAAGGAAGATAAACCAAAATATGTGTGTAAAAATAAAAAAAAAATAAAAAAAAATGTTACCTTGTTTAATAAAGTATCCTCCCGACAAGTATTTCATTGCGGACCTGTATTTGATCGTGCGGTCTTGGAGCAGCATGCCCTCACCTGTGAGGTCTTAAGTCACCTGATTCACGAGCCCTTTGTACTACATTAACAAAGGCACGAGGGGTTGGTTGCACTCGATTGGGAAACCGATTCGCATAAATCCGTGATGCATCCGGGAGCATTTTGTAAAGACTGCCCCCCCGTAAATAAGAATCATGTCCACAAGTTCAGCATTTTCGTAAACATGTGCCATTTTTGATTTTGTTTGAACCACGCAACACACTACTATTCACTTACGCGTTATCGACTGACGAAAAACATCGTGATAAACGTTTCAAATTCTTTCGCTTTGTTGTTTCCGATGCGATGAACCGGTCAGGCGGATTATATCCGTTGTCGTCAAACACGAGCATATAATAGGCAGGGCGGTACTCAAACTTCCAAAGGGCTATAACTTTGTTACTTTAATTTTACCAGAAAAATGGTAAAGGAAAAAAACATTTCTTTTGATCAGATCTACTCACTGTTAAAATAAATGACTCAACTTCGAAGTCACCCTGTATATATATATTATTATTATTGCATCATTGATAATTATCAATGATGCAAACTTGATATCTTACGACGGTACCGTGCTCTCGAACCCGACGGAACGTTTACCTAAATACGCGGGCGTCAGATAGTCGACGATTAGGAAACATTTTCCCATACTCACGACGAGCTTCTTCAGCATTGTCTCTGGCATCTCCAAAGTAGAAAAGGATATCGGCATATTCTTCGAAACTGAACGGCCGCTCCTTTGTTCATCAGCCATTGTTCATCGATAGGTAGATCAACGAACAATCAAGTCACACAGCAGCCAAGTCGTAAGGAATCACAGAAAACAGGGTACAGTCTAGGTAGTCAGTAAAAAATCACACACGGTAGTCCAACAAGAGCCCAGTCGTTAGGAATATCAAAACAGCGAGCAAACAAACACATCCGAACGCAACAAATGGCAAGAGCAGATTGAAGCGAGGGAGGGAGGGGGGTGACTAGTCTTACTTATCACACTATTCAGGTGGCAAACTCCGATGTTCGCGGCTCTACCTTCTTTCACTCATATCTTTGTCATTTCTAAACCGGTTTGTGACTTTGATACCTCATTTGAAAGGTAATGAAACGTAAATATTTTAAAATTGTTTTGCACGAAACATTTGTAGGTGATTGTTTCTAGTAGGTAAATTGAGTTTTTGAGATGAACGAAGATTTTTTTAACAAAAATTGAACTATTTTGGAGTTTACTGCATGAGATAACATCAATAATGTACATTTGAGTATCAATTTTCGTATTTTAGAATATTTTTATTGTAAAACCAAAAGAAAAATCAAATGAAACACCCAATTTTCAAGTTTTATGACTTGGTTAACGTATAAAGGACGTTAATTTTATGAAATCTTAAAAATTAGTATAATTTGAAAACGGCTAATTTTTGCACAGTGGTTCCTATAGTAAAATCGATTCAAATTGGCTTGTACTCCCCCCACCGGCTCCGCATCTATTTTTCCGTCACCCTGTATAATTCCTATTAATTTATAATTTTTGATTTCCATCTATAATTTTGCCAGGGATATGTTAAGCAATGTGTGTATGTTGAAGTTTAAAAATAAACAACAATTTTTTTAATATCTTTAAAACCGGTGACTGGAATGAACTGAAACTTGGTATGTGGATTTACCTAACTATTGTCCACATTCAAAATTCTTTACTTAACACTTTCAATGCCAATACATTGTTGACAAACTTCATGGACAGACGGTGCATTTGTTTAGAAATAATACATTTGAAATGTTGCTAGTATGTTTTATATATAATTAAAATACAATAAACATCTCCTCTCAGGTATTTTTTTTTCTGTGACTCAACTTTGGTCCCGAGCGCGCATGACGCACTTTTGTCTCATAAAATATTTTATTGATATATTGCATAACGCACCAGGGCGTTGTGCGCGCGGCTTGAATACCAAGGCCAACGCACCAGTGTGTCACGCGCACTAACTGTGTTAAACGTAACGTGCACCAGTGGCGGAGATATAAGGGATTAGTGGCATTATTTTTTCAAAAAAAAAAAAATAGTACGCCACTGTTTTTTTTTCGAAACGCACAATTTTCTTTAATGTGATACAAATAATTACTCGTTTTTTCCTAGTGCTTTGTACATACCGAGTTGTAGTTCGTTCCAGTTGACGGTTTTGAAGATATTTATAAAAATTGTTTTTTATTTTGAACCTTCAACACCCCGAATCTTTTTAATGAAGTCCTCGATCAAAAAATGTTACCTAGAAGACCCTTAAAATGCGGTGCTGTGTATGATGTTCCATTTTTGGTCACGACTTGTGAATCACCCCGTATGTCATGTCATTAGCGAAATCTGATTTATCAGTAAATTATTGCTGACCCCAGTTCACAAGCTTGATCTCAGTTCATGACTTTGGTGAAATCAGATTGTCTTAGAAATGTTTCTTATACCCTTGGGAAATTGTTACTTAGTGGGTGTGAAGTGCTCAACAAAAATGATGTATTCTTACTTCATAACAAATTCTTCTAGGTCATACACAAGTAGCTCCAAATTCAGTGACAGTACTGAGCTTGTTTGGGTTAGAAGAGGACATTAACAAAATAACTGGAAAACTGAGCTTACTATAATTAACCTTATGAACATGGAGGTTTGAACTACAGTAGAGAATAAATAGCAGCTTGTTTTTATTTTTGTACAAATTTTTATTTATTGATGTATTATATTCACCTATTGTACTATTTTTTATTTAAAGATTGTAACAATACTCTTAGGTCACACAAATTTACGAGTAAAACACTATTGATGCTACCATACTAATTTATTTGTATAAAATTATTACTAATTCATACATCCACAATATTATTGATAATACATATAATAGTAAAATAAAGATTTAATTTAAAGTAATCCCTGTCTTTTAAGATCCTCATAAGTTTTTCTGTTGACAACATTTCCTTGAGAATCCTCATATTCTTCTTCAGTTTCTGGCTGCCATCTTTCACTCTGTTTTTGCACCTTCAGTTTTTCCCATACTGGAACAAAACAAGGATATACATACAGGGTTCATTTGAAAACTTCCCACCACGGATATATCGAAAACCACCTATTAAAAGAAAAAACGCCGAGACACGTCAAAAGATTTGTCAACTGGTTTAACCAAAAACTACTTCACCCCAACGTCATCCCCTTAAAAATTTTAAATGACAAGGGGTATCGACTAATAGCTTGTTTGAAAGGTCTTTCAAAGTCCTTTATTTTGACGTTTCGAGAAAGTTAGAAAAATCTTTACAGCAGACGCTCGATAACGTAAACACGGGATAATGAAAACTTGCGCTAATGTAAACACAAACTTCGTTCTATAGGATCAAACGGAACGCGCGATAACGTAAACAATGTGTACGCTCGATAACGTAAACAACTCTCGGCGCGACGGTAAAATGCTGCGATAAAATACGACCAACACGGTCAGTCGTATGATCGTTTAGGATACGTTTATACGTACGTATGTATTTCATTTTTGAACTTAAGTGAATACATTGCACGCGTTAATATATTTTACGACTATGGCATCCACATCCTATAAAAGAAAGTGTTTAAAGTTGAGTGAGAAAGTGAAAATCATAGACGAAGTTGCACTAGGTGCGGGAGTGACACAGTATGGAGTATCGAAAGCAACAATCTGTAAAATTAAGCGTATGAAAACTCAAATTTTACAAAGAACGTGCAATACATTTGAAGGTCCGGGAAAAAGAAAAAGTTTAAAAAATGCGAAGGCACCTAAAATGGAAAATTCCCTGTATAAGTGGTTTTTAAAACAACGGGAAAACTATGTCCCAGTTAGTGGCGAAGTACAGAGAGCGAGACTGTTAAATGAAAAGCTGAAAGAAACTGAAAATTTCGTAGCTAGTGATGGCTGGCTACAACGATTCAAAACAAGATATGGAATTCGACTGCTGTCTATATCTGGTGAAAAATTATCAGCACAACCACAATTAGTGCAACCATTCAAAGCAAAATTGATGAAAACAATTACCGAGCTAGATTTAAGAATGGAACAAATTTACAACGCAGATGAAAGTGGCCTTTATTGGAAAATGTTACCAGAGAAAACCTATGCTGCATCATTTGAAAAATCTGCCCCGGGAAGAAAGCCGGAGGAACAACGAATTACGTTTCTAGCCTGCACTAATGCTAATGGTTCACACAAAATAAAGGCACTAGGATGAACTGTTTTGTTTTTAAACGTCAAATATAGAGAATCATCTATCAAATCATTTAGAAAATTGAACAATGAGTACCAGTTATTCCACTAGAAGTAGAGACTTTTATTTAAAAAATTGTAGTAGGAGTCTGTATTTCAAAAAGGATTATACGAATTTAATAAATTAAACGATATCAAGATGTATGCCAGTTTGAGACTGTTCAAAGAGAAATTGAAAATAATATTTTTGGATAACCAGAATTCATAGTAGTGAAATTTTATATAAAAATATATAGACTTGAAGACATAAAATATTGTAGTGAGCATTAATGCTAAATAAATCTACAACAAACAATTACTCACATGCCAGTGCATCTTCAATCTGTGTTACATTGGCGAAATGTGCAGTGTTTGGAATCCCAAGACACCTCATTCCATGCGCGTGCCTCCACTCGGCAAAATGACGCTGAAACGCTTTGGGGCCCTTGTACACGTAGTTGCCGCATATCTCGCAGTTGTAACTGATGTTCAGACCATGCAGTTTGTATAACCAGTATGGAATTGGCTGAAAAAAAGGGTCAAGTAGTTAATACTATCATGGATTAACGTATTCTACCTGAAGCACCGTTTAGTCTAATTAGCAAATTTCCCGGAAATAATTGTAAAGTCTGGTTTTATTGGTGCAAGTTGTTCAAGAGGGTATTTAAAACATGGACGCATAAAATGGGTACACCAATCTTTGTGGGATCCTTTTTATTTGCCATCAAAGAATGAGAGAACGAGTTTTCTCGGATTCAATCGAAAGTGTTGACAGGAACGAAAAAAATTTTAAATTTCATTTTTAGGTATAACAAAATGTAGGTTCTGGCACTTGTTGATAATGTGACGATAATTTCACACAACTACATATTTGAAATTCTTCAAATCCGTAGAATCCATACTTCTGAATAAAAACAACAAAATTGTATATTGGTCAAGTAGTTTTTTGAAAATTCATAATTATACCAAAACACCTGTTTTTCCGGCCATCACTACAAGTTTATTGAGCAATATATAGGGTTCGTTTAACGAGCATTTAATAGCAAAACACACGTGTTTACCTTGCCGATATGAATCACAAACCATTCCGAAAGATAAATGTTATTTTTATGCGAAACACAAAGATTACGTTTTTTCTTCTAAACAAATTCAAACATGTATTTTTCAGTAATTGAACAAATGTGCTACGATATTCGAAGAACATTCGTTATTATACAGATTTCAAAACAAAGCGGATGTGTCTATCATCTCTTGTTGCGAAATACTCCCAAATACGAAATGTTTGAATTTGTTCAGAAGAAAAAGCGTAACCCATCTTTTTTTGCATAAAAATAACATTTATCTTCCGAAATGGTTTGCGATTCATATCGGCAAGGTAAACTAGTGTATTTTGCTATAATACTAGTAGTGATGGCCGGAAAACAGGTGTTTTTGGATAAACAATTAGAAAATCTCCAAAAGTACTTGACCAATCTACTCCAGTTTTGTTGTGGTTATTTAGAAGTACGAATAATCCTACGAACTTGAAGAATTTCAAATATCTGCGAGAAACCATCGTCGCATTTTACTAACAAGTGCAAAAACTTGCAGTTTGCCTCGGTTTTCGGCCATAACTTTTTTGCTACAAGTCGGATCTTTTTACATGTGGTCTCATTTTGTAGGTTTCATAAATACCTAAAAATGAATGAAGAGTTTTTTCGTTCCTGTCAACACATTCGATTGAATCCAAAAAACACGTTTTCTCATTATTTGTTGTCGAATAAAAAGTTTTCCCACAATAAATGGTGTACCCATTTTATGCGTCCATCTTTTGAATACCCCTTGAACAACTTGCAGCAGTAAAACCAGACTTCTAGAATTATTTCGCAAACCAGTGGTAGTTTCCTCTATGAGTCAGTAGCGGAAGACAAAAATTAATTCAGAAGAGTGAATAGATGGCGCTAATATACTTCAGGACCCTCTTTGGTTACTGGAATACAGCATATGGATGGCTACCTTCAAGTAGAATTTGTTAATCAATGATGCTATGTAAGTACTGTTTCATAATGCATTTTCCACAGATTCTGAATAGAGCAGCTTAAAGACTGATTTTTCAGTTATCTTATCCAGGGTTAGATTCTGAAACATAGTCACAAGAAGATTGCCGCTGACAGTTGAAGAAGAACATAAAAAATCAAATTGGAAATTGCAACCTGGATAGCTTTGAGCAGTTGAACCTTTTAAGATCTATATGATAGCAAAAAAATGAAGAAGTATTGGACTCAAGTCTAGTTTTAGTCTACTCACCTTTCCATCCCATCCTAGAGGCAGATTCTTTGGATTGTATGGAACGTCATCATCATTTTCATCAGGACTGTCATCGTCACTTTCTTCATTTTCGCTGTCGTCTCGCTCTCCGTCTGTACGAGCTTGTTTGCGTTGCACGTTTTCCTTTGTAGCAGCGCGTTGGGTAGCTACCAAATCTGCTAATCTACAATGACAAATCCAAATAATCAAATTGAAATACAATTTATAGAAAGCCTTCCTGCCTCTGGGACTCGAACTCACTACTATCAACTCTCTACCAACATATCTACTAGTTACGTTATGATACGTGTAAGAGAAATTTTGCAGAAGTATGAATAAGACAATTCACTCATTGCCAAGACAGAAAAGGCAAGTTACGGAATTTGCATAAGCTAACATCCGTTTGGGCAATAAGACGTCTAAAATTAGCTTTGATTTTCTATTTCACTCAATTTATCGAAAATTATTTCTGTAAAAAGCAAAATCACCTGTAAATTTGTGCTTCCAATGTGGCCAATTCCCTTTGACGTAGTTGTTCCTTTTCTTTGCTGGCTTTCCTTTTGTTGCCCTTGGTCATCAAGGAAGGGTCCAGAGATCCTTTTCCTTTTGTAGAAAATAGTCTTTGTGCTCTCTCTTCAAGAGTACTGAAATTAGTCACAGACAAATTATTACAAACGCAGAGGAGTGGTTTACAGCAAACAAGCCACTGACGCATAAAGAAAAAACAGTGGAAATAACTTTTTACCACCTGCGGAAAGAAGCACCTTTCCGAACGCTGTTAGAAAAAAATCTTATACCTAACACTTGCTGAAAGTGTATTTTCCGCACGCGACAGCGGTTGCACGAACGACGGGAAGCAGAGAATCTTCTGTATGTTAAACTCGATTTATCAGAGTAACGAAACACATCAGTAAATTCATCCATATGATACCAGAAATAAGGGCACGCTTAATTCTGGGTTTTTTCCCCATGAAAGGTTAAAACATCTTATTAAAGACTTATTTACACAGGGTGTTTCAGAACTATGGGATCAAACTTGTAAAATTTAGAAAGACGATGAATTGCTTAAATAGGATTTAATACATTTAATTTTTGCCTGTTGTACATGATATCATCCCAACAATTGTTCAAAATGTGTTCCTCCAACCTGAATAGGGCGGACATTTTTCTGATATTATTTTTCATACATAATTTCTAAATTTCAATAATTTTTTTTTATACTCCAACTACCACGAAGGCCTAAGGCCTAAACACCCATTGGGCACCGTGGGGCTATAGGGGGACGCCACACGGACTCTGGCGAGGGAACACGTGTGCTTGCAACATGCACACATTCTGGCTCCGCCTACGAGATCCGCCGGGTGGTACCTCCACGTTCGACAGTCAGAGACCGTCTACCACCTACGGACAATCACAACATCCATAGCCAAGAGAAAAATTTCTCCTGGGACGGGACTCGAACCCGCACAGCGCACGGCGACTGATCAGGAGACCGAAGTCTACTACTGCGGCCACCGCTGCTGCCTAAATTAAGATACAAAAAATTGACGTATTTTATTTCATTTCACAAATATTCAAGGTACAAACCAGTCAGTTACATATCGGCCACCCTGTAAAAAATCCACTATAGTTTGTGAATGAATATTTTAAGACAACCATTTTAATTTGATTTTGAAAGTTTAACAATTTCACTGCTAGCTTTCATGATGCATAGTAACCCAGATGCAGCAATGTTTTTTTTTCGAAAATTTCATTTTTTTAGGCTTTATAATAAGTTATAAACTGAAGCCTATATATAACGTGTGTGTCATTATATTTTTTCTGTTGGAAAGACAATTTTATTAAAACTCAGTAAAAACACATTTTATTATAAAGCCAAATTTATAAAATGGTCGGATGTCACGCAAACGTGTCATCAGCGACTGGCAAAAAAACTTGATGTCATCAGTGAAAGTGTTAAGCTGGGTTTATTGATATTTACATTGACATTAAAATGGAAGTTCCGAATTCATGTTTGATTAATTCTACTTCATATACAGTAATGGACAAAAGTATATAGACAAATATGAATATTAACCTAAATACCTTAAGAAAACGAATTAGTACTTCATTGCTCCATAAACAAATGCGTTATTAGTAGAAAAACTAGATTCCTTGTTTTTACATTACCTGCAATGAACACAATACAAGTATAAATATAAGCACTTTTTTATGAGGGACAAAAATATGTAGACATTAGTTTAGTACAGTTTCGTGTCAGATGAGGATTACTTTGTGTTCATCAAGTATTGTGGAATAAGTTGAGTGATTTTAAGACCATGCCGCGTGGTCCAGAAATTTCTTTCGATGTGTAAACTAAGTTATACAAAGTTGGTCAACGTCAAGTTGACATTGCCAAAAATTTGAAGCTGAAGCGTAAAGCAGTTTGGGCAAAATTGAACAGATATAAACAAAAAGGTATCTTGGAAGTATCTAAGAGAAGTGGTCGGCCTAGAAAACCAAATGCTAGATCAGATTAATAAAAGTAATTTCGTCCAAAGATCCGTTTAAAACCCCAAGACAAATAAAAGCCGAAATTGAGACAACAGGAATTGTCAGTGTTTCAACGAAAACTATAAGTAGAAGATTAAATGATTTGAAGTTATTTGCACGTCGCCCGAGTAAGAAGCCGCTAATCTCGAGGAAAAACCGTAAGGACCGATTACAATTTGCACGGTTGCATCTTGATTGGAGCATCTGTGACTGGAAGAGGGTATGTTTCAGTGACGAATCCAAGCTCAATATATTTGGATCAGATGGTGTTCATTACGTTAAACCTCCTAGTGGACAAAGATTGAACCCCAAGTACACTTTGCCCAATGTCAAACATGGAGGCGGGTCTGTTATGGTTTGGGGGTGCTTTTCGGGGTTTGGGATGGGACCTTTACATAGAATAGATGGCATTATGGATAAGTTTGTATACATAGACATACTAAAGCGTGTCAGGTTACCCTATATGGAAGACAATATGCCCTTAAGATCAATCTTCCAGCAAGACAATGACCCGAAGCGCACTTCAAATCTCGCAAAGATATTCTTTCTTGATGAAAAAATACCAGTTCTCAAATGGCCTTCACAGTCTCCGGATATAAACCCCATTGAAAATTTATGGGAATACTTAGATAAGAAAATACGAGATAAAAATTATTCAAACAAGGATGAACTTTTTGCCACTTTAGAGCAAAAGTGGAGACAGATTGATGAATCTTATATCAAGAAACTTTACAATCTATGCCGAGATGATGCCAGGCGGCGATTGATAAGAATTGTTATGCTACAAAATATTAACACAAACATGGTTGGTTTTCCACAATTCAATGAACTTTGCTTCTTTTTTCTATAATTGTTTTGCTTTGTCTATATATTTTTGTACTTCATAGTTCCTGTTTTTTTCAATTAATTTTTTATTGAATTTATTTATGTATAAGTGAGTATTATGCTATAACGAATTATTTATACAGGTTGGTGTATTAATAAAACAAAATAAAAAAGAAATACAGCACAATATTAACCTTGTCTGTATACTTTTGTCCATTACTGTATATCATTGACGTTTACTTAAGACAGACAAAAGTAAGGAGTTTTTGAAAATGATGAATCTTAATCTAAATTGTAATAGTAGCATAACTAGTGAATCTATATTTCAAAAGAGAGTATTTGAACTTAATAAATTGAATAATGATATTAAACAGAGTTAAAATTTAAAAATGTTTGAAGTGAAATTAAAAAATTACTATGAATAATCAAAATACATAGTGACATAATTTTAATTGAAAAGAATGTAAAATTGACATTGTAGCATTAATGCTAAATAACAACAACAAAAATATTTACCCTCCACATTTTAACCCCAGTGCCATTAGAGCAGACTTTAATCGATCCAAACCTAAAGAAGCTAGTTCTTCCCAGCTAGAGAAAGCAGACAAGTCCAAATGGGCTCCTACATTGGCCAAAGCAGAACCAGTTTCTTTCTATAAAGAAAAAAAATATTTGTTTAGTCTATACAATATGTTAGCAATTTAATAACTTACGGGCCATCCTGGGACTGTTCCACTATCCCAATTAGCTAGAACCTGATCAACAACTTCTTGAAGGTCACTATCTAGATCCATCAGAGGCTTGATCCTTTGAACAAACCATGAGAGATATTCAATAAGAACTAGCAGGTATTTACGGTACTCCCCTGTCTTCCTTTCTTTTGGTATGTCATACAGTTGGTCAAACATACCCAAGTATGTGATGTAGTCAACTTTCTGAAAAATAATATCAAAAGTTAAATAACTTAAACTAACTAAATTAAAAACACCAGAAAACACTTGCAAGAAACAAAGTGTAAAATATAATTGAAATTATTTACCTCTATTCCTTTCAAGTTTATATATTTTTCATAGCATTCATGTAGATCCAGGTATTTCCCATAACCTTCCTCATCAGTAAACTCTACAAAATCTGCAAAAAATATGTTAAAGAGTTAAATGAGATGGCTGGTACATATTACACAATAAAATAATTTTATTTTCATAAAGAAGTATTACACTCACTTGACAATTCATCATTGGGATTTTCTCTTGCTTTAGCAAATTCATCAAACTCCACTGACATGGGTACACTGATCTAGAATATGGAAATAATTTATAAAAACTATAAGCATTTGGTTGTGAAAACTTACTTCATTAGGATGCCTCCTATAAAAATCCTTGATAATCCTCAATCTATTATAGAATTCTTGAAATTCATTGGGACCTGTTAGAGCAGCTACCTCTGCCTTCCTTTGGCCATCTTTATCATCATAAAGGTCAATAAGGCGGTCTGAGGCAGTCAGGTATCTATCCAGGAGGAATTTCTGGCGGTGGTCTGAGTTTATTGTTTCCCTGTACTGAAATTACAGAAAAAAACATCAAATTTTGTTTGTGCGTGAATAGTACATTTTCTCAAGACCAAGCCTATTTTAGCTGCCACTCCTCTAGCTCAACATAGCGAGCCTTCTCTTCACCAGCGGCAAAGTAAGGCTCAAATGTCAGTCTACTCTTTAGCCATACACCCCCAGCCTCATCTACATATTTTCAACATCTTTGTTAGATGAAAAGTGGAATAAGATGTGTATAGAGCTAAACTATTCTAGTACAAGGACTGCCGAATAAAAACTTACAGTATTTTTCTTGTGAAGCATTTCTTTAACCATTGCGTCTACCAGACGTTCCCGTTCTTCGTGATATCGACGTTGCTGCTCCAAGATGGTCTCCATTTTCTGTCAACTGATTGTTGGCAATGGTGAAGCAAAAGAATTATTTACCCTTTAAATTTACACAATTTAACAAATATTTGTGGAAATATGTGCTTATAAACATAGATGCTTTTTTCTGAGGTTATGTTTTGATTGAGAAGTGACATTTGACACCACAGAACCACAAAACATTTGTGAACTAGAAGCTACCGGTTACTTTACATAGAACTGGACTCATAGTCTCTCAGAATGAAAAACAGAAATTCTGCTGAAGTGGATCGGGTTTCGAAGAAACGATTGGCTCATAATTAGCTCCAGTTAGAAAATGTAATTATTGCATCCTCAAAGCTGAATTGAAGACTTGAATGCTCCTGTCCTCATGTAGAGGGTCAATTGAAAAAACCTCTCTGAAATAGTTTCTTTATTACTGAGTTAATGCTCATACAATATATTCATGCAATTTAGGTTTCCAAAAGCCTTCAATGGTTGTAACTTCCATAGCGGTACCCATACTGTCCGTGATGTCCGTATTGTTGCTCATGGTTTTGGTGCTGTGGCTGATGGTGCTGGTACTGTCTGTGTTGGTACTGTCCATGTTTAGGGTAATGGTGCTGGTACTGTCGGTGGTACTCATGATCTGGTTCGGCATCAGCGTTTGGGGAAGGAGCTGCATCTAACTCTTGAAAATAAGCGGCCAGGGTTGCCAGGACGAGGGCCAAATAGATGAAAACTTTCATAGTGTCGATAGAGAGAAAACCTGAACAAAAAAAAACAAAACACACCAAAAGACAAGATCTTTGAAAAATCTAATCGTATTCTATGTATACATTATATATTACAGACAAGAAAGTTCGCGAAGTACCTGGAGGGAAAAAAGCACCAATGGCATTGACGAAGTTTCTCTCGCTAAAAGACCTGTCATCGCTTATATTTTATCGCATCGCAAATAATTTGAAAAAATGTTTCTGTTTGATCTCAGCTCAAGCACTTCAGGCTACTTTCGGTGCAAGTTAAATGTACGGACGATCGGAGATCCAATCTATTTGGCGATAGGGTTCAAAAAATTTAGTTTCAACTGCGTAATAGAGCCCAAATAATATAATTTTGAATTTTACATTGTCTACACAAATTTGGATGATGATAACGATCTGATGTTCACTTGAAGACAAGATAACTAGTTCAGTTGGATAAGGATAAGAAGTATCAGAAACACTTACCAGTGAACTGCTTCAGAACAACTGCACACGTGTGTATGCTTTTCAAGTGTAAGATGTTCAATTTATATAAAAATGGACTGGCGGTTTGCATACAATTTAATATTTATCATATGGAATCAATGGGAATACTATTAAGATTGCAATTCAATGCATTTCATCTCTTGCAAGACTCGGTGCTAGGTCAATACGGTAACTTTGAAAATTAGCGAAATAATTAACTCAATGTTGTTTCCTCTTTATTTAATAAATTGCATGCATTGTACACATGGCATTAAGAATCTAATTGCAATATGTAGTGATATCTATGTAAAATAATTTACATATAACGCTGTTTAAATGGGTTCGTGGCCATTACTTGGTCACGCAAAAAATGCAGAAGTACAACATTATCGTAAAAAGTTGCATAATACAGGCCGATCATGAAATTGTAATTTAGTTATTACTTTATCGCTGAAAGGCTCCACGATAGAAAATCATCTGAACATTAAATACTTCTCACATACCTGTTAAACGGTGTAAAGTTATATGGATAGATAATAGAGGCTCTCAATGCATATCGGATTAAAACGCCCATACGTGTTATCCGAAATTCAATAATCTATAACAGGGCTGTCCAACATAGCGACCGAGGGCCGCATGCGGCCCGCGAACTCCTTTCTTGCGGCCCGCTTCACGGGTCATGTATACATCACATGTATAAATTACTCTCAAATACCGAATATGCACAATTCTTACAAACTCAGTGATAATGTTGTATTGAAAGATTTTACAATGCGGCCCTCCAAACTGCATTTTTTTTTGAAGTGGCCCTTGGGCCACATTAGGTTGGACAGCCCTGATCTATAACATACATTGTCTATGGCCGTAATTTTTTTGGAAGCATGGGAATATGGTTGAACCTCAAATTCTGTATACATACTAACATGATTTGGTGTACAATTTTGAGGATTTTTAAATTTGTCTTAACTGGTAAAATTTGCTACCCTCCTATTCAAAAAGCTTTTGGGGCAGGTACATTTCCCCAAAAGTTATGTTTTGCTGATCATCGGCTCCTCTGGAAGTAGTCCAATAGTGAGTCTAAATTTGCCTACTATGTTGTTTTGAGAACAAACTTTATAAATGTACGAATAAATATTAATACTTCAACTTTTGCTGGGCAGTTCTGTTATCTCATCAACTTTTGAGGTCTGTCAACAAAAAACACCCTATCTTTTTCTCTAGATCTTACTGAAAAAAAGTTCTTGATTCCATGATGAATCAACCCTACACATTTTATTCGCAGAATGGTAGAGGCAGCTTATAGAAAATATCACTTCAGTACAACTACAAAAGTAGTGTATGCGGTGAAACTCACAGATGAGACGGAAACATACTCTAATGTCTCTAAGCATGTTCAATTCCCTTGCCTGAACGTTAAAACACCTCATTATTGTGACCCGTATGGGGCTTATTAAATCCATTCATGTGCGCCGACGCTCTAGGCCTAATAAAGGGTGTATATAACGGGAGTATTAATAAGAACGGAACATTTGAATTATGCACTATTTTGACAGTCATAATTTCATAATCTTTGTGATGTGACAGATCGATAGTAGACAGGTGGGAGTGGGACAATGAGCAGTGAACAGAGTTCAGCAATTGGATCCTTGGTCAACAGGATGTGAATGCTGATTTTGCGTACAAAATCATTTTTAGCGATGAGGCCCATTTTGCATCTCGATGGCTTCGTCAATAGGCAAAACTGCCGCATTTGCCACACAGACAATCCAAGAATAATTAATGAGGAAGCTATGCATCCAAAACGTGTCACTGTTTGATGTGCACTATGGTCTGGAGGGATTATTGGACCATGGCACTTAATGACATATGGTTTCAGCAGGATGGTGCCACATGCCAAATTGCTCGTGAAACATTGGCAGTTTTGCACGAGTTTGCTCCTGGTCGAGTCATCTATCGGTTTGGTGACCAGCTTTGGGCGCCACACTCTTGCGATTTAACACCTTTGAACTTTTGGCTTTGGGGTTGTCTGAAGTTACAAGTTTATGCCAACAAGCCTGCAACCACCGAAGCACTGAAAGCTGAAATCAGACGCTGTATCAACTAGATACCACGACATGTGTTCAAAAATGTCATCACAAATTTTATTAAGAGAGAATGCTTGTGCCAGCGGAGCCGTGGCAGCCATTTACTTGATGTTCCATACATAATTCCAAAGTATATACACCTTAATCCAATAAATATTTCAGTTTAGGCAGCAGCGGTGGCCGCAGTAGTAGACTCTTCGGTCTCCTGATCAGTCGCCGTGCGCTGTGCGGGTTCGAGTCCCGTCCCAGGAGTCCGTGTGGCGTTTCCCCTTTCCCATGTATCCCCCTATAGCTCCATGGTACCCAATGGGTGCTTAGGCCTTAGGCCTTCGTGGTAGTTGGAGTATAAAAAAAAGTTGCTTGTTACAAAATACCATTTTTTTATAGAAACTTGAAGTCTTGCGTCCTTATTGAAACACTCTTTAGCAGACTTCCGCCTCACATTCCAAGTTAGTCGAATGTCGTATGTGAAGAGCCGGCTGATATGACCGCTTTTTATTATGCGCCGAGATTGCCTGATGAAGTTTAACCTATTTCCACTATCCTTAAGCAGTTCAAAAAATTGATCATAATGACTCATACGGCATCTTCACCAGCTTTATAGCCGTCGCGGCACCTCGGTCTTAGATTTTGCCTTTCGTAGGTACCTAGGTAGTATAAAAAACAGATTCTACGCCTATGTCTTATGCCGCTGTGACGTCACGCAGGCGCCTGGGCGCGGACGGGCGTCCCTTGCTTCAGCTGTTGTCATATGGATCTGTCAACCCTCGATGGGCGGCTGTCATCGCTGTCATTCAGTGGTCGCCGTAGTCACCTTCATCAAATTATGAATTTGCTGCCCAACCTATTTCCTGGATAAAAATACCCGGCCCGCACCTCTTTAAAGAAGCCGGATTGATTTCCCGCCGTGCTAAATCTATGCAACCATAGATGCAGTGGTGTGCCGCGTACGGAAGACAGCCTACACCCACTTTCCGGGGCGAACCGTGTGCTGCTGAAATGTCAACAATTCGCGTTATCGGTGATTTCGGGGTGTTTTCGGGACAGTCGCGGACTCTATATTCGTGGTGTTAGGGGGCCCCACGGAAGGGACCGTCGCGCGAGACTCCAAGATGACCGAGGAGGAGGTGCTGTTCGACGACGTCTACGATTTGTGCGAGGAAATTGGCAGGTATGAGGCTAATTTGCAACTTGCAACCCTTCTGAGTTTTACCTAGACTTGTAATGCATAATAAATATGATTTGAGTTCATTTTTTGCTAGGGTCAAGTCAGAAAATGCACCTTCATGGCATGCTAGATTTTTGTTTACATTTTTTGACAGGTTCCTGACCACACTACTAGATATCAGAGGTATTTTATCAATTATTTTTAAGTAATAAAACTTCATGATTTGGTTTATCAGGATGCCGTTATTAAATCCATGTTGTTGCAGAATGGTAGGTCAGCTAAACAAAAATATTCATTTACATTTTTTGCACTATTTTTTTTTGTCTCTTAAGAGACATGATAAACCTCATAAAAAACGTTTATTTGTTTCATTAATAGTTCGGTGATTAAACATTACTTGCAACCTTATGTTAGAAAAGTGTGTTTCAGAGGTTCTTAAACACCTTGTTCTGTTGTGATTTACTGTTCTTCAAAATGCTATTATTACTATAGTGTCATTTTAGATAACTTGGAAGACATTTTTACATTCATTCTTTCAAAATGTTTCAAGACAAGCATGTCCCATTTAGCAAATATTCTACACCAGATGTCTTTTTTTTTGGCAGCACCCTAAACACTTTTCACTGTTTGAGGTAGGTTGAAAAATCATGTTCTGGAATTGACTGGCCTCAGTAATTAATAAAATATTGTATAAATGGGATCCATGAACATTTTTTATCTAGAGGTGTCTTATTAGATTCTTACTAAATTTCACAGAAAATGACATGATTTAGAGAAATGGAGAAAGGTTATAATACATTAGATAAGGATTCCAAAAACAGTTTTATCTGTTTAATTAATAAAATTATTTTTAAAAATTTTATTCTTTTTGGAAAATAGATTTCTGATAATAGAGTATGATATGAAAATTAGGGTACGATTATCAAGCCACATATTATGATTCCTGTAACTAATACTTCAAAATAAAAGAAAAACCTACAGGTGAAATTAATTTTATGTGAAACTTTATAACAATCTTTACTGGAAATATTTGAGAAGACCATATTCAACACTTCACTATTTCCAATTGTTTATATGGTTATGAACTTGTAGGTTTTTATTTTTGCTCATTTTGGTTAGGAAGACAAGGATTATTCTCAAAATCCTATCTAATTCATTTAGGTCTGTCCAAAAGTTATATTTTGGCTTATGTTTTATTACAGGGGACCATTTAGTATAGTGAGGAGATGTATTCACAGGCAGACGGGCCAGCAGTTTGCTGCAAAAATTGTGGATGTTGCCAAATTCACATCCAGTCCTGGACTAAGTACAGAAGGTAATGAAAAAATAACAAATATTATCAGATCTAAAAATATATAAGATCTACAAATGACATATATAAAGGCCCAAATGCTTGATGTTTGTAGAAAAAAAAATAGTGAGTTGTTATATTAATTCATCTTTATAGGTTCAGAAGGTTGTGAGGGAGACCTTATTCATGATTATAACTTCCATCCTACGATTCATTATTTCAAACAAACCATTTGCATAAATTGATCTTTTTTTTCAGATTTGAAAAGGGAGGCAACAATATGTCATATGCTGAAACATCCCCACATAGTAGAGTTACTAGAAACATACTCATCCGAAGGGATGTTGTACATGGTCTTCGAATTGTGAGTATTCAAGTTCCCAAAAAATAATCGTATTGTTTTTATCAGATAAGATTCAGAGTATGTTTTTGTTTCAGTATGGATGGTTCGGACTTGTGCTATGAGATCGTGAGAAGAGCTTCAGCTGGATTTGTGTACAGTGAAGCAGTGGCCAGGTAAAAGGAATAAAAAAGCAATGACTAACATACTATATGGCAGAACTAGGTGAAAATAAAGCTAGAGTACAATCCTTTTTGTTAATTGATGAATCTTGCCAGTTATTCGACAATGACATAGGGGATAAGTCACTTTTTTTGACCTATGACATTTTTACGTATTCGTTGACAGAACGGCTATAAGAACAGTAAAATCGTATAAGAAGGTATATGAAGAGAAAGCCACTAAACACAAATAAAAATTAAGGTCACGATAAAATTCGTCTAGTCTCCTTGGTAAAAAAGCTGCAAGTCGATTTTATATACAGTAATGGACAAAAGTATATAGACAAATTAACACGTTCACTGCCACGTTGGTCCTATAGGACCAACACTCATGTTGCCTCAGCAGGCCACATTGGTCCAATAGGGCCAATATATATTTTGCCTTACCAGGCTATGTTGGTCCCATAGGATCAACGCATTTTCTAATAGCTGCTGGGCCGTTGGCGCTCATTTACCTATGTACGCCTGCAGAAATGGACCAACATGGCCTAGAAGCTATACGCCGCATATATAATTTCTTTGCTTTTTCCATAATGAGGAATGTAGCCCCGATGGGACCAACGTCTTTTTTATATGGTGGCCCACTAGTGCTCAATGTAAAATACATGTTTGGCGTAGTGGACACATGTTAAAAAATATGTCTGGCAGCGAACGTGTTAATATTGTGCTGTATTTCTTTTTTAACTTGTTTTATTAATACACCAACCTGTATACATAATTCGTTATAGCATAATATACATAAATAAATTGATTAGACTCCCTTCAATAAAAAATTAATTGAAAAAACTGGAACAATGAAGGACAAAGACAAAGCAAAACAATTATAGAAAAAAGAAGCAAAGTTGATCGAATTATAGAAAACCAACCATGTTTGTGTTGATATTTTTTAGCATAACCATTATTATCAATCACCGCCTGGTATCGTCTCGGCATAGATTGTAGAAGTTTCTTGATATAAGATTCATCAATCTGTCTCCACTTTTGCTTTAAAGCGACAAAAAGTTCATCCTTGTTTGAATAATTTTTATCTCGTATTTGCTTATCTAAGTATTCCCATAGATTTTCAATGAGGTTTATATTGGGAGACTGAAGGCCATTTGAGAACTGGTATTTTTCATCCAGAAAGAATTTCGTTGCGAGATTTGAAGTGTGCTTCGGGTCATTATCTTGCTGGAAGATTGATCTTAACGGCATATTGTCTTCCATATAAGATAACATGACTTGCTTTAGTGTGTCTGTGTATACAAAATTATCCATAAACACAATCTGATCCAAACATATTGAACTTGGATTCATCACTTGAAACATACCCTCTTCCAGTCACAGATGCTCCAATCAAGATGCAACCGTGCAAATTGTAACCGGTCCTTACGGTTTATCCTCGAGATTAGCGGCTTCTTCCTCGGGCGACGTGCAAATAACTTCAAATCATTTAATCTTCTACTTTTCGTAGAAACACTGGCAATTCCTTTTGTTTCGATTTCGGCTTCTATTTGTCTTGGGGTTTTAAACGGATCTTTGTATGAAATTACTATTATTAATCTAACTGATCTAGCCATTTAGATTTTGAGGCCGACCACTTCTCTTAGAGGCTTCCAAGATACCTTTCTGTTTATATTTGTTTAATATTGCCCAAGCTGCTTTAGGCTTCAGCTTCAAATTTTTGGCAATGTCACTTGACGTTGACCATCTTTGTATAACTCAATGATCTTAGTTTTCACATTGAAAGAAATTTCTGTACCGCGCAGCATGGTCTTAAAATCACTCAACTTATTCCACAATACTTGATGAACACAAACTAATCCTCTTCTGACACGAAACTGTACTCAACTAATGTTGAAAAGAATTTTTGTCCCTCATAAAAAAGTGCTTATATTCTGACTTGTATTGTGTCCATTGCAGATAATGTAAAAACAAGGAATTTAGTTCCTCTACTAATAACGCATTTGTTTATGGAGCAATGAAGTATGAATTCGTTTTCTAAACGTATTTAGGTAAATGTTCATATTTGTGTATATACTTTTATCCATTACTGTATGTCGAAAAAATTGACTTATGCCCTTTCACTATTATCCACAGCATTATTCTCCTCACCTGGCTCTGTGTCATACGGGTATATTTTTCAGCCATTACATGCGCCAGATCCTCGAGGCGCTGCGGTACTGCCACGAGAACGACATCGTACACCGTGACCTTCGACCGGAATGCGTGCTATTGGCCACGCGCGAAAATTCCGCCCCCGTCAAATTGGGCGGCTTCGGTGCGGCGGCCCAGCTTCCCGATCAACGTTCGTCTGGCGCCGGCGGGCAGATGCTGCCGCCTCCATCTGGTAAGTACTTACATGTTGGCTTTAGGTTTAGTTCCCTCGGTAGTAGTATGTTCTGTTAGGAGTTTTGAAGATCAAGCGAACAATTTTCAACAATTCTGGTCCCTGCCTTGCAGCTTGCACAAAGTTATTCCAGGACGAAACTATGGTATATGAGATCTCATATTCAGGCTCTTTGTTTATTTTTAACGCCATCAGGCGAGAAAAGTATTAGTCACCAGGCAGCTACTTAGTGATGCTGTTCAAAATAGAATTTCCAGAGTTACTACTGAATAAGATTATTGAGAACTTATCAATGCGATTCAATGTTTATTGTAATAATCGCACAGTCAGTTTTCATGAACGACGGACTTTACTGTACCAAATTTGTCTGACGGCTCGAGATCAACGTGTACGAGAGATAAGTGTGTATAGACACGTAATGCTAGACAGAGACAGAAGCCGACTGGATAGCGAAGCTCATCACCGCGTTGCCTAGCAACGCTGACGCGGCAAGATGCAGCAAGATGCAGCTTTGCCAATATGTTACACCAGTTCCTTGAATTAAGACGCATGTTGAAAATTTGCGTTAGTTTATTGTCTACGCCCAAATAATGGTTTTATTTTGAGCGTACACATTTTTGAATTGTGAACTGTGTCGAATCTGTTTAGGATTGATTCCCGAGCGGTCCTAACGGTGCTTCATTTTAGGCCGAACTGGAAGGTCAGGATCGCCACAAATTCTGCAACATTGCATCATTGGTTCGTTTAATAACATAACGCGTTGTGGATACATTTCATCACCCACAACGCGAATGAAGTTTTAGCATGCTTTTATTTCGCGTTGTAAAGCATTTAAGATTTATTCAGAATGTCTTGGGGGTCAATTGCCGGAGACAGTCTGTGACACGTACGGATAGATGAGGGGTGCAACTGAATTTTTATGTCTTGTGATTCATTGTGCGTGTCTTCGAGAATATTCCAAGATGGAAGCTGAATTTGAACAAAGATTATGGGAGAAAAAAGACAGGTCGTTATTATCAGACGAACGTTATTTAGAAATTGTAAATGAGACAAAAGTGGCCAAACAATATAGATAGATCAAAACGATATGATCTATTAACAGTTGGCGAAAAAGATGAACTAGTTAGCAAAGAACATTTACGAAACCAATCAGGTTTAATTTTTCATTGTGAAATGTATGTTATAATACACACACCGAGCGCACACCGAGCGGGAGAGATAGTTCTAGGCCCAAAGACTCCAGCGATATATAGGGGTGACCAGAGCACCCCTGCTCAGAAGGACAGGATCCTCCCTTTGCAGTTAGACTAAGATGGCCGTGTGACCCTTAACAGGATCCAAGAACGGCTCAGCTGCCCTGACTCCACAGTCGATGTGCGACTACTCTCGCTTCACCGCGGATCACTGGATCCAACGGTGGGAGATCCAGCAGAGCTTTCATTGCACTCAATGGCGTTGGGCGCTTGTAATACTAATATAGGCCAAACGCCGAATTTTATTGAGTTTGGTCTTAGTTGTCTCGGTTCCAATGCAAGGCCACCAAACCAGTCACCCGTACAAGAGAGGTGGATGTACTATCGTCGTGTAGAGCCAGTGTACCATTTTGGGTTTAAGACCCCACCTTATACCGACAACAAGTCTGCAAGCTCACATTGAATTGCGAGCCTTATCAACCCTGTATTCAACATGCTCTATCCAGTTCAGTTTGAAGTTCAGGATAATTCCTAGATATTTTACTGATTTGGATAGAACTAGTTTAGTCGGTGGTCAAAAATGGAATAGATAATTCTGATCAAAATGAAAACAAAATATTAAATTAAATGTTCGAACAGAAGTCATTCTCGGGTTTGACAGTAATGTAATCTATCGTAGCAGCCTGTGCGAACATTTTCTGGTATAGCATATTGGCAACGCGGCAGATCACGACCTTCTGCGTCTGCGTTGCTAGGCAATATGGTGATGACCTTCGTTCTTCAGCCAGCTTCTGTCTCTTTCTAACATGTGTTAATACACACTTCTCGCGCTTGTACACATTGAACTCAAGCCGTCAGACAAACGTGGTTTTCCCTGTATATGCAGGCATTGTGGCGTTTTAGAACGTAGTCTAGTATAACCTTAACCTCATTTCCTCAGTTGGGGTTATTGTTCAAAATGAGAAAGTGCGTTCTGGGACCCATTCATTACTCCTGACTTGATTATAACTAACCCACGGCTCCCTTATATTATTCATAATTCGACTAGAGATTCAACCAATTGCTTTTTGATTATGCATTAACCTTGCTAACCTTAATTAGGTATCTCCTGTAGTGGATTTTGTCTTTAACTATTGACACGGAGCCATCACTACCAACAATGAATAGTATGATTTCTGCAACTATTATCCCATTCAAAGCTCATACGTCTCAGTGAAGTTGACCTAACTATGTTTTGTAATATTAGCGGAAACGTATTAAAAACTAAAATGTATTCCTGATAACATACAATATTTTTATTTAATATTAGCCTAAAATAATACATTTTTTTGTAACAAAGAACAAATGTCGTACAGATTAAAAAAAACTGCCGATTAATAAAAATTAACGAAACCAAATAACAGCAACTCACCACTGAGTTACATCGTCTTCTCGACT